TCGGGGTGAGATTAGGACATGGGTTTTCTAATCGAGACAGGGGCAAGAACTTACGCTGCATCTTCATCCATGAACTTTTGGGCAAAGTTGTGAGGGATACATTGGATACCGGCTTTCCGACACTTCAAACAGGACGTCTCTCCGGGCTGGACAAAGCACTTGATCTTGTGTTTCTTGCATTCGGCGCCTATGAAACCACCGGATCAGCTACAAGACAAACAAGAACGCAGAGTACCAAAAGCTCGGGGCTGCATTGGTGGATCAGGTTCGCTGCATGCAGCTGTCACTCACAAGCGCGGGTGATCTGTGGCTTATTGGCAGGATCACCAGTCGGCCTGACGCGACGCTCCTCTCTACCTGGCGAGTTCAGTCTCTGTCTCTTGTTTCGCTGCATGCTGATTGACTACCGAGGGCGTGTTGATGTCTGGGGAAAGACGGGGTTCTTAAAGTCGGCGGAAGAGCCGACTTGAGGAGGAGAATTTAACCCCGGACAAACCACCGACTCTTTCCAACTTGTGGGGAAATCGCGTGCGAGTTAGTTCCGGCCTACCCTAAAGCCTCCGATTCCGGGTTTGCAGTTCAGACCTTTGACTGGGCAAGTCTAGACAATAGATCAATTATTTTGTTTTATTGTGAATATTATATGGAAAGACCTGGTGCTCATGCTGTTGTAGTATTGAAACGCTACTTATGTAATTGTGTAATTACTTTAGACTAACGTTGAGGCGCACACACCCATTCGTCTCAACCTCATGTTAAGTCAACTAACGGCAGCATAAATGCTCAGAACTACCCATAAACTACAAGGAGCTTTTAAACATCGGGTGTTGATCCGCCGTAAGAGTGAATCTGTAATTGGTTAGATCTCTGTATTATGCCCTTGTCCTGCAAAGAGTTGGAAACTTACCGTCTGATCAGCACACCCTTCTGGAGTCTGGTAGCCATACGCGCCTGTATTGATAAAGAGCTCCTGATCCTCACACACGAACCAGGCCGCCGTATTGGGTCTGGTTATCTGGCTCACGCTCCATGTTACAGCGTCCCCTTGAAATGCAAATGTGCCAAATGCGTTTTTACCCGCCTCGAACCAAGTTTGAAGCTTTCTCTGGGTCAAATCTGTTGGCTGCTCAACATGTAGGTACAGTTCCGAAGACCCGGTATAGTAGACAAGTTGACCGTCAATAATGTTGAATTGTCCTGCTCCTTCGGCGGCATCCAGATATGCAGTAGATGAGGAAGCAGTGGGTTTGCTTTGAAGATATTTATGGTAATTTGGTGCCGCGACAGCCCGTATGAAATACCACCCATTGATCAGAGTTGGAATAGCCGCAGCCGCAGCCTCTACAGGGGATGGAGGTAGAGCAGTTGCCCCATGGATAGCTAGAATCGTCGCGAAAACGTGTTTAAAGATCATGTTGAAATTTGTGGGAAAAGAGAAATATCTTGACGGTTTTCATCTATACATCAGACTGATGTGAGTCAATCCTATCTTATGTTCTCGACAGAGTCTATATACTGGTTTGAAACCTCGACATTACCTGCTTTTGTAGGCCCATCGGGTTGGTTGTGACCGTGGACCCGAAACAGTTCGGGGCAACTACTCCGTGCCGGGCATCCGCTGCCTCGTTATGGGAATAGATTTACACGACCGAAGAAATAGCACATTACTTTTGAATGCTCTTATGAATTTCTTCGGGACTTCGGGATGATTGCCTGAGTCCCACTTGGGCACGTAGTACTCAATTGACAAAGAAAGGCACACTACATGATGTTTAGAGAAATGGCCTTGCAGACGATAAATTCTGACAAAAAAACCAGGAGAAAACATCAAAGAGTAAAATGAATGTGTGGAGGAATATTAGTCCATTTCATATATCGAATTTCGTATAAGCATGACGAGAACGCCGAGGCCAGATTTATTTTTGCCGAACACTCTCAAACAAATGTCCGAGCCAGCCTATGCGGAATACCGCCTTGCTTGTCTTACACTCGAAGGATTCTTGGATTCACATGCTTGCAATTTGCCTGATCCTGGTACGTATGCTAGGTTATAGCCAAGGCATAATTGGATTCGTACAATCGGATTCTCTCTGGTCACAGTTGAAACTCCTTGACATTCAATTGTCCTCCCTGTCTTCCTCGTGACAACAACTAACTGAATATAACAATAAAAAAGCCTCAATTTGAAACTGAAATTACTTTCCAATCTGTTCAAAGTTGCCCGCCTTGCGAATCCTAGACTCGTCAGGCTCGAACAAATCATTGAACAGAAGAAAGCACTCCTATTCCCGAGAATTACTTCCCTCAGTCGTCATTTAATTTCCGATAGTTTGTGCGAATATATGGATGTGTAGCGCGTATACAATTAGGATGAAGTAATATGTGAGTAAAGCTTGGTTTTCGTAACTCTATGGAGCCGCGCGGGTGAGAAATCCATAACAGGGAGCTCTGATTTTGTCCAAACGGAGTGGCTTGTATTCCTGGCAATAATCCTTGCCGTCCGAGCGCACTGTTTAATGTCACCAACCAATAAGCCGCATCCTTTTATAAATCAGTTTTAAGTGAGTGCCTCTGGGACCTGTCGATCCCGGAGACTGCCAGACAGATTTCCTAGCAACACCCTTGTACCCTTGGCCGTCGCAGGGTGACAGTTTATACATAGTACAGGTACGCATTGTACGGTGGCGGAAACTCCATGCGTCGACGGGGAGAAGACACACGCACGGCTTATTACCTCAAACAAGCCCCTTCCATGCTGGTGGAGCTGACGGCCTTGGCCGAAATCCTACTCCCAGTCGGCCTCAAAATGATGGCAGGTGATAAAGCCTGGCACTAATTGACAGAAACTAATAGTATATAAAGAACCTAGTCTTACGCCAATTTGAAATAAGCTCATCTTCATCCACCTTGTCTTCCAGCTTCTTACATCTCAGCACGCCGATATCCTCCACCCTTCTAAGACCTATCAATCTATATTCCAATCACAATGCGGGCATTTTCTCTTCTGCAAATGGTGGCAGTAGTCGCTGCTTTGAAGGAGTGGGCTCCAGCTGGTGAATCCGACTCTCGCAGCCCATGCCCCGGGTTGAACACTCTCGCAAACCACGGATATCTGTAAGTTGATTGAGTCGACAAACCTATATTGAACAGGACGGTTTCTAACTTCAAATTTAAATAGTCCTCACGATGGCAAAAAGATCGGCTTCACCCAGTTCGTCCAGGCCATCACGGAAGGCTTCAACTTTGACAGCTCGATCGGGCAGTTTCTCGCTGCAGGCGCCTTCCAGGTCTTCGGACTGAACACCGCCACCGACACACTTGACCTCGAAAAGCTGAACACTCCCGGCTTCTTGGAGCACCCGGCATCTATGAGCCGTCAGGACCAGCCAGGCGGAGACAGCCTGCACGTTGATCCCGAGCGCGTGGAGGCTATGCTTGCCGATAGCTCCAACCCGTATCTCGACGTCTTCTCTCTCGCCACTACTCGTCGTCGTACGTTTGACGAGTCAGGTCGGCCCAACATGAGCGACACCATCTGGTCGATCATGTTTGGTGAGAGTGCCTTGACCCTCATTGCCATGAACAACAAGGAATTCCCCGCTGCGGGTTCCCCGGCGGAGGCTTACTACGGCCTGGAGGCACCAAAGGAATGGGTCAAGACCTGGTATGAGGAGGAGCGATTCCCAGAGGAGCTGGGCTGGACGCCCCTGGCTCGCCAGATCAATATGACTGAGCTCAGTGCCGTTGGCAGTGTCGTCAGAGCTGAATTCGCCAAGTTATAAGTTTTATTTCCAATGCTAGTTGGGTAAGGAGGGCGAGCGTTCAAAAGTAGTTAGATATAAAAATGAAGATTTAATGCAAAGCGATGACTATTTTACTACTAAGCTTACACGTTTGAGCGAGCCATGAGCCTCCACGGCTGATTATCTGTTTCTAGCAAGTCAACATTGTTCACAGAAGCCCGGACCACCAATCCCTGACGACTGAAACTCAGCCTGGTCCTGGAACGAGCCAAGGATTCAGCGTTAGTAACAGGACAATTTTCATTGGAATGTGACCGATTCAGAGATCCACTGCATCAGCCGGGAGGAATCCGATGCTAACTCAATTAAGACCTATCAACCCTGTCGATTTCGAACACTACCGGATGGCAGATGAATGCGACGACCTCGGCGATTGGTTAACTCAAGATCGTGGCAACTAGGCGACATTGAATTTGAGACACTCAAACACTAAGCGGTTTATTGTCCAGTCTGCGATCAGCTTATATTGTTGCTTTAATTGATTCGTATTACTGAATTCTCCTATTCATTGTGGAAAGTGGTCTAACCATAGTCGCTCTTATTGTTTGTCTGATTTCTCCTGTCACCTACCGCGTGGGCAATGGCCACACGGAGATCGGCGCAATTTGCAGAAAAAGATGGACGGAGCCCGATCGACCGAGCCCTAGTTAACTTAGCAGCGTTACATTCGCAGTTTCGTAACGGTGGGCATTTACGGAGTGGCCGGCTCAGTGTACATGCCCCCCTGGTCCAGGTCGTTTCTTGGTGCTGATTCTTACCTGATGGAGAACATGTATGTCTTTTATTAAGCTCCGAGTCCTGTAGGTGTCTCTAGAGAGGTGGCATAGAACATAACAGCGCGCTGACTGCCGCAAGGTTCCATTCCTGGAAGCAATCAGCATAATGAACAATTCCATGCATTTGAAAGATCATAGGAGCCTATATTCAGACCAGACAGGCCAGGAATTCCTCTAGAGCTTCTTCAGTACAGAAAAGAAATGTGTCCTAAGTTACCATGTTCAGGGAACACATCTCGGTTCTTGAGTTAGAGTACATTAGGTCATCCGCTTGCTAAGTTTGTTTACACAAAGAATCAATAGTTCGATAGATAAGGCCAGGAAACCATTCTATCGGGTCAGACGGTGAAGTGCCCAATGAATCCCCATGATTCTATAGTAGCATGTGTCAAGCTTTCTCATAAAACAATGTGAGGGCTATTTAGTTCTTCCCAGCTTCAACTTCACAGATGCTTCTATCCAGCTCTTCTGATATCTCAGGGTCAGCCTTTGGGGTTGAGGAATCAAAAAACTCATCCATCCTTTCCCGACTCAGTCCTTTGGTCTCAGGGATGAAAAGCCAAGTAAACAAAGTCATGATGACACAAAAGGAACCAAACATGAAGAACATTCCCTGTTAATAATTAGCATCACATATTAAACCCTACAGTAAAGAGGTTGGGGCGAGCATACATATCCGGCGGTACCCATAGTCGCTTGCATCGTGAGCGCAGCTTGAAGTATATTAGTATTGAGAGGCCACTTAATGGGCAGAGGGAATTTTTTACTTCTTGCAATAACAAAGTTAAATAGCCATTAGGGACCCCAGCCTGGTTGGTAGAAACCTCCCCAAAGGTAAATGCACACAATAGCAACATAACCGAAGGGGCTGATATCTTTGCCTGCGATTGGGGGCTCGACCCTAGTGTAAATCCCAATGATGAACATGAAGATTGCCTGCAAACTTCCGGTCCAAATGAGACTGGTGCGTCTGCCCAAGGTATCGGCAACAAAGACAGGGAATATAGCTACGCCCGTGACCTTTAAAATGCCTGCCAATGAAGCTGTAGTTCACCCATCACAATCCCATTTCTCCAAATTCGTCTTCAAAATCAACGCCAGTGATTCCGGGGAAGAACGACCCAAGAAAGTATCCCTCTATGTCCGGCATTGTCGCGGTATGAGTGTTATACTGCATTGTGTCCATGGCTCCTTGGTCCCATTCGTGTAGGGCGAAGTTCCAGTGATTTTGCCCTCTATCCGTAGGCCATGGGGTCTGGGAATTCACGCCATCTGCCATAGAAACAGTACTACGATTTGAGTCAACAGTAGCAGGAACCTTGTGACCTGCCAGTCGGGGTCGTGAGACAACGCCATCATGGAGTTCCAGTTGAGAGTTCCGCGATCGCCATATTCTTGCTAGCATTACACTGTATCGGCGGCAGAGGTGCAATTCGTCCTGAGAGATTTGCTCCAATTTAATAATAAATCTCCCTGCCAATTCCGAGTTTTCCTGTCTCTGAGTGATTGCTTGAAATGCACCTGCACACTGAGCCTTGTATAAGAAAACAGCGGCGTACACACCGTACCTTGCACATCCACACTTAGTTCAAGCTTGCACCAGGAGTGGTTCTTAAATGGAAAGAGCTTACAAATAAAAGCGCGTCGGCAAGAAGCGCAGAGTATTTCTAGGATGGAGCTGATTGATTAAACCCAGAATCTTCCTCGCACAGCTGATGGCCTCGTACACATAGGGGCCGTCTGGTGAGGACATGAGGCCCCGTGAAAATGAAGCTGCCGACGAAACCCCTTTGCCAGGATCGGCGTCCCGACGTTGAGAGCATGCGCTCGAGGCTCTTGTGAGCACGGCTTGGAATGAAAATGCGTTCACGTATAGACACACATACTCATATAAGAGGAGTAGAGTAGCTCTGACGTTGGATGAGAAGTTCCCTCCAGTCCATGCTGTATACCAGTCTGTGGCCGATCGCTGAAAGTCATCAAGATATCTTGCATAGTCTCCGTCGTTAACCATAGCCAACGTCCTCTCCGTCGATGAATAAAGAATCCCATGAGCGTTGTATAAGATCTGTGTCAGCTCAATTTTAGCTTGTAATGCAGAAGCAAGATCTTCTTCTTCCTTTCCTGGTAATGATTTGAGATTTGGGAAATCTTTGTTCGAGAGCTTCGAAGATAGACACGGGCCACGGGACCAGAACGACTGTCCCATTCGCACAGAGATTTGTCTGTCTGTTAGATAAATATCTATTGGAAAAACAGTAAGCTATTGTCACTGAATTTGGCAAGAGGAAATATGCATACAGGTCCAAATCAAACGTTTTTCTTCCTCTATCTCAGAAGCTTCACAGGCTCCTGATGATTCTGCGGAAGGAAAGGCAGCTCGATCCAGTCGCAAAAGGTAACCTTGGCGCACAGCGAGGCCAATGAGGGACCATGCGGATCGGTCCTCACTAAGCAGGCTTTTGGGATTTTCTGTACCATCTTGTTTGATCTGATATGGAATCCATTCAGCAAGTAGCAGTATGGCCTGTACCGTCCTGGGCGTTTGCGCCCAGGGGTGGGCTAATAGCACCTCTAGAAGTAGCCTCTGAGCATGGTCCCAGCAATATCGATGAACAAGAACATGGCCGGGCATATCCCGTGAGGCAACTGCGAGGATGACGGTGAGAAGAAAGTAGTCCGACCTTCGAATTTTAGTCATAGCCTGCGGACCCAGCATATACGGTGGAACGATAGGACAATATGGATGGTAATTGCGTGCGTATCTGTCGCTTATTTAGCATTATACCAGAATAGAATATTTGATATCAAAGAGTTTCGCAGACTGACAGGTGGAGCAACTCGGGTAGAACACTGGGGTGTAATAATCCCCGCTGCACGAGCTCGTAATCATCCAGCAGCATAGTAGACGCTTCACCATTCTCTTGAGTATTTCTCCTAGGATTCGTACGGTTCCCTGAGTTCACAGAAATTGTCGGGAATGGCGAATGAGGTTGTTTCTGGGAGATATTTGAATTTGAAGGCGCATCGGCCTCGACTGTATGCCACTGCTTTTCGCTACAACTCGGGCCGTCTGGATCATCTCGCGCATGTGCTAGGATTTGCAAAGCATCTGATGGGTTCCGAATTTCCATGTGTAAATTGCCAGCCTCCACTGTCTCCTGGGACTCAAAGTCCTCGCTCATGGCAGAGCAGTTGTTAGAAGGGGTTGTGGGACTAGGGCCTAGAGCGTCGGGCGATGAGCCCTCGAATGGACCAGCATCGCCACCATTATCATCTATGGTCTCATGCCGCCTAGAGAGAGGGTTGGTCTGGAGGGTGTGTTGCCTTCTCTTGTGGGAAGCGGCTGCGCCCCGGCGAGATTCCACCAAGATGCACTCACTCCGGGTGCGATAACAGGATTCGCACGGGGGTCTTTTTGGCTCCCCAACACCGTCACTAGAAGACCCAAAATTCGTCAGTAATAAAATGGGGAGGGCTATCTCGGCATGGGTCAAGCTATACAGGTTGCACTTCGTCTTACGCCGGCGGCACCTCAGACATGCCCGCGATATACGTTTACCAGTCGGTGCTGTCATTTCTAGTTGTCGGTATCAGATGTCGGCTATGATTTGAAATGCGCACAACGGCTGTGGTATACCAGAGACTCGGCTTTGCTTCTGAGGTGTCACGGGAGTCGGGAAGAACGCATCGGCAAAGGGTATGGATCAATGATGCCGAAGTGCGGAGTCACCAGGAAGAAAGGGGCTGGTCCCCGCATTCATACCAGCACATCAAGTACATGGAAAACTTTCGACAAAATGCGTTTAATCTTTCTGCCGGGAGAATAATCCCGAGGAGATATCTGCACTACTTGCAGGCTCGGCAATAGACCTGACCCACCACACTGACTCTGCGAAATATGGAACTTCTGCCTTGATCATTTTCCTCATCGTCTGGTCCTCTACCAACGGGCAAACCCCATCTTTAATCGCTTGCAAGTCGTATCTTCAAGGCAGACCCTGACGGACGTCAGTGTGTTCATTAAGACCCCACGCCTGAGTACTATCATCATGGACTGTGGCACGCCTCATATCTCGCCGATACTTGTTGGCAAATTCTCCACCCATGGCTCTGTGCATGGTGCATGTATTGTCCCATATGACTAAGTCTCCAACATCCTCCCAATCTATAGTTATCCTATATTTTGCTTGGGTAGCGTGGCTGAAGAGCTCATCAAACAAAGCCTGGGACTTCTCGGAGCTTATGCCCTCGATGTGGTGGATATGAGCCGCAAGATAAAGATTCATCCTACCTGACGCCTCATGCTTCTGAGCTAGCTTGTGGCGACCCATAGGATAATCAGCAGGCTCTATATGTGCAAAGTGTTCTGGAGCCGCAAGCTTCTTTGAATGCAGAATAGAGTGGCATGCAATGTAATCTGCTTCGAGCAGCGCGCTTTTCTTCGCTTCTACAAGGTCATCCCACGCCGCTCGCGTGTCTGCAAACTCGGTGCTACCGCCTGTTCCACGAGGAGGCAGCTCATGTGCAAGCAGAAGAGAATATCCTGCGCGACGAGGATTGAAACTGGAGTCAACATGGAAGGAGCTGTTGCCCTTGTTCGCTTGAGCGCGAGGGCTCAGCGGATCAAGGATAGAGCCATCCAACTCAACATTGCTGACGTCAAAAAGCTCATGGTATTTGAGGCGGTTCGGCCGGCCAGCTTTCAGGTAGGGCTTGATATCGTCAAGCTCCCCGAACGTTCGAGCCAGCTCAAGATGGGTTTCGTCTGTCAAATTTGTCTTGCGAATGACAACAACACCATACTGTGAAATGGGAAGTCTCAGTCAGCAATCTTGACACGAAAGGATGGAGGAAGCTTATTCACCTTCACCACTAGCTCCTTGATTTGTAGGGACATGCTCTTGGGCACCCCTTTACTAAAATCACATCCGGTCAACTCAAGACCAAAACCTGGGCTAAGCTCTCGGTATTGAGGACCGAAATTTGAGGCTGATACACGTTCTTTGACTGTAGTGGTGGTGGATGCCATGATTGCGAGGTATCAGGTTCAGAAATTACGAAAGAGTTTAGATCGAAATAGGGCAAGTGTTCGGTTTTTTTGATCGTAGATGCTATTGGATATTGCCTGATTACTTTGGGGGTTTCTAATGGCTGCCTAGCGTCCTTGGAGAGGATAAGTATAGGAGAATACATCTTTATACATCTTCGAAGCCTGGTTTTCTTTAGCCAGAGTGGAGGATCGCCGAGTTCATCATTCTGTTACATCGGAACTTGTTTCGGTAAAGGGAGGTAGCTGTGCCGGTTATGGAGCTTGCTCGCTGGCAGCTCCTCACTCTGCCATCTGTAACTGATGTCTCCCGATATAAACTTTTCCCGCGCCTATCGGTGGCTGATTGGGACGATTTAGCACGGTCCGATACTAATTGACGGCGCTCAAAGGTTGCCTTTGGTCTGGGCCTGACCTCCGTCCTGCTACTATGAATGGCCTGTTTAGATGCCAATGCTAGAAGAAGTCAAAGGCCGAACCGAAATGGAATTCATCGGTTATGGGCCCCACCATCGGCTATTCCAAAGATCGGCTATCTGCTTGACCGTGTATATTCCCTTGTGGAGACATTGAAGCAGGCCGGCCGGCCTTGTCCACGCGCCAGGGCTGCATTCTACTTACTTCTCTGTGTGGAAAAAAAGAGAGAAAAAAAAAAGGTTGGACAGCGGACCATGACAACTAGTTAGTCTTAATGTTGCATTTGCTGCGTTCCTACAAGGGCTCTTCGGTCGTACTCCCAGTCTCCAGACCAGTTCACTTTGTAGACTTCCAAGAGTTTGGCTAAAGAAAACTCGCAAGAAGAGTCACACGTTTCTTTGGGTAGGGGTCTTGTGTCTCTAATCTCCCCTGAATCTCCCGATATATCATTAACATAGCTTGAAAATGAGCCTACAAAGGATCAGTAAGGCAGTTTGAGGCTTACGTTGGCCCCTTCCACACACGTATCACTCACTCGTAAGTGCTTACATTGGCCCACGGCTCCCCAGCTCCTAATTGTTTCTATATTGCTATTGCTACTACTGGAGGAAACGGACTATTTCTAGGACGTCTGATGTAATGTATAGCTACGGTTTGTAATTGAAAGGGGTTCGTTCATAGCTTCTCGCAGAGGGTACCCCAGATTGGCTCACGCAGTGCACGTCGCATTAGGCATCGCTACTGGTACGAATCTCGAGGGCGAAGGGCCAATGACTGCTGATTAATAAATGTAGTGATGGTTCTCATGCAAGGCAGGCAAGGCAGGTGAGACTGTCCGGCAGGCGGATATGTGTGGCTTAGACTGCCACGCCAGAGATGAATTTAAACGTCACCATTGTTTGAACTATCCGAATTAGTTGGTATAGAAAGGGGGTATCAAGATGGTTGTAGTGTGATAAGATAGCATGCAACACACTTTACATCAGACATTAGGGAAATTAACATGATTACTACCATTCAGGTAACAATGAACCACATTCTCCGAGCGCACAGTTCCGGTTTGCCGGCATCAGTGGCTATAACTGCCGTCCGCACCTTGGCCACGCAGAGTCTCACCCTAGCATGTCCTCGCAATATGCCTAAATAGGAGTCGTGCACCCAACGTATCTTTGGGCAGAACCGGCATGTTCGGTGAAGTGCATGCTTCCTCGGCATATCCCGGGCGACATAGTCGCATTTTATTCAGTGCTGGGAGGGGAAGAGCAAATTGAGGCACGAACTACGTGTCAGGGTTGCGAATGTGGCAGTTGATCAGGGTCCTGGCCGGAGATATGCTTAATCGATCGGATTTTGTGCTCCGCGGATTCGGCCTGACGGCCAGAGGCTATCACCGTTAACTTCTAGCCAATGAAATGGAATCCTTCAATGTGTGGCATTATACGGCCTACGTACATCCAATCTCAGTCTCGCGGGTTACATATAAGTATCAGTATCAGAATGCTCTTAAAACCGGGGTGTGCATGCAAGAAAATCGTCCATACTACTTCAATTATATCGGTCTCATCACCATTGTTGACCATGTACAGTTACTTGACGATTTCCAGCATCTTTCTGGCTACGTTTGCTGGAGCTACAGCAGCCAGTAACTACGGCGAGTACGAGTATGTGGTTGTCGGGTCAGGACCAGGCGGCGGAACTTTGGCGTAAGTTTTGAATCGATGCCGCTCAAACGGCTAATCTAATGTTCCCTGACAGTGCGAACCTTGCACGGGCTGGTCATTCCGTTTTCCTGATAGAAGCAGGAGGCGACCACGGAGATGAACTACTCCAAAGAGTGCCTTCTTTGTAAGTTGATCTCTTATCAGCTTTAATAAATATGAGCGAGGACTAATTCAAAATTTGCAGTAGCGGCAATGCGGCGGAGACTGCCAACCAGTCCTGGTCCTTCTTTGTGAACCATTATCAAGATGATACGCAAGCTAGGAGAGATGACAAATTCACGTATTCATTTCCCAATGGCTCTTACTATGTCGGCCTCAATCCTCCCGAGAGCACAACGCCGTAAGAAACCTGATACAAGGCCCACCTCACACTATTTGCTCAACGAACTAACAATAACAAAGACTGGGCATTTTTTATCCTCGAGGCAATACTGTCGGAGGTTCCTCCCAAGTCAATGCTATGAACTTTGCCTTGCCTCCAGACAATGACTGGAAGTATATTGCCGAGTTGACTGGCGATGATTCCTGGCTGCCCGAAAGCATGCGGCAGATATACATCGATCTGGAAAGAGCCCATTCTGTCCCTCCGGGCACCCCGGGCCGTGGCTTCGATGGTTACATCTCGGTATGTGTGACGAATCCCCTTCCATTGTTTCAGTAAAATTTGAAAGAGGGCTGACCAGATTTCGCCACCTCCCAAAGAGCAATCTCAATAATGTTTCATACGTTACAAACACAACACATGTAGCTGCTGTAGTCCGTGAAGGAATCCGCCGTCTCGAGGGAATCGAAGTTGAAGACCAAACTCATCTTTCTGAGCTTCTGCAGAGAGAAATCAACGCGCTCGATACTCCTATGTATGGAAACGGCTCGTGGTTTCAGATGCCAGTTCATGTCGACTCTCTGCGTCGGCGAAGCGGTGCGCGAAACTTTATCATAGACACGATACAAAGGGAAAACGAAGACGGGTCTCAGGCATATCCCCTCACGTTGAGCACCCACAGTCTCGCCACCAAAATCCTGTTCAAGCAAGATGGTGGTGAGCCAAGGGCGGTGGGTGTGGAGTATCTCCAGGGTGAAGGTCTCTATGCCGCAGATAGACGTTACGACGAGAAGACCAGCGGCGAGCTCCAAAAAGTCTTTGCATCACGAGAGGTCATCGTTGCCGGGGGCGCATTCAATACTCCCCAAATTCTCAAGCTGAGTGGCGTCGGGCCTTCCAAGGAACTCAAGGAACTGGGTATTCCCGTTGTCAAAGATCTGCTGGCCGTGGTAAGTTGACTTGCCGATTTCACATCTGCGCTGGTCCGTGAGCCGTTCTGAATCTGACCACTCACTTATCCAGGGCAACTACATGCAAGACAACTACGAAGGCGGGGTCCGTGTGCGTGCTTCAACCGACTGGGACTTCCCCTATGAAGCAAGATGTTTTTCGGGTTCGGGCGAGTGTTTGACCGAGTGGCTCGAGCATGGCCAGAGCATCCTGGGCGAGGCTGGCGCTCCCGTAAGCTTCACCTATCGCTCCAGCGTTTCGGAAAACGAAGACGCCGATCTCTTTTTCTTTGGTACACCTGGAGCCGTGTTTACTGGCTTTTTCCCTGGCTACTCGACTGCATTCGTGTTTGACCCACCCGTCTTCACCTGGTCTATCGTCAAGATGCAAACGGGAAACACTGCAGGAACAGTGACTCTCAAGTCCAGCAACCCACGAGATGTCCCAATCATCAACTTCAACTATTTCCAGGAGATGGCTGATCGGGACTTGCAAGCGATGGCCGAGGGTGCAAACTACATCATCGAGGTGTTCCAAAACCTTGGCTCGCCATACACGCCCGTGGAGGTCATTGCGCCAAATCCAGAACTTGATGTGAACCAGGCTCTGATGGATGAGGCTTTCAGTCACCACGTCACGTCAACCTGCCGCATGGGACCAAAGGACGATCCAGAATATTGCGTCGACAGCACATTCAGAGTCAACGGGGTCAAGGGCCTTCGAGTCGTCGACGCATCCGTCTTCCCCCGCACCCCTGGCGGGTTCCCCGTTGCGCCTACTTTTATGATTGGCCTCAAGGCAGCACGCACAATCTTGGCCGAGCTGGTTTCCGAGTCATAGTAAGCACTACGAAAATCATCCACATCTTTCCAGACATTCCATCTGCTTTTCTTGAGATGCAGAATCTTGCAGACATAAGAGAAGCGAGGTGAGAACAGGGAGTAGTTCAGGAACACATATGCAAGAGGGTTTTTAGTTGAAAAACTAAGGCTCTACGGGTGCCCTCAACGGCAGAAGCTCAAAGGAGTCAGTTCATATAGAAAGCGCCCTGCGGTCTTTCAACAAGAATGGAGTCTTTTAATAAATCACCTTTTTTCGGTCAATTAACACTGGGCCTAATCCTTAGCATAATTATGTCAGAGGCATTCTATATAAATATAGAGATTAAGAACTACAGATTAATGCTACTATTAGTATAATAATATATATATATGTAATCAGAAAGAGGAGAGATTAACACTAAGCTAGGTAGCTAAGCTAGCACCAACGATTCAGAAACTGCCTCGACGCACGCTTAGGTCTCAGCATCATTACTACCTAGGTAGGTAGGTAGGTACCTTATATATAAACCTGCATGTATAAGAGCACGACGGCAAGTAAGATGATGCTGGGCAGGGAATTTTGGCCCCTCACTCAGCTGCAATAGGCAGCCGCAATGCTCTCGACCCTAAGAATCAAACGGATGCAAATTCAGCTAGGACAAGGGTTTACGATCTCACAGCACCCAACTAAGTAAAAGAACTAGATCGAATCAGAGCGTTTACAGCTCTCCAACTTGCGGCTCGGCATCCTTATGTTCTCCCCTTGGAGGTCTCTTTTGCCCCTTCCTTCCCTTCTTTCGCTGTTTTCGCTCCTCTTGTTCCTTAGCCTCAAATTCCCTTGACCCGACTCCATGGCGTCGATTAGTCTTCGCATCCCAACTGCCGCCTTCGCGTAACCTCAGCTCTAGAAATACCTGATCGCCAATAGCTCGCAATGTTTCCCGTGAATAGCCCCCTTCCATCCATGTAAACTCAAGGCCGCGCTTCTCCGCCTGTGCGTTGACAAATTTATGAAACTCATGATGAACCATATCCGTGACATCATCTTTCATTATTAGGGCCATCCTCTTGAATGGGCTATCATTCCTGTCATCCAAGGACTTCAACTCATCGAAGAGCTCCTCGATGGCGACCCGCGCCATCGCAACAGTGTCTTCACGCACACACTGTAGGTGCAATATGCGGACAGCCGACTCGTCGACCGACACGCAGACGACTATGTCGCGGTCGCGCACAGTGAAGTTGAGTTTCTTCTTTCGACCTCGGTCATCTTGAATTAACGTGTAAATAGGGCACGCAAACGGACCGAGATCGTTGTCTTGATGGCAAGGATCGATACATGTGCTTTCGGTTGTCATATTGCAATCGGCGCAGAAAAGGCGGGAAAGTCTCTGAACCACACACAATCCCAATCAGCACTGATCCAGTAGATATACTAGCAGAGAAGTTGGCCTCGCTCTACATACCAGCCGGGGTTGGGAAAACCCTAGTTTGAGATGGTGGGGAATAAGGAAGGAGGAGCTTAGTCTGGAAGCTTGATGATAATCCAGGAAGTCGGTTCTTTTTATGTTACGGCTAATGCGGAAAACATAGCCCCTCACCCCCACCCTGTTCGTCTTATTCCGCATCGATTGTTACCCACAGCGAAGAGTGCATGAGTTTCCCTACACGAGGAAAAGATTCTAGCCAATTCTGTTCCTCTATGAAAGCTTGTGATGGTGGAGTGACTAGAAGATGCTCAGGAGGTGTTTGCTCTGTTTGGAGACGAGTAGCAAGAGTTAGAGATCGGCCCGAAACTCGGAGTGCCGCGAAGAGAACGACGAGGGTGGGACTCAGCATGTTGAAAAGCAGCGACGTATAGGTTGGTTGGAGCAGGGAAAGAGAGTGGCCAGGCCAGACATTCCCACAGAACAGAACAGCGAGACAGGTAGGTTGACTTTGAATACCCCCCAATCAGTCATTACTATTTGAAACCTAAGAGATTTGAGACGTTGGCTTGATTACTAAAGGCGAAGCTGAGCAAAAGAGAGCAGCACACACTACATGCAAGGATAAATTAGAACATTAGGGTGATGCGCTGTGCCTACCACGCCGCATAAACATGACTAAATAGCTGGTTCTGGAGTATTGCCACACGCGGCGATAACATGCTCACTGAATTGGTTGATGCTCACTGAATTGGTTGATGTTGATATAACATCTACTGGTTTCCATATCAAAGTGGCCCCCTTTAATCCTTGTTCTCCACATCGTCTCCCTTCTCTTCAGGCTCATCCTCGTCCTTCTCCTCATCCTTTTCCTCATCCTTTTCCTCATCCTTCTCCTCGTTGTCTCCCTTCTCTTCAGGCTCATCCTCGTCCTTTTCTTCGTCCTTTTCTTCATCCTTCTTCTCATCCTTATCCTCATCCCTATCCTTATCCCCATCTTTCTTCTCGTCCTTCTTCTCGTCCTTCTCCTCATCCTTCTCCTCATCCTCCTTCCCATCTTTCTCCTCATCTTTGCTCTCGGGTTCTTCCTCAGGCCTTGGAAGTCTTTCATTTGGCCCTTCCAGCCCTGCTTTTTCCCTCTCGGTATAAAAATATCCCTCCTTGGGAGCCCTCCAAGTTCTAGTGATAGGGCAGACCTTTTTATGAACACAAAACCCCTGCTAAAAGACAGTTAGCACATAAAGGATCTTTTCGTATATAGAGAGTATTCGGCGAAAGGTAAATACCCTGTTGAGCTTGAAGCCCGGTATGCATTCGCAACCAGGCTTGCACTTTTTTCGGCAAGAGGGAGGGGCCGGTTCCTCGCAGGTGTCAGGGCACGGGATGGCACATTCGCTCCATTGTTGGTTATAGTTCTTCTTCACGAACACAATTCATCCAAAGAATCAGTGGCAGTTCCCCAAGATGGCTAAATGAGAGACATTGATGTGATAGTACATACCATGCACGGGGGGTCTTCCTTTCCGCTATCGCTAAGCCATGGTAAAGGGTGCCAGCCAAACAAGCCATTCCAAGAAGAAGCATTCGGTTTTCGACTTCTGCGGCTGGTTGAAGTACACGTTGCGGCCGGGGGGTCATAAGGTTTCTTCGTCGTCGTAGGGGATGATGCAATGACCAAGATTTCCGGGACAACCAGGAGGAGGAAAAGAAGAGCCTTCATTTTGTCGGGTCTCGCGATCGTGTACACTGATCTAGTGATAAAGTTCGAAAGTGGACGACGCACTTGAGGGGTGTGATCAAGATATGTGTGTGGATAAATGACGATCGACCAAAGGAGTCCAGTGTGACATAATTGGAGTTTATATAGATTCTCGAGGCCGGCCATGTTCCGTGCTTGATTAGGAAAATTTGCCTAGTTTTCGTATCAGAATTTGAGGACAAAACTGGCCGGCATGCGCCCAGTCATGAGGATTTAGAATTTTTGAGATTTGCCGCACGCCACCTTCGACGCCAAGCTGTATACGAGATGCCGCCCTGACACGCCCTTCTTTAAAGTTTTTATTTCTTTCATGCTCTGTCACGGGTGATAAACTCGAACTTTTCTAAACCTAACGATTTGAAGACGGCAGATGACCATGTCCGAGAGTAGAATTTACAAGTGTCGCCTCTACGATGAGTTTTGCTACCATGAACATGGTGCTGGTCATAATATCACTGAGGGCCCCATCCTGTCATCATTCTCCGTATCAAACCAAAATGTACGGCCAGATATTACAAAGATGCGGAAGCCAGTTCGGAGTGTCTCTTCCGCAAATTCGAAATTCGCATTATCGACCACCCTTAGGCGGGATGGGCAAACCTTCTTTCTGACTTACAGTTTGGGTAATCTTCCAACAAGTACCAATCAAACCAATACACATTCAGCTTCAGCACGAATTCGTATTTGCGAACAGATTACGTACAACGGGGAGAAAGTCTATAAGCAGCCAGATTTCCTGGAAGTAGTATTCATGGTTGCTTTCCGCCCTGTTTGCCACCTGCAATGTGAGAGACGACAAAATGCATTTGACTTCCAGTGTTCTAGCGCTTTCAGCCATTCTTGCGCCCATTTACGCTGGCAAGATAACAATAATCCCTCCTGATGATACTAATCTCGAGTTCGTCGGCGTCGAGTACAAGACTGCTGCGGAGAAGCTCCCCGTGCTCTACAACTACCCTAACACAGCAAATATCACAAACTGGGAGGAGATGCATAGGTTGCTCGACGTGAGTTAGGTGTGGTTCTTCACTCACGGTGAGCCATGAAGGCTGATCCTTGTATCTTGTATCGTAGAATCACACAATCCAGGCAGGGGCTAGGACAAACATATTCCGCGTCCCGTTTAATTTCAACCAGCTCTTTATCGAGAACTCGTCCCGTCCTGTCAATGAAACAGAGCTGAACAACCTCGCGTCCGTCGTGGAAACCATCGTTCAAGGGTACATCTACAAACATGCGACATGGGCGAGACCTGATTGAAGTGTTCAGAGATGCTAATCGCCCTTGACAGTCCCGGTCCCTCCCCATATGTCGCCATCGTACCTGAGGTAGTCAACGGGACAAAACGCCTCAAAGACCCCGATGAACTGTACCAGTTCTGGAGGGTAATAGGCAAGAAGTTCCAGCATAGCACCCATGTGATTTTCGACCTCGGTCTTCCGGCCACGGCCAACAGAGCGCTCGCGGCAGACCTGAGCCAGGAAGCAATCAGGGCAATCCGGAGGGCTGGGGCTCGGAAGCAGTACATCTTCCTCCCAACAGACATGGCCACTCTGAACGATCCACTTCGTCTGATTATCCGGGATCCCTCACATCGGACAATCTTCGAGGTTGACATCAATTTGGTGTGCGGGGCTACATATAGGCGTTACAAGGGGCCCCATCGGAGGGTCAAGAAGAAAAAGTGGCCGCACAAAGCGCTGCTATTCCCTTTGGTCAAATGGGCGGAGAAGACGAAACAGCGGACAGTCGTCAGACGGGTGCAAACAAACAGAAGCTGCCCGGATCAGGTCGACAAACTCTTGAATTACATGGCGAAGAGGCCAGACAGGTGGGCTGGATGGCTGTGGAAAGAGAACAAGATGGATAGACCTGATATGGAGTGAGAGGAGATTCATGAGGAGACGCTCATGTTCAGCACTCTCATGTCTGACCTAGTCCTAGTTCGAATTCCATATCTAGCAAAATGAACAGTCAGAAATAAGCTAAGACGACCTCGGAGAATTAATTACATTGAAGGTCTTCATTTCTTCGCTCATTGTCCTGAAGGGAGTCGTGCTTCGTATGGGAAATGGCACAATCACGTGAGATAAGATAAGATAACACAGATAAGCATCGTTGAATTTGAACACCACATTCTAGAACGGCCTTGGTGGCAATCCACTCCTTACCGAGTCAGGCATTCAAGATAGCAATAAGGTAGGGCTAGGTATGCTACTAGGCCTTGCAATCCCTTCCAGGGACTATTTGTTTGGTCCCTGTTGAAAGAGTTGACAGATTCATGCCGCCGAGCGTTGTCCCTCGCCCCACTGCGCTGCAAGTAAGACCCTTGGCCAACACCCTCCACTGCCTCCACCAGTCTCCAGGCGCTGAAGTTAGTACGTACCTTGCTCAGTGGACTCCTGCAGCAGTTGAGATCACAACCTGTCCTTTCGTAATCCGCCAATCCAACCTGGAGAAGAACACCCCATCATCGCCCATTCCGCCTCGCTCCTGGGTTGATTGTTCGACCGCCGCCCATCACCTGTTCGCTTAAGGAATCACCCTGCCCATTTGCACACGAAGACTCGCTGCGCCCCCCTCTCAATATCGATATCCGCGCAACACCTGGTGGGAGGGAAAAAGCACCCCATCAGAAATTACCTACCACCAGATCACAACATCCCGCTCGGGCCCTCACCTCACAGTCGCTGCTCCACCCTCCAATTCTCCGTTGCATCGCATCGACACACGCTCCCCCGACTACATCTACATGCAGCCCGCCACCGTCTAGCGACACATCTACCCATCCACCGGTTCTTGCTCCCACTCAGGCTCGTCTTTGATGTCCGGCGCAAAGGCCTCTGGCTCCAACGCCAGCGATGGCTCCTCCACACGGCACCGCGAGCACAGGCAGGGCAACCAGGACCGCAAGTTCACCGTAGACCAGGAGGCGGCCGTCATGCGCATCCGCCGCTGCGGCGCCACAGACTTCTACGACATCCTCGGCCTCGAGTCGGTCAAGACGACATGCACCGAGACCGAGATCAAGAAGGCGTACCGGAAACAGTCGCTCCTCACCCATCCCGATAAGAATGGCCATCAGCACGCCGACGAGGCCTTCAAGATGGTCAGCCGCGCGTTCGGCATCCTGGGAGATAAGGAGAAGCGAGAGAAGTACGACAAGTTTGGCGGCGACCCCGACAGTCGCTTCCAGAGTGCACAGGCGCAGAATCCCTTCTCCGGGTTCCGCCAGGCTGCCGGTGGTAGGCCGGCCGGCGGCATGTACGAGGAGGAGTTGACGCCGGAGGAGATGTTTGCACGGTTCTTCGGCGGAGGCTTTGGGGGAGGTGGTTTTGGAGGCGGCGGTTTTGGCGGAGGCGGCTTTGGAGGTGAGAGATTGATGGTTCCCTGAGCACTTTTCATCTCCGTCGACCGCAACATGAACTAACCCAGCATGCTTCTCTGCAGGACCCGAATTCGTATTCAATTTCGGCGGAGGCCCAGGCATCCGCGTCCACCAGTTTGGCGGTGCCCGGCCGCAAACACGACCCCGCAACGCGCGAGGCAACGGCCAGCCACAGCAGCAGCAAAACCCCTTACAAAACCTCCTCGGCCTCCTTCCCATCATCCTCTTCTTCGTCATACCCATGCTCTCGTCCCTGTTCTCGTTCGGGCCGTCGACCCCGTCAACACCACGCATGGTGTTCGAAGAACCCACCACCCCCTACACATACGGCCGAGTCACACCGAATTTCAAGATCAATTACTTTGTCAGCGAGGGTGACATCAAAGGTTACACCGCGGCCCAGTTTTCACGGCTCGACGTAATAGCGGAGGAGACCCGGTTCCGCGAGCTCGGACATCAGTGCGAGCGCGAGCTCATGGTGAAGCGCAGAAAGCAGGAGGCCGCCCAGGGCTGGTTCTACCAGGACGTGGAAGAGATGGCCAAGGCAAACGCCTTGCCCACAAAAGCATGCGATATGATCAACCAGCTGAAGCGGCCCAGAAAGTACGATTAACGGAAAGCTGAAGAGGGGAATGAGGGAGACTTGTGTGCCGCGCGTGGGTTCTGGATGTCAAATGTCTATACTATTTGGAAGAGGGAGTCGGGATCATGGGAATGGGCGTTCAATCTGTTTCTATCTGTAAATGAAGTCGCTTGCGGGAACAGGACCGGTACAGGTATCAAGGCGAGCGAGGCGAGGAAGAAGGAGAGAGTCAACGACACCGAGGCAGATAGAATAGCGGACATGTCGGCATATTATTAAATCATTAATGTTACTTTGGCAATTGTCATAACCCTCGTTTCCTGCCACAGATTTCCTGCCACAGAAAGCGGCTCCATCCATCCAATCTAGACTGCCAACTCTCCCCATCGAGAGCAGAGCAGGTAGATAGATCACCACAGCTGCACACTCGCCGCCGGGTCAAACCCATGCGGCTTCCTCTCCACCTTGCCCTCCAGCTGCTCCCTCTCCCTCGTCTCGTCCGTGCTGTTCGGGAGCACGTACCCCCTCTGGTTCGCATACACCCTGATCCCCCGCCGCACAAAGTCGACCGAGTAGTGCGTGTGCCCAAACACCCACGCCCTCACCCCCGGCCACCTTGACGACCACCACGACCCTCCTTCCACCAGCTCGGTCGAGTACGCGTCGAACCACGGGCTCCCCGTCTTGTGCGGGTTCGCGACCCCCCTCCTCGACGGCGCGTGGTGCGTCACCACCAGGACCTGCCGCCTCCCCCCCTCCTCCCCCGCCAGCCGCTCGACCTCCCCGCGCAGCCAGGTCGCCTCCTCGAGGTGCGCGTCGTGGTGCCGCTGCGCCGTCCAGCCCTCTATGTGCTTGAAGTCGCTGACGGCCAGCTGCACCATCTCGCGCGAGCCATCCGGCAGCGCGGACCACAGCGTGCACCCGAGAACGGTGAGGCCCCTCAGGGACTCGTCGTCGCCGTCGTAGTCCCACCGGCGGCGGTGCAGGAGGACCACCTTCCCCCCGAGGGAGGGCTCGCGCTCGAGTCTCTGCGCCGCCTCGATGGTCCCCTCGTAGGTCCCCTTGTAGAACTCGTGGTTCCCGAGGACGAGGAAGACCCGTTCGAAGCGGGTCACCTGGGCCTCGAGGAAGGCGAGGTAGCCATCGTAGTGGCTCAGGTAGCCGGTGTCGCCGGCGAGGACGAGGAAGGGCGCGGTGGCGGGGAACGTGAAGGTTCGGTACTGCTCGCCGACTTCGAGGTGGATGTCGGACAGGATCTGCAATCGGGGTCCTGTGGGTGGTTGTTGGAGGAAGGAGGATGTCAGCCGGCGGGTCACGCCTTGGAGAAAGTCCATTGAGGAGCGTGTGATGTGACGGGCGGGAGATCTGCGCTATCTGATAGGTAGTGGGGTGGAAGAAGCCAAATTCAATCGAACGATGTGCAATGGAAGGAGACCGGTTTATAACGTTTATTTTATCAAGGACCAAGCCGGTGCTTTTCTACTGGGTCCTCTAGTTTATAATGTAGGACTTCTCCCACGGCTTAGGCCTGAGACGGCTGATGGACCCAAGATACAAACGGAGTAGATCGTTCAGCTTCGACTCAGCCTGTCCAGCTCAGCCTTCGTTAGTGCGCCCCGTTGCTCACGGCCAATCACTATGTACGAGTACAAACCACAGGCTAGATAGCTCGCTTTATGCCATACAGCACAGGCAACAGGCTGACCATCCCGTCGTAGGCTTGGTGAGATGGCGAGATGTAATGCCGATAACTCCTCTTCACCAATTACCAGACACCCGGGATGACAGCCCACTTCTTCGCAACCTTCTCCTCGCCAAACTTCTCAGCATACCACCTCTTCCCGGCAACGGCCCTAGGCAGCATGGTCACGAACTCGTTGACCAGGAAGGTCAGCGCCGGCACGCTGCCCCAGCCGCAGGCCATCCAGAAGCCGAACCACTCAACCCACTCGCAGAAGTAGTGGGGGAACAGCATGTACTTGAACAGCCCCGCCTGGGGGATGCGGTAGTGCTTCGCGGCCGCGTTGCCCCTGCGCGTCTCCCGGCGGCGGATCTCGCGCAGCTCCTCGTCGTGGAAGTAGTTGCCCGCCAGCCCCAGGTAGAAGACGGTCACCCCGGCGACGAACTGCGGGGTGGGCGCGGCCTGCTCCCAGGCGGCGGCGGTCGTGGGCCCGTAGGCGGCCAGCCAGCCGCCGAGGCTGGCGCCGTTGAGCAGCTGGAAGAGGAGGGCGGGCTGCCAGACGGTGAGGTGGATGGGCGAGATGGAGGGCTGCAGGAACGGGTAGGCCACGGCTCTGTAGAGGTAGTGGATGACCTGAGGAAGGGTGTGGTGGGGGTGGTCAGCGCGTCATACAGATTGGAGGGGAGGGGCGGGATGAGACGTACAAACAGGCCGGCGAGCACCTTGTTCTGCCAGGGGAGGTCTTCGATGCCGTGGATGGCTGGCAGGGTTCGCATCATGTAGAGGAGGGTGAGGAATCCGGGCACCTCCATGGTGATCCAGCCCAGGCGGCCGGGCAGGTTCAGGCGACTGACGACGGATGTTTTGCCCATCGGGTAGAACGTGGTGAGAAATTGCGCCGCGCCGAGCTACAATGCGACAGAGGCGTCAGTTGGAGTTGCATAGAAACAAGCATCGCTACATGAGGTAACGTAGCCAATTCGCTGGTGTAGACAGAGGGAGCTCACAATGGGGTACGTCCACTGGAAGATGGTGAGCAGGAACCTCCAGTTCTCCCTAGTCACTGGAGGGAACCATTCCCGCAGCGCAGCGATGTTGAGTCCCAGGACCGAAGACATGGTGGCCAGCTTGGGGGACGAGGCGGCACAAGACGAGACGAGACGATTCGAGGGTGCAGGAGGAAGAGGATGATAGCAAGCAGCTGCCCGCTGGAAGTTGTCTGAGGTATCCCGCCCGAAAGAGTCCCCACATCACTCTCCACCGCTGTAAGACAGTGTTGCAGCCAAATCCTCCGTCTCACACCCACTGATTAATGGCTCCCAGCACCAGGATGGAATAAATCCCACCCAAGAAGGTGCTGTGCCTGGCGGGCTGTGTGCAGTCCGGGGCTGGAGACCTTTCTTATTATTGATCTGTTCATCCAGCAAATGTGAAGCCCTGGGACTCGTTAAATTCTATGAGCGAGAACTAATGTTGTTCAACACCACCTCAGTCACGCAAGTCACTCTTCTTATGTGGCAGAATATATGCTTTCCGTCCGCCTGTATTTATAATTTCCCTATAAGTCGGCACATGCCGCATCCCGTCATACCTCATGCCCCATTTCGCCATCAATACTAACGCCAAACTATGCTCTCCGTCGTGCCCCGTCCCTCGTATGAACCCAAATAGAAGATCTCAAAGAGGGGAGAGAAAAATATAACAAGTTGGAAACAAGACCCAGAAACAGAAGAAAAAAGAAAATGCCATCGGCTTGCAAAGGCCACCGCACCATCGTATCTGCCATGCATATGCCAAGTACGTCTCTAATGATGTCAAGCATGCACATCTATCTATACAGGTCTTCCACACATCACATCACGATACAGTCCCTATCCCTTTCGCGTGCTCCGTGTAGATTTTGTCTAAACCCCGCGGGCACGGCCGCAGCCTGGCCCGGTAAGCGCTGACCCTGCCGTGGTGGAGGGAACGCGCCGTTGTTGCTGGCGTTGGTTGACTGCCGAGACATGCTTGGTGAGCTCCCGGGATGGTTGGGATGTCCAGGCGGAGGCACGTAGGGCTCCGACTGAGCCGCCTGCTCATACGGTGGCGGCGCATCGGCACCGTCCTCCTGGGCTCTATTCGTAGGCGGCACGTTACTTCGCCGCGGAGGGACCATGGGGCGGATCTGCTGGGTCACCGGGCGCGGAGGTGTTCGAGGGGTGTTATTCGGCCCAACCGTCACGTTAAGGGTGTTGGAGCTGCGTCGCGCGGGAGCAATGCCTGTTGACATGCCTGTTGACATGCCAGGTGAAGATGGAGTAGTGTTGGATATGCTTCTGTATGGCTGGCGGCCTTGCTGCTCGATGACGCGGTTCGACAGCTCTTGCTCCCTCTTGCGCCGAGCCTCCTCTTCCCTATGTTTTTGATCTTCCTCTTCCTGTAGCTGCAATGCCAGGGCAAGATCTCTGTCTTCTTGCTCAGCGGCCGACAGCACTGGGCCCGCTTCAGGCTCGGTTACTGTTTGGCGTGCCTTTCCACGCTTGTTCGAGACAGTAGTCCATTCTGAACCTTGTCCTTCAGAATAACCTCCAAAACTGCTTGAGGCGTCCGACCCAACGACCTTGAAATCGCCAGAAAGATACTGAGTGCGCTCCCCATTGATGTCCACCAAGCTTTCCCACACAACCTCCTCGTGAGAACGGTACCCATCGTCCGTCACCAGCGTGACCAGTTGATTCGTCTGCGGATGGCAGTATAACGTGCTGAAATGGTCATTTCTGAAGAGAATGGCAAAAGTTCCGGGCCGAATAGCTCTAGAGATAACCTGAATACCCCACGATGTGAGTTGCGTAGCCGAGTTCTCCAGGAAACCTTTGATTGTGTAGACATCCTGGTAGAGCTGCTGCTCATCCTCCGTCAGGCCGATGCTCGAGTTTGAGAGTTTGCGATCCAGCTCCTCTTCCCGGAATAGCAAGTTTTGCGCGTCTTCGTACGAAGCTCCCTGGCGCTCCATGGCCTCGTAAGCCGGGTCGCCGAGCGGAGGTAGCCAACCGTGGATAAGGGGGATCTTGAAGGTAGCATAGAGACCCATCTCTTGCGTGTTTTCGAAGGTTCCCGGAATGTAGGTGCCTCTCTCGGAAGGGTTCAGATGCGTCAGGGTGGTTCTCTCAAACGCCTGCCTCACAGCATCAGACGGAGCAAACCGTGGGTTGACGTTCATCCCGGTGTGCAGGCTCTGCAAAAACGCGTACAAATCAGTAATATCAGGTAGAGAGCCATCCTCGCCTAGTCGTCGTGGAGACATCAACTCTTCGAAGACGGCGTCCAAAAGAAGGTTGAGGCTGACTTGCTCCCTCGATCTTAGAACCTCCACCAACGTAGCATCACTGTGATCTGGCGGGGTTGTCAGGGAGAGGGCGTTGACCAGGGCCACCAATGGGCAGGGCCCGTTGGCATTCTGGACAAGGATGGGCGACACGCGGGTATCTCCATTAGAGGAATTTCCATCTTGCCAGCGAATGTTCTTCACCTGGTATGTTTCCGCCTTCGCATCTACTGGTGGTCTGGGCGAAGTCCATCTTGCGTCATCCTCGGTCGGACGAGTGGGCAGCGCCGGGTTATCTTCTGAGGGTGCTGTTCCTGGTGTTGGGCCCCGAGAGGATCCAGGAGGTGGTCCATTGGGACCCGGCAAAGACTCAACGTCAATGAGATTCCAATCGCTCGACCCAGCCATTTCTTGCGGTGGAATAGCAGGTGCTTTGCCTTTATTCTTGTCCTTGTCCAGGGCAGAAACATCACCCCAAATATCTCGATCTTCCGCTAGGCTAAGATCTGAAACCGTTGCGGCATGTGGGACGGGACTCTTAGACATGTCGTCTCGCCTCGTACCCCCCCAACCAGGCTCATCATCGGATGGCAACGAGACCAGGCTCGCCGTTGGAAGCGGGGGAGGTTGCATGTACGACTGCGGCGGCACATTCGGGGGCGTCTTTGATGGCCCAACACTACCTTTAGCCGGGAGAGGGGATGCCTCCCGCGGCGGAGATGGTCTTTGCGAGGGCGCATTAGACGATGGGGCGGTCGATGCCCATGGATTGCTCTCGGCTTGTGGCATCATCGGAGGCTGGATTTTCGGAGGGGCAGCAGGGGCAGCCGATGGCGCGGCCCACGGGTCATCCAGCAGCTCGACAGGAGAATCCAAATACGCCGCGGCTGCATCATGTGGTCCAGGCCACGCAACCGGATTGGGCTGCTTGTTGCCAGGAGGCGAGGAATCCCAAATGTTTTCGGTTGAAGCCTTGGGTCCACCATCGGGGTAGGAGTAGGTCGGAGGGATCTCTGGGGGAGGCCCGGATGCTTGGGAGTATATGGATGAGGCTCCAGTCTGCTGCCTCGATAGTGTCGGCTTCCATACTGGGGGTCGCACTGGTTCCTCGCTCAGATCCAGCTTGGACAATTGCTCGGTCGGCGGTGTGCCAGCTGCAGGCACGGGTTTTCGCAAGAAAGGGTTTGTTTGCTTTCGCTGCGCACCGCCAGGTCGGAGAGCTTCTGGGATCGACGGGGTACGACCGATTGCATCCCCAGAAGTATTGGGGGCAGAGACCACTTGGGCGGTGCTGTCTGCTGCCTGTGGAATCGGAGGCGGCCCGCCCACCCTCAAAGATGCAGGAGCTTCCAGAGGATTTTGTCGCGGACGATCGCGACTTGACTTCAAATGTCTGGGCTTCGGCCTAGGCTCAGGCGCCTCGTCGTCCGTGGAGTAATATTCCCATGAATCTCTCGCTCGAAGCGGTGGTCTCGAATGGTCGGAGTTGGAGTAGGCAGGAGGCGGGGGACCGTCGCCGGGGTTGTTCATATTGAGATGCTGGCCCTGGTTTGGGCCTTGTGGGAGACTGGTCGATCAGCGATTTCTATTGTCGAGTTCAGACTCTTGAGAGGGCTCTCTCTCGCTGGTGGAATTGAACGCAGAGGCGGCGCAGGACGAGGCCGTCATACGTCGGAGATGTTCAAGTCGCCCGTTCGAGTCGGTTGAGGCGCAATAGCCAATCGTTTCGCATTCCGGACCCAGAGGCCAGCAGCGGGAGAACTCACACGGGAGCGAAGAACAATGAGCAGTAGGTCTGCTCAGCAGTAGGAGACCGGGTCATCCAGTCAACAAGATCTCGCTTACTCGGTGTGGGGGATGGAAGGGTAATCGTCGTTCGTTAGCTCGAGGTGGGGATTTCGTCACCAGGCGGCGTGTTCCTGAAGCTGGAGCCAAGGTGAGCTTCAGCCCCAGAGAAACGGTGGGGCCAATGCTACAGCGCCACATGGCGGTGCAACTTCCCTTGTCGAGTCGCGGCGAGGAAATGTGGCTGATTGTGGCGTGACGACGTCATCTCGTTGCCTCATCATAGGCAACAACGCCCGAGCACGCGTATCACGGCAAAAGTTACCGTCCGTCCAACACGCCCTTGCGATAAGTGTTACAGATACGTGAGGATTCTCCGCGATATCGTCCGTATTCATCTGATCTCAAGCATGATCATGTGCTATTTATCGGGATCGGAATAAACCCCCATGGGGCATGACGTGTTGCCACTAGCCAGGGGATTTAACGATCATCTTCCCAGATTTTGGGTAGAACCAGCGTCATGGCTCAGTTCGCGATAACCCGACATCGCGTAGAGCTTACTTATCTCAGGTCAGATGTCTTGAATTCCTAAACTTTCCTGTAGTCGTCAAACCCGCTTTTTTCCCTCGCTCGCCTCAACACGAGCAAAACTCTATCAAGTGTCATGAGTTTTTTGGGCAGTTTCATGCAAACTATAAAGGATTCCCATACTTATTTGCGCAATTAATAGGTCGGCGTGGGTAAGGTATCCTGTTCGCGAGCTAGACTTCAATGCTCCTCAATCTCAACCTCTAACCGTGTCTTGAGAGATGGATCTCTCAGCCTTGTGGCAAACTCCCAATCACTTGCCAGGCATGTAGATAAGATTCAGATTGGCCATAAGACAAGCTTTATTTGACGTTCTACGAGGGAGCGAGGATAATCGTGGACATTCTGCCAAGAGCCAGCCTCTCTGTCCGTTTCGGTCAGATGATGTCACGCCCTGAGGCCCCGACAGCGGTATCATCCTCCAACCCAAGCAACATGTCATGAATCGTTCGTCCTGTGTTTGCATCGGACGAACACCTCATTTCTAGGCCGTGTGGGGACGCTGCCGACTCAAACTGCTCGATGAAAGGCGTCGAGAGGATTGGCAAACCAATGTGAATATGTGGATACACAAGTAAAGAACTACGACTACAAAGTGGCTGGCGGAACACGCTGATATACCTCAATTCCCAGGGTCATGGCATTTCTTCAATCATGGCTCTGTGGAAGACACCCACAGCTTCTTCCGTCACGATTCCTGTAGCTCGCCAATTTACTAGGGTGGTCAAACAATCGTACACACTACAACCTTACCTCGTTTCGTTGCCTGAGAGACATCCTCGTAACAGTCACTAACTTTCTTTTTCCTTCTCCATCGCTTTTTTCCTTTTTTTGTCCAGAATAAATAAATCACGGGCAGCGTCGGCGTTGCCTGGGATGATGACGATATGCGGTCCAAGGTTCGGCAGCTGCTTGCATTAGGTGTGGCATTGGTGGGATTGGCCAATCCACACGTAGGCATCGTGATATCGAACGAGATTGACTGGGCACTCACCCGCTATGCACAAAATCCTCCGGGTGCTTCAATGCTCCGGCGATGAGCTGTCTCTGCTGGGCGATTCATAAAGCGGCATGTGGCATGAATATTGGATCTACTCGGGGCAGCGCATTGTCGATGACCTGGCGTATGCGTGTCATGCAGCTAAGATGGCCAATGACGACGCCGCTCCGCCCTCTACAAATCAGCCAGCAGTGCTGACTTCATTGCGAAAGGCGAAGCAGTGGTGGGAGGATGGAGCATGATGTCAACACAGGCACCAGGTACACTCCCAACCCGGGGTGTGATCATAACATGGAGAGGCTTAGGGGGTGGGCAAAAGGGCCATTAACGTACAGGCTTGAAGCTGAATTTGATGGAGAGGTAAGGTGGAAGTATCATAAGCCACCAATTGCATCTACCAATCTACCGTCGCGAAAAAAACAAAGCTGCCATCCAGAAAATCGTGGAAATACGAGTTGAAGTTTGATTCATCCAAGAGGTAAGGTTCATATCATTAGTCATATCTGTTCGTGTATCATGGCCCGCTGCCCTCGTGAAATCATTCATCATCTTCAAGGGACAGCATGGCGTCCTTGATCTCTCTGCTCTACGCCGAATTAGTGGTTTGCAACAATCTTGGTGGAAAAGAGGGTATGAATTCACCCAGGGAGCAAGGCTGAGAGCTGTAGTGTACGATTTTAATGCCGCAGCTTTATCTTCCCCTTGCATGGCATACGCTTGGCCAAGAAGCAAATGAACGCGAGGCTCATCAGGGGCGATTAGCGCAACAGCCCGAAGGTCCTCCAGGGCGGCACCAGGTTGCCCAGCGTAAAGATAGATCCCCGCGCGCTGCATCCTTATCAACGCCATGGTGAGTGGCGGGGGGTTGAGCCGGATGCCTCGTCGCAAGTATTCAATCGCACTTCGTCGCTTCTGCAAATTTTCCAAGACCTGGACCGCATTGTTAGAGAAACCCAAACTGGCAGGAGGGGCGATGTAACATACGCGGGCGACGTAAGTGTAGATGATGGGGTTAGATGAATTAATTTCAACAGCCGTCAGATAGTGCTTCAATGCCACGTCATTTCGACTCAGCCGTTCATAGGCACGTCCAAGCCCAACCCAAGCTGTGTAAAAGCGCGGTTCCACCCGAATGGCGCGCTGGAAAGCTCCGATAGCCTCATAGTAGTCTTCTTGCTCCATGTGCTCATATCCAAGGAGAGAATACGCCTGAGGCAGCTGGGGAGAAAGCTGGCAGGCACGTCGAAAGCACTTGATTGCTTCATCTCGGGATCGGCATACAGAAAACGAGTTACCGACTGCACACCACGTCTCAGGAGATTGGAAGTGGCTCTCAGTAAGCTCGTGTGCCAATAATGACAGTAGAACCTCGTCCTTGAGATGCCACAGGACAGTAGAATACACTTCCAAATCCTCAATCCACGAGGGAGCGCGCTTTCGCAGCGCCTGGAAAGCTTGCTTCGCTTTCTTGTAGTCCATCAACTCGTACTGCGCTCGCGCTGACTTGGAAAGGACCCAAGGAGTCGCCTGGAGCTCAATCGGGAGGGACGCAAAAGCATCTAGGCATGCTCTAGGCTCGTACTTGCTCAAGCTGTGATAGGCAGCCCCTAATGACTGGAGGATTCCAAGCAATTGCACGGTCCTCTCCCGCTCTGCAATCTCTTCCACCCTTATAGACTCAAGCTTGGCTGAGGGGTTGGTTTCGGGAGTGGGTGTCGGCGAGACGGCGGCCTTCCGCTGCGGCAGAGTTCTCTTTTGCGCTGGGCCGGGTCGAGCTGCAGCTGCAGGCTTTTGGCGATCTCGAACTAACGTTGTTGGTTTAGTAGGGCGCCTGGTTGCCTCTCTAGTACTGGGTTGGAAAGCTGGTCGATCAGCGAGGCCAGAAGTCGTTGCAATACGGTTGTGTAATCGAGCACTCCTACGTTGGGTGCCAAGGGAAGGAGTTGGAGCGGTCGTCCGGGAAGTAAAAACGTCCGTTTCTACATGTATTGGGCCGCTGAGAGGGTTCGGCTGTTCCGTCGAGTGATCAAAGGGTGGGCGTTGGCGTTTCTTTGGCACGTTTGTCTTGATCTTGTCAATGTCATTCGTAAGCTTCTCATTCTTTTTTCGAAGAGACATATTCTGAATATTCGCTCCTCGCTGGGGTGTTCGGGTATTATAGCTCGATGGTTGTTCTGGGTACGGAGGAGTCTGTCTCGTTGTGGCATTGGCGGCCACCGACTTCGGGCCGGCACGGTCTGATTTCGAGGTAGATTCTGGGTGGAAGTGTTCAACATTGAAGATGTTCGATATATTCAAGGTAGCTCCTAGAAGACATCATGGTCAGGAAGCAGCTCGTATTCCAACAAAGAAGAAAAGGGGACATACCAATGTCACATAAACTGGTCAAGGCATCCCACATCAAAGGGTCTGATTCTAGAGCCTCGGTGAAGTGGTTTGCTGCGTTCTTGTTATCCTTGTTGTGCCTATGCAGTTTGGCTAGAAGACAATTGACTGCCGAACAGTCAGGCCAGAACCGCTGGATCAGAGGATCTGGTGCGAAGGGCGCACTGGCATCCCGATTTCGAAGCTGCCAGTGTGGCTTGGCTCGCTCCAGTGCTGAGATTCCCTCGAGGTAGTTGCCTTGGGATAAAGATGCCAATGCGAAGACGTACGAGCATCCCAGATGGTCGCCAGTCAAGCCATTCTCGCAGCTATACTGACGAGCTAGGCCGTACTGGCCCAGGCGAAGGCAGGCAAGTGATTTGAGGTGCGCCCAGGTGCCATTCTCGGGGTCCAATGCATGCAGAATACTGGCGAGGAAGAGGGCATTGTCGCTGAGGTCGGCGTCGAGGTAACGGTACACTAGCCGCAGTTGGTCGTCCATGGCGAAGGCTTCATGATGCAGCTGGGAGAGGGTGACGAAGCTGCGGGAGCTTCGTCTGTATTGAAATCCGCAGCCGGGTTGGACGAGGAACACAAAGTCATGTGATCCGGCTACATCATGCAGCGGGGTACCTGAAGATATCGCCCGGCAACCGTCCAATATGCATTGCCAGCTGTCAAAGTGGTTGTACTGTGGCTAGCCATGCAGGCCAACGGGAGGTAATCAGCGGATAACGCCTCTTCTCCAAAGAAAACACAGGCTGCTTACTGTTATGCCAAGGGTGTTCCAGCTGTGTGTAGGCCTGGCAGCTGGAAGCTTGGAGAATTGCTGGTGGAGACCACCACTGACCCATGGTGCGCTACCCTGGACAGACCGTCCGGTCGCTGGAGGGATTGCTTTCCAGGTGCCTGAGATGAGTTGAAGTTGATCGTGACGGGCCAGGTGGACTATCCATGGCCATCGGCAGAGTAGTCTAATTTGATTACATCCTAGGTAATGCACACGGTCTGATTCTTTGATTGATTGAAGGTTTTTATGAAATGGTTTTCGTTTGTCTTCGAGGTATTTGTATCGCGTGTAAGCTCACACATGAGTCAGGTGATTTCCAACTACAGAATGAAGGAATTTCCCTAGCAGTGAATAATCCCATTGTGTACGAATCCTCCAATCAGGCTCTAGGAAGAATTAGGAATTTATCCTATTACTCGCTAGATAAAGTTGAGTCCGAGGCTGCCGTAAGGGCACTGTCGTGTTGGCTCTAGGGTATGCCGTCATGAGGACGGGACAGTTGCCATTCTGCCCCATGAGGAGGGAGGAGTTAGCCAATCCAGGGCAGGCACTCCTTGCTGAAGAATCCCCCCACAAACGCTGAGACCCGCCGGAAGACTCCTTCTTGGGGGTTTGCATGCGGGGAACGCACTACCCTCCCTACTAACCGCAAGGATCATGGGGTAGATTGATGGTCGATGGGATAAATAGTTTCCTCTCCAGCATTTCCCCTTCTTGCTGGGTATTCCTCCCTTCGTGTCGACTTGCCTAAAACAGACCCCCGCAATGCCAGAAGGGAGACGCAATCCGGCCTCGCCGCCCACAAGACAGATTTCTCGACGCTCTTTGACGAGCTGTCATGTATGTTTCATATCCGATTTCTTTTCAGGGGCTGGATAATGAACTAATTGGATCAATTCACATCCATTAGAATTGTCGTTTGAGGTAATCCCCCATAACCGAGTTCGCTGTTGGTTCCACAAGCCTCTAACTCGCCTCCTACCTGCATTACAGACATCTAAAATGTGAGCCGATGACCACTGAGAAAACTCGCTCATGTTATGTACCAAATTAACGCAGGCTTTTACACTCTAGGTGATGAGGCCAAACCCACATGCGGTCGTTGTGCCAAAAGTGGTCTTGAGTGCCTTCGTGGGCTCAACTACCGCTTCAAACATCAGTTCAATCCCTCGTATGCACCACCTAACCCTGGGATGATCAAATAGACTACAAGGAGAGAATGATAGAATTTGCTTACCAAGGAAATCTAGAGTCTCTGGATCCTCTGATATTGCCAACACGAAAGCGCCGGAATTCTCATACTCGGCTGACCAGCAGTGGTGCGATCCAAGCAGCAGCCTCATCTTCCACGACGAGGGCCCTGAGCTTGAGTCAAAATACGAGATTGAATCAACAGTGGAATATGATGACTCTACATTCAAAGTACTGAGGGCCGGTGGTGAGGAGCGCCAGTTTTCTGATTCAGACTCTGCCGTGGTCCTCGGCGCGGCCTGCGACAACCTAGAGGAAGTACAGCAGCAGCTTGACTCTCAACTTCAATTCCCCCACAGTACGGACTCGTACCACCATCACGAGGATCACTATGAACAGGCGGCAGCTGTTGAGCTTCCTTCCATCGCGAGTATCACCGACGATTTCCTTCCACATCCGCAGTACCTAGCTTCCGAACCCCAGAGGCTCTTGCTAGGGATAGCAAACTCCCTGGAAGCCAAGACATCACCGCGACAGCCGAATGGAGAATTCTCAAATGAACAAGATGCGTTGCATCACTTCTCGTTAGATGCTGATGATCTACAGCTCTATTACGAGACGCCTACCTGGCCGCTGCGGGAAGAAGCAGAAGCCGAGCTGGTCCGTTTTTTTATTGAAAATGTCGCCCGTCATTTTGACATGTGTGATCCAGAACGACATTTCGCCTTCGTTGTGCCTCAGCGGGCTGCTCTGTGCCCCCCCCTCATGAACGCCTTGCTTGCGATAAGTGCAAGACACTATAAAAACGTGGATGGCAGTAGCCAGTACGTGTCTGATGGTTATTATCAGAAGAGCTTAAACACCCTGGTCCCAATGCTCAATGATAGCGAGTCCCTGAGAGACGAAAACCTGTTTGCTGCCATCGTCCTCCTCAGATCTCTGGAGGAAAGAGAGGGTGAGTCGAACTCGCTATGCGTGGCGAGAAGCTGATTGAACATACTGACGCATGCCCATCCAGTGCCTCTATCCAGTGCTGACACTCGTACTCACCTTCTCGGCGGCCATCTCTTCGTCAAAGCCACCAATGCCATCTGTTCCGCCGCAAGCCCGGGAAACATATTCTCAGCCACGTCGCTCACTGGCCTCCGCCGCGCTGCATTCCACGTCGCTATACGACAGGAGATCTATACCGCGTTCGCCTCACAGCGACCCGTCACTCTAGACTTCACATTCCCGGACGTCGATTATTCGCTGGAAAGCCCGGGCGACGACTGCACATGGACGAACCGCATCTTCATCCATGCTGTCGGCGCGCTGAATTATTGTTTTGGAGATGACGGCGTTGCTGGCATGGACAAATCTCTTGAGACGTACGATGCCCTTGTCGCGTATGCAGAACAGTGGTATGAGAAGAAACCACCGAGTTTCACACCAATATTCTACAAGCACCACCAAAGGAGCGACCGGGAAGGGAGAAGGATATCGCCTGATATCTGGCTATTGTCTGATACGGTCACCACTGGGTTACTCAATTACCATCTGGTACGCATCCTGCTCTTTGCGTTTGATCCGCGGGCTCCCCGCATCGGGCCTTCAAAGGCTCGCTTTCTCCAGACACAAAAGGAAAACGTCCAGAATGAGGTGAGACAGCTGCTGGGGATCGCGTACGGCAACGGCAACTGCGCGCCACACCACATTCTCGCCTGCACAGGGGTTTCAATGGCCGGTGACCAGTTTGAGAATCTGTGGGAGCAGGAGGAATTGATGCGCTTCCTGGAGCAGACGGAGCAGAAACACACCTGGTGCACTTCAAAGGCTCGTAGGCATTTGGCCGAGGCATGGGGATGGCCGGCACTCGAGAAGTGAAGAACAGGAAATGATTGTATTTTTAATGGTTCATGTGCAATATGTGACCTTGGAAATTGAAGTGCATTGATGCTTTGATACCCTATTTATCCCTTAATTCTTTCGTTTGTTCTGTGAGGTTTCGGCCGAGCAGCCGTTGAACAGCGGTCTCCTTTCTGGAATCGTCTCGATACGCTCACTACAAGTGCCTTTCGATCTATCAAACCCGATCCCTTCGCCACACCTTGACTGGCATTTCTTTCATCAGAAGATTGGTACTCTCCCTTACTTCAGGCACCCAACTCTTACTTGGAAGAGCCATATCATACCGGTGCACAACAGAAGCTAACAGGACAGTCTGTTCAAGGTATGAGATATTCCTTCCAATACAGCCACGGGCTCCAGCGCTGAAGGCCACAAACCCCGCCTGCAGCTCGCGAGCCTTCTCCCCCAGCCAGCGCTCCGGGTGGAAAGCCTCTGCATCCTCAAAGACCTTCTCGTCGCGGTGGGCTACGTATGCCGAGATACTCACCGTGGTGTCTCCGGGGATGTACTCTGTTCCTACGGAGCAGCCCTCGGCTGGGGTACGGCGAGGCAGACCGAAGCTGGACGGCGGCGCCAGACGGAGAGACTCGTCGAGGACAGCGCGGAGGTAAGGCAGATGCTTGACCTTTTCATATGGCGCGACGGCCTCATCTTCATCAAGGACTGTGTCGACTTCGTCACGGAGTTTCCTTAGAACTTGGGAGTTCTTGATGAGCTGGTACATGACGTTGACTAAGGCGATGGCGGTCGTGTCAGACCCGGCGTTCATCATAATGGAGATCTCGGCCACGATCTCGCCCCAGTCGAGGTTATGGGGCTGCCCATTCTTGTCCTCCATCAGGGCTTGGAAGAAGTCATCCAGCTTCTCCCCGGCTTCGTACCGAGCGAGCCTCTTAGTGGCGCGATGGTATACGAGATCGCTCCAGTTGTCGCTCAGCTCCCACATATCCCGATATCTCCTGGAGAAGAGCTTGGTGATGTAGATATTCCATTTATACCAGGAGTATGCCCAAACGGTGCAAGTCTGCGCAATAGATCCCTCGTGCAGGGCCGCGCGGGCGCCGGGGACCGTATAAAGCGTTCCGTCCATTCTCTCTGCCGTGCAGGCATCCGAGCCCTTCTCCGTGAAGCCGAGCTGCTCCGAGAGACCAATATCCGCGATGGCTTCCAACGTGAAGAAGTTTGTATATTTGCGGTAGTCAAAAGTGATTTCTGCGGGATCAGGGTCCAAGCCGGGCTTGAGGGGCGCGGTACACGCCGCATCACATGCCCTGATGAACTTTTCCGTCTTGTCTGCCACTTTGTGTTCCCACCCCTCGAGGTTCTTCAGGGCATAGGCGGCAGAGAGGACCTTGCGCTTTCGAGCGTGCTCGGCCTTGTCGACGACATCGGCGAGGTGGAAGTGGGTGCCGGCCAGGGTGGAATAGAAGGTGTCCTTGGTGCAGCCGGCGCCGTGGCCGTAGATGTCCTAGGAGAACATGGTCAGCATAAAAAAATCAAGAAGCAGGGTCCGGTTTGTCGGAACTAACCTTGATTGCCCGGACACCATGGAACGAGAGCGAGTTTGGGCCGATGCGGATAACGGGATGCTTCTGATGTAGTTCACTTAGGCGCTTCGATCGGAAGCCCTTGGTGGCCTCATACATGAACCCGAGATCAGTGAAGCCGGCGATGGCATTCATCGACGGATATTTTCTGAAGCCTTTGGCATCATAAAAGTACACAATGACAGGCCAAACGATGAAATAACTCAAAAAGACAATGAAGGAAGCCACAGGTACTAGTACAGAATACATGTTGGCTGGATAGAAAGGTCTCACAACGGAGAACAACAGCACGGGGTTTGGAAATTGGAAAAGAATTGTCATTACATAGGAGGAACGCCTAAGTCAAGGACATGATATATACGTGAAAAACTTACATTGTCATCAGATTTGTTCAAAGTTACTGAAATGGTATCCATTGGTGCTCGAGGAGAATACAATGCAACGGCTCAAGGTTCAGGTATCCGGACATCTTCTCCAGGGCAGGTCGCCTCGGGTTTCCTTGAGACTGACATCTCCTCGTCGGCGGGGTATTGAGAGGGAAGATGCTGCGGGGGAGGGGCTAGACTTGGGTCAGAGGTCATGCTTTGCGGAGATGCAAGATCGAGATGGCCTTTAGGAGGAATGTCAGCGTGCCATGCGGTGTTGGTTCATCCCGCACTGGTGTCTACCCCGAGATCCGTCAGATCTGTGATCGGCAGGGATAATCGAAGCTCCCCCACATAGACTGTAGTCGGGTACTTCGTTAGCGTCGGAGAAGTTTTCCTCCTGGGGAAAACTCGTCTCTGTCCTAAACTGGGAAAGTCGAGACGAACGTCCTTTTCTGACACTGAGCCATCTTCTTGGTTTGTCTTTCTGTCTCGTTAGCACTCCGATGGGCACTGGTTGCTGCTTGCAGATTGACTAACGGCCTATCTTGGCTAAATGAAACGTACTGACCAGGCACCCTCAACTGAAGATTTGCGGTAAGAATGCTAACCTCCACCACTTCCCCATACGGGAAAAATGTGGCAACGAAATCCCGAGATGGCTTGGCTGTCCAAGTATATGAGGCTGAGAGGATCAGACCTCATGGAAACCGGTGCCCTCGCTACGCCTAACTTTTTATTCGTGAAAAACAGATCTGGTCCGTGGAGAAACCCAGTATGTCTTCTGCCCTTCTTCATTACATTGATTTCCTGGGCCCCTCTCTTCCGCTTGGGCAGCAACAACTTCCTCCACTGCCACAGACACAAGGAGATATCGCGGCTTGTCTCGCGCTCGCTATTGCATTGTGTTTTTGGTTGCGCAAACCATGGGACCTGCCGGATCCTTATCGACATGTATACTACGAGAAACCCCAGCTGAAGAATGGAGGTGGTCATGGGAGAGCTGCCGAGACTCGCAACATAGCAATGAAGTTGGAAGAAAGCGTACGTGAAAACTGTGTATTGGCTCACCCCGCGATAATAAGGCATAAGATATTGACCAAGATGTATCATATAGAACAAAGACTTGGTCGTTTTCTGGGGCTCGCAGTCAGGGACTGCAGAGGAGTTCGCAAATAGGCTGGCCCGTGAGTGCTACAGCCGATTTGGCCTCGACTCCATGTCGGCAGACCTGTCAGATTATGATCCTGAGTCGCTGTCTTCCATCCCAGAGTCCAAGATTGCCATATTTATCCTGTCTACCTATGGAGAAGGAGACCCCAGTGACAATGCTGCCGGCCTCCTTCGCTATCTGCAACATAAACCTTCTCAATCACTCGCCAATATTCAGTATGCTGCCTTCGGCCTTGGTAATAGCAACTACCAACACTACAACCGTGTAGTAGACGTGGTGGCTACTGCCATCGACGGCCTGGGAGCTCGAGCTCTCATGCCACTGACCAAAGCTGATGACGCCGACGGGAACACTGAAGAGCAGTTTCTGGCTTGGAAGGAATCCGTCCTCCGGCTTCTACAGAAAAAGCTGGACCTTGCCGAGAGAGAGCCCTTCTATGAGCCCAAGCTGCAGGTGGAAGAGGACGAGTCTCTGGATATTATTGACCTGCATTCGGGTGAACCCATGTCAAGAGACGACAGTAAATCCTCAAGTGCCGTGGTATCAGCGCCTGTAAGTGGCGCAAGGGACCTGTTCCAAAACTCGTCCCGAAACTGCGTACACCTGGACGTCGATCTCTCCGCCCATACCACCATTTCGTATAAGACGGGCGACCATATCGCTGTCTGGCCTGTGAACCCTGCAGAGGAGGTGGATATCCTGCTCGGCCAACTTGGCCTACGTGATCGCTGCAGAATCCCCATCAGCATCAAGTCGCTTGATTCTACGAAGAAGATTCCGGTCCCAACCCCGACTTCGACTGAGGTTTTGCTCAAGCACTATTTGGAGATCAGCGCCGCCGTGTCAGCAGACACCCTTGCCTCAATTCTACAATTCGCTCCATCTCCAACTGTCCGATCCTTTTTGGGACAATACGTCGAGAACAGGCAAGCTTACATCCAACTCGCGGAAGAAAATCACCTGACGCTGGGACGCCTCCTACGCATGTCTGCTATCAAAGGGGGCCTGTCGGAAGACGGCGCCTGGGCCAACGTCCCATTGTCGTTCGTCGTCGAAGTCCTAGGAGCCCTGCGACCCAGGTTGTACTCAATTTCCAGCAGCAGCATGCTCGCACCTCGGAAGCCGGCGATCACAGCTCTTGTGGTCGAAAAGCCCCTGCGCAACCGTCCAGCAGAGTCCATCCCCGGCTTAGCATCCACCCACTTGCACAAGGTATCAGTATCATCAAGGAACGAACTACTCCCTAGTCTTCATGTGGCAATTCGAAAGTCCAAGTTCCATCCGCCTGTCGCAACCAAGGATATCATCATGATTGGCGCGGGAACTGGAATCGCACCCTTCCGCGCATTCCTGCTGGAGCGCGCCCGTCTTCACTCCATGTCGCGCCCTGTCGGACGCACGATCCTCTTCTTTGGCTGCAGAGACCCCAAGGAGGACTACATATATAGAGAGGAGCTGGAGAAAGCTGTCGCCAGCTTACCTGGGGCAGAGATAGTCGCGGCCTTCTCGAGGACTCAGTACCCTGGCAAGACGGGTAGGGGCTATGTGCAGGACGCTGTTGCCGCTCGCGGGCAGGAGCTCAGTAGGATGATTGCTCAGCAGGAGGCGCGGGTTTATGTGTGTGGACGGGCGGCCATGTCGAGAGAGGTGGCAGCAGTCCTAAAGGATGCCTTGAAAGAAAACGCGGATCTTGGAATCGAGAATCTCGCTGAGTGGTGGACGAGCTGGAGGCGGATGGGAGGGTTTTCAGAGGATGTCTGGGGCTGATCCTGCCTCTTCTTAGGCGGTACCAGCTGACACTGGAACCAGGTTCTGCTATGATTCAATAACAAGAATAAGGAAGATCAATACGTAGTATTATTATTCAACCTTTGGCCCTTCGGGGCTTGTTGACTTCATGTGGTCAGCCAATTGGCTCACCCATCGAGGGGGCAGTGCCAGGTGGCGAAGCCCTCCATCAAATCAAACGTTGCGCTTCCACTACGTAGACGTATCAACTAATGCAGGTAAGACTTTGTACGATAGGTGTTTGGTCAGTGTGAAATTGGCCAATGCTACCCTCTGATGGCCTCACAACCTGTAACTGTGGCACAGCCACAAAACCTGCCGGGGATCGTATGGAATTTTCTCACCACCAACAGAGATTGATCATATCGAACATCCATCTCTCCTGATGCCGTGGAATGACATCTATCAGCCATGGAGGCACTCAATACTCTCCAAGTCGCTGGCGGTGTGATCCAGTTCCTGGATTTTGGGAGTAAGCTGCTTTCTAATACCAGAAAGCTGTATCGATCCCCAGATGGTGTATTGTCCGAGAATGTCGACCTGGAGGTAGTCACCACTGACCTTGCCACCATACTTCTGAGCTTGGAGCGAAAATTGCCCGATCACCGCCCGATAAAGGCGGATTGCTCGCAATCGGAGGACGAGAAGGCCTTGGACGAGCTTTGCATTAGATGCGTTGCGATCGCTGAGGAATTGATTGCAAACCTCAACAAGCTAAAAATTGCCTCAGGGAAGGATGAGTTAAAATTGTCCGAGGATGACAAGGTTGGCAGAGGCAGCTTTCGGGACTCTGAGTCTCAAGACAAGCTGGGGCGGGACAACTGGAGCTCCATGCTCAAACCCAGTGGAAAGGGGAAGTCTAAGATCTTCAGGAAGTGGAGTGCTTTTCGTAACGCGTTGGAGGCTGTTTGGAGGAAAGAGGAAATTGAAGCAATGGCCGCGACACTGCGGGAGTTTAGATCGGAAATTGAATTCCGTATACTGGTTATGTTTCGGTAGGTATGAACCTGGACCAAAGCAAGCAAGAAGCTGGCTGACTAGAGACAGAGCAACACTAAGCCAGCTCGTTGTCCAGCAATCACAGTTCTCTCGGCAACTGACAGAATCAACTCGAGCTATTCTTGATAGCTTCATACATAGCCGGGACGACCTTGCCACGCAACTTCGCAGTCAGGTGGAGAAGTTGGTTTTCTCTGAGATCTCAAAACGCGATGTTAGTATAAGACTACCCGGACACCTGGAACAATATCACAAGGGAGAGCTGAAGCTTGCTGGGACATTCTAATATCCTAAGGGGGCGAAAAGAGATGAAGAAAGTATAGAGGAGCTTCCAGCTCGTGCATATGAGGTGGAAGAGAGTCCGACTGCTCATGATCGAGAATGGCGTCTTGGGCAGTCTGAGCTTTGATTCGATCCATGACCGTAAGGACAGTGTGGAAATGCCTTTCAAGAACACTTTCAAGTGGATCTTCGAGGAGCCTGGATCGACTGAAAGGCCATGGAGCAACTTCATGACCTGGTTGCGGCAAGACTCTGGAATTTACTGGATTAATGGAAAGGCCGCGTCTGGAAAGTCGACCTTGATGCGATATCTCCAGGACAGTGAACAGATACGGGCAGGCTTAAATGAATGGGCCGGATCCATGCCTCTGGAGATCTGTCACTTTTTCTTCTGGAACATTGGTGACGAGTACCAAAAGTCTCAGAAGGGATTGCTACGATCGCTTCTCCACGATATTCTTCAACAGCATCGAGATTTAATTCCCGCTATTATGCCTGAAGCTTGGGAGGCGTGGTCCTCGCGAGCTGACCACATGATGTTAAATAGCGGCTCACTCCGCAATCCGATGCTACGCCCTGACCTAAAGCCGTGGGGTATGATACAATTAAATGGTTTCTTTCGAAACTTGCTTCAGACATTGCAGAGTAGGGTTAAGATTTGCCTATTTATTGACGGATTGGACGAGTACGACGGAGACCATTACGAAATCGCGGATATGTTTGAAGAAATTGCCCAATCCTTTAATATCAAGCTCTGTTTGTCCAGCAGACCGCTCTTGGCCTTCGAACAAGCCTTTGAGGGGCAGCCTAGCCTCAAGCTTCAAGATCTCACGGCGAGAGACATAAGTTACTACGTCAAAGAAAACCTGTATCGCCATAAATACATGATGGCCCTCGCAAAGGAAAATCCAGCTCAAGTGTCTGACTTGGTGGGCGATGTTGTTGAAAAAGCACGCGGTGTCTTTCTATGGGTTAAATTGGTCGTCAGGTCATTATTGCGTGGCCTATCAGACTACAACCGCATCTCTGACCTCCAAAGACGGGTTGAATATTTGCCTGGTGACCTGGAGGCTCTATACTCCCATATGCTACAGATGACGGATCCATTCTACCATGAACAAGCTTCGAGAATCTTTCAAATATATCGAGCTGCTCAGCAGCAGTGCCCGAGTCAGTTGACTTTGTTGAATTTATCATGGGCGGACGACGAGGACGAAGATTTGGCGGAGAAGGCCCCGATCCAGCCACTCTCTCATAGCAGGATTGCATATCGATGTAAAGCAATGGATGCTCGCCTAAAGAGTGTATGCGCCGGCCTTCTTGAGTCAATCGACACTAGGTTTTCAGATATCGCTCCTGACGCGAAGGTACTCTTTCTACACCGAACAGTCTCAGATTGGATAACGCAGCCCAAGGTTTGGAGCAGTATAACTTCTCATACGGAAGGGAATTCGTTTAGCCCCAACATCGCAATGCTCAAGTCCTGCGTTTTGCAACTAAAAACTGCCAGCATAGGCCCCTCTTATCCACTTGACCTGGGGCTCATCACTGGTGCTCTGAAGTTCGCGGTGGAGGCCGAGAAGGATCTCAACGGCGGATTTCCAAGGTTATTGGATCAACTGGACATTGCAGCTTCGTACCACTGGCGAGTCGGAAAACATTTCTTTACCAGTGAGCCAGAGCCAGCCTCTATGCCCAGCTCGGTGAACTCAAGCTTCATTGAAGACGCAAGAGACCAGGATGACGTGTTCGAATTCGAGGACCAGGAACCTGAACTGTATTTCCGGCAGCTACAAGATTCACGGACTGGGATTCTACAGGCATCATCGCCGCCCTCCCCTGGTGGTAGAAGCCCTGTTGCAAAGACTTCAGCACCCTACCACTGGTCAAAAGGAGTTGATGTTTCTCGCCTTGGATGTGCAGGTCGGCCAAGTACCTTTTATGATCTTGCAGTGACTATTGGACTATCCCACTACGCAAGGATGAAGTTCGAGTCCGCCAGCATCGTGGACCAGGATGTAGAGCAGCATATGCTCCTACATCTAATTACCTCGAGGACTGACCTAGACCCCACTGTGATAAGACGAATTCTAGAAAACGGCACAGATCCGAACTTGTCCTATGATGGATTCAGTCCTTGGGAACATGTGCTCCTGTCCGCCGCAGCGCACTTCAACCACGCCCCATGCGGCCACACCCGGTGCAAAGACCATCCACCAGACTTCAAATGGGAAGAAACTTCCAGAAATTTGGCTGAGATCATCCAAGATTTTCTTCATCACGGAGCAAACCCCGATCTTGTCACTCGAAACCACAGTTCTCTACAAGGACATCCAAGACTCTCGGCAACCGTCCTTATTGAGAAGCACTTTCCGGAATTCCTGGTAGTAGAAAGGAACAAGCTCAAATATCTCTTGAGCCAAAAAAGAACCAGTTTTGGCCCGGATATCGGATCAGGGGACCTGGATAACCAACCTGTGATGTACGACGTCTTCGGTGACGTTGATGAGCCCATGGGGCGCAATGAAGGGGAAGATGGTGAGATAGGGGGGACGAGACATGGACCACCTGGCCCGTTGAAACCCACATCGACAGTGCGATGGATGCTCTCATGGGTGGTACGCTATTGATCATCTGGCGTTAGGTTGTGCATCTTGCTTCAAGTCTGGTTCGCGCAATCACCGTGCAGAAATTACAAGTTGATAATCGACTGCCCGTCAAGTTAGTTGGAAAAATGTGAATTATCAAAGAGAATTGATTTGACACTAGTATACGCTTTTTATAACTATAGAGTACGCTGTAATACAAGTCTGCTCATAGAGTACCAAAGCCCTAAACCGTATCGATCAGTGAACTCGTGATCCTGATATGACACAAAAGTAAAGAGTGGGTGGTAGTGATACAGAGTTTGTAAGCCAAGAAAAGTTTGTTAATACGCTCAAGCTCTAGAGAGGTAAATCCACCGATTGACAAGATGTTGATCGCCCCCTCGATATCCCGATTCAAGAAGAGCTCTCAGCCTTTCAGCATCTCCCGCGTGGCGAGGCGCCTGGGGAAATAATAGAGGGGTGGCTTGGAGAGCATTCTCCAAAGAGTCGATGGCTATCGCGTATGCAGCGGCTCTTCGGTTTTCGGACTCTCCGCGGATAACGCCCTTGTCGAAACCGTGGTTTTCCCCCTGTACCATGTAATTGACGACTGTTCGGCGACCGTTGCGCAAGTTGTCGGCCAACGCGGCCCCCTCTTCCGCAAAGATGTCGAATTCCGCGGTGATGAAAACTACATAGTCTGGAAACGACTCCAGGTCGCCAAGGTCCGGAGAGGCTCGCGGATCATGTCGGTCGTCTTGATTCGGCACGTAGCAGTCATTGAAGAAGCGTATGGTGTTTACAGGCAGAGGCGTAAAGCGTTGCCGGTGCGGGGGATTCTTGTGTACAGGGTCGACATCGCAGTTGGTGATGGGATAGAAGGCGACTGGCACCCTGATGTTGAGTCCATGAGATGCCCGACGCAACGTCGAAGCAGCCACCAGGGCCAAAGTTGCGCCAGAGGCGAAGCCCGAAACGGCGACACGATCCAGATCGAAAAGGTCTGGTCGGGTGGACACCCATCTCAGCACGTCCTCGGCATCGTGGACAGCGGCTGGAAATGGATGTTCAGGCGCCTTTCTGTAGTCGGCATCAATCACCCAGATACCAACGTCGTACGCCGCTTCAGTGCACCACACATGGTCGAGACCGAATCCTCCAACAGTGAATCCACTCCCATGCCAGTTGATCATGACTGGCCTCTTCAGTGAGCGTTCCCAGCCCGGGGGGGGATAAGCCCAAACGCGAATCTTGCGATTGGCATCGCGCGTAGGTATTTCGATAAGCTGCCTCTGAGTTGGAAGCTCGAGAGCGTATCCAGAACGCTGCGCACGGTTCGCCATTTTCCGAACGAAAAAGGCGGCGCATTTCAAGCGCAGAGATTGAAAGAAGCCGGACATGTTGCTCTCTTTTGAATCACGAAGGATAAGGCTAGGAAGGCTGACGGAAGAGCTCAACTAGATAGAGGTCTCGGTTTGGAGTAAGCCCCGGCTCGGGCGGCAAAGATAGTTCTAATTGATCTTGGGTATAAGATGATAGTAACGAAATGAGCGTTGATGGTAATTCTGTTCCCAATGGATGCTGGCGGTGCTTGTGATATGAGGAGAGAGAAGAGTAGGCAGCGTCCGAGTTTTGCGAGGAGAGTCTTTGTTTTGGTTGTACTGACCTGCTCCTTCCTTCATTCCAATATGTCGACCTGTGATTTCTCTGATTTCCTGTTGGCAGCGAATGAGAATGCAGTTTGTCATCTCAACCCTTCTAGTTTCGGTCGGTGGCCACTGCCTCATCTAGCCATAAAGACATCCTCTCTGTAGCCTGTCTCCAAGGCAACACCTCAAATTCTGGAGTTTGATTTGGCATTTAGCGAAGGTGTATTGCTAATCTGACTCATCGCGTCCTTCCCTGATAAACGCTCATGCTGTTGGAAGATGAATTGCAGCACCGTCTCCCGCGGCGCTCCATTTGCGCCACCACAGCACATGTTTCCATTTTGGTACCATTGCGGGAATATTTAGACATCGTGTGTTAGGATATAGAGTCTCGTAATATCAATCTTAGACAGAAATCAGGAACATTTCATCATGTTCAGGTGAACATCCGTGGAGAAGAATAAGTCAGCTACTCAAGCGAAAGACGAGCCGCGTGGAAAATTCATACAACGGATGGCTTTCTATTGAATTTTATTCCATATTAAGGGTAACGGTATCTAGAAAAGATAAAGATAGTGTTATGTCCAGCATAAAGCTCATTTAACTATTGCCAGTTTCAACATTGACAGTACGGTGCTATTATTCTGACCTGAAACGACCAGTGACGAGATCCACCTCGTTCAAAGGAACCAGCTTGGTACGCTTCCAAAGTTTATGCCCAATGAGAAGAACGAAAAAGATAAGCAGGCTGACATATTTCGTGAAGAATGCACTCGTGTCCCAGTTCATAAACACCTCAAATCCGTTGGTCAGTATAATGAGGATGTTGAAAAATAGACCGTACCAAGATAGGTATGGCTGCAATGGAGCGTTATACGGCAAGTCTGAGCGAGGAATATTCTGTGCTGCCAGAGCTCGCATAAAGCGGATGTGACAGTAGTTGATAATCGCCCACGCAATAAAGCCAGCCACGGAAATAATGTTCAGGAACCAGTTGAAGACAACTGTTCCGTTTTCTGACAAGTTCATAAATCCCAAGAACCCAACGCAAGAGCACGCGCCCACTGCGTAGTAGGGGGTACCCAGACGGTTCGTCTTTCTGAAAATTGAAGGGGCGTGGCCAGACTCAGCCAGGGAGACGAGGATGCGACTGCTTGAATAGACGTCAGAGTTGGCGGCGGTGAGAACGGCAGTAAGAAGAACGGCGTTGATGATGGATGGTAGTACGGGAATCCCAGCGAGTTGCACTACCAACACGAGGGGTGATGCTGAAGCGTCCTGTGAGTCACTCGTCAAGTCGCCATTCGTATATGGGATGTTGATGCCCAGAAAGAAGACTGTGAAGATGAAGAGGCCTGAGACGCCCCAGAATGTTCCTCGGATAGCTGATGGGATGCTCTTTTCAGGGTCTTTGGTCTCACCAGCGCCGATTCCAACCAGCTCTGATCCTTGAAAGCTGAACCCGGCTGTGATGAGGACCGCCCAGAAACCCACAAAGGATCCCACCGACCCATCTACCAAATGCTGAGCAAAGGCTCCAGGGTCATTCCAGTATTTGAACCCCAGATACCCCCGGCCAGAGTTGCCGACTCCCGCATTGATGCAGATGGACAAAATGAGGAATCCGATGATGGTGATGACTTTAATGCTGGACAGCCACATTTCAAACTCGCCAAACCACCGAACAGGCATGAAGTTGGCCAGGGTGAAGACGAACCAGAAGACAGCAATCCAGATGCCGACACTCAAGCTCTTGTTCCAATATTGAATGATGAGACCCGCTGCCGTCAGTTCCAAGGCAAAGGTAAGCGACCAACTGAACCAATAGATCCAGCCCATGGAAAATCCCCACGTAGGGTCGATGAAACGAGAGGCGTAGTTGGTGAAAGCACCTGCCACTGGGATGTAAGCAGCCATCTCTCCAAGAGCCGTCATAACACTATATAGAATAGTAGCGATGAATATGAATGCAATAAGCAGAGAGGCAGGGCCGGCGGTAGCCAGAGCGCTTCCTGTTCCTAGGAATAACCCCGTCCCGACGGCAGCGCCGATGGCAATGAATTGCAGATGGCGGTTATGAAGCCCTCTCTCCAAGTGTGTGCTCGAATTTTCGACATCCACATCTTTCCCTTGGTGCTTATTTGACATGCTGCCATATGCCTGGTGGTCGCTGCTGCTTCTACTGATATGAAGATCCATCTTGAAGGAATGGTGAGGATCAATGGTAAAGATGAATCGGGAAAGAGAGCACAGGAACGAACTGTCACTATAATTTTTCAGCAGAGTTTTCTTCCATTATCTAGTAGTTCACAAACTCTACATGTCACGCAACTTGTCGGGCAAAGGCGTTCGCGCCCATGCCGAAGCTTTCTCAACAACAACATGCCATTGGCTCGTGCCTGTTTTGAGTTCTCCACCTCCGCCCTGCCAAAACATGTTGACGAGCGACCCACAAGAGGGAAATGGGCTCTGACAAATAAAAACTAGATATGGAAGAATAATCGTGTAATACAAATCAATAGGTCAAAAAGAGATCAATCTAGAATTCTCTATGACAGAATTTAGCCAAGATTTCTGCCTGTGGGGAGTATGGGGAAACGGAACCATGGATTTGCTCTGCAGCCTGTAAGACGACATGTGCTGTACAAACGCGACTCTGGCTTGATCAGATTGGTGTACATCACACCAAATAGATGTCGTCCCGAGGTTTAATTTTCTTCAAGGTTTTGGCCACCCATGATATTCGTGCGTTGTATTTGTAGATTTGTTTATTTATCGATCTATCAGCCACGAGGGTTTAAAAAAGATCAACCGTGAAAAGATTGGCAATGGTTTCTTCCTCATTTCCGAAATACCCTGTACCTCCGCCCCTGAGGTTTGGTCTTCCGACTTGCAATATTGTCGGGAAATAAGCCTCGATCGCAATTCATTTTCGTTCATATTGGTGCATATACTTGAATAAAGACGAGATTTTGTTGTTGATGCCCCTCCTCTTGTTTTCGAGTTTCCGGCGTGGCAAGCATTCAAAGACACTTCCCACAAGTTAATTAAGTAGTTGACCGAAGCCTTCCGTTGAACTCATCGTCTAATCACATCTCTTATCTGGCTGTAATAGCCACCGTAAATGATTTCGGAGATAACCTTAGCTTGATTTGTCCAGAGATCTTGAAGCCTGATATGATCATTTAAACTTGATACGCACAACGTATGTCCGATCGGGATATTCCCACGGGGCGGACGTACGGCCTCGGAGATTACAGGATATTTCAGACCTCTTGAACCCGGAACATCCGCTTTCGATTCTTCCTCACGTTCATAGGTGATTCGTCTTTTATAGAAGTCATTTTACGCTTGTTACCGATCATGTTTGAGAATATCGGCATGTATGCGAGGGTCGCTGCATTCATTTTCGCCCTCGCCGGAGAAGAAATCCGACTCATCGCCGGCGGCATTGTTACTCGCCAACAAGCCCGTTGGTTTGGGAGCACAGCATCTGAAGACCGAAAGCTCAATATTGTAATAGTCGGCGCATCATTCGCAGGTCACCAGGTGGCTCGTATCATCGCTAATAACCTTCCGCCCCGGAGCCCCTATCGAGTCGTCGTGGTTGAGCCCAGCAGCCACTTTGTATTCACCTGGGTTCTACCACGCTATTGTGTAGCTAAAGGGCATGAGCACAAGGCGTTTGTGCCTTATGGGGGCTACACCGATGCTGCGCCAGATGGGGCTGTGAGATGGATCAAAGACCGGGTTGTCAGCGTTACTAGAGAGAGCGTTGAGCTGCAAGACTCCAAAGAGGTCATTCCTTACAGCCACCTGGTCATCGCTACTGGATCCAATGTGAAACATGGTCTGCCTTCACGGGTTCACGAGACCGAGAAAAGTGCTGGGATGAAGCTGTTACAAGAGATGCAGCACGACATAGAAAGGTCTAAGGATCTTGTGGTGGTGGGTGGAGGTGCAGCTGGTGTTGAGGTAGCCACGGACGCCAAGGCAAAGTATCCTGACAAGAAAGTTACGCTGGTGCACTCCAGAAATGCGCTGATGCACCGGTTTGGGGAAAAGCTGCAAGTAGCTGCGCTCCAAGGGACGGAGAAGCTGGGAGTTGAGGTTATTCTTGAAGACCGCGTAGTCGGACGCGATGAGGATTCCAAAACTGTGCATTTGAAATCAGGCCGAGAGCTTGAATGCGATGTCCTGGTAAGAGACTCTCCCCGGTGAATTTTCCGATCGTGCTTTTTAACCTATATTCCAGATAAATTGTGTTGGCCAAAAGCCTAGCTCAGATCTTATCGCTCAACTCTCGCCAACTTCCATTTCTACGACCGGTCACATTAAAGTTAGACCTACTCTCCAAGTGGAAGGTGATGGCTTCTCCAACATTTACGCATGTGGTGATGTCGCGGACACCAAGACGCCGAATCCGAACGCCCGATCAGCAAGTCGCCAAGCAGTCGTTGTGGCTAGAAATATTCTCCAGGAAGCGCAGGGTAGACTTCCAGATAATATTTACGAAAATCATTGGGGCGATGGTGTTATCAAATTAACATTGGGCTTGGTACGTGGACAAATTTTATATTTCCAAGAGGTTGTGCTAATGTATTGCCTTGGTAGGATCGCTCAGTCGGGTATATCGGCGACGACAAGTCTGGATTGCTTTTTGAAAGCCGGGAAAAGGCTGAGGAACTCATGGCGGCAAATTGTTGGAGACATATGGGAAAGAAGCCATACGAAGATGACACCAAGCTGCCGTAATCCTAGAGCAACGAAACTGGGACATCATTTGCCGTCTTTGATGGCCAGTTCAGAAGGAACACTAACCCACCCCCTACAATACTTCTGCTCTTTTCGACTATCATTAAAGCCACCAATAGAGAGCGCTTGTTCGAATATATGGCCAGGGGCTTCAACAGCACGTGCACAATAAGTGCAATCCCCTGCCACACATATTCGTCTTGTTATCCATTTCATTAGCGCACTTTCTTAAACGTCTGCGATAGAGATATTAAATCGATATCCGGTTAAACGGATTTACTATTCCTTTGAATCTGGATACGGCATGTGAACTACTAGAAGCACATATCATGTTCTTATCCCGGAGAACAAAACTAGACCGCATGGCTACAATCCAGATCAACAATTAGGCCTTCCTAGCACATGCTCCTTCACCTCGAACAATCACGTGTTCTGCAGCCTGTCACAACAAAGACCTCCCCTGACTGTCCAAATGGGATCCTATCTTGGATGTGATGATCCTGGAATTCATTTGATGCGGAAAAAGTACTAGGTCATGAACTATGAAGACATACAGAGAAGAATGGGATTCATTGTTTATAACCGGCGAACTGGGCGTCAGAAGGAATAAGACACTACCTAAAATGAAGGGCGGTTATGAGCTAAGTACATATTATGATTACTAGAATCATAAGGCAGGTATATAACGGCGTATATTAACAACATATCTTTATATTGGCTCTTAATAATGTGACAACACCGGCCATAGATTAATAATACTGCAAGCTGATATTTGCATGTATCAATTTCAATGCCACTGAGTCGCATGCGTAGCTAACTTCTTGGTAGATGCCTCCACCGGCCGACTGGAGCCACAAGGGCTGAAGTAACAAAAAAAGCCTCATAATCAAAAAGACGAGTCATGGAGAGCTCTAATTGATGGACGAACAGGGAATCGAACCCTGGACCACTCCCAAGTTTTCAGAGACTGAATTATGCTAAGGGAGTATTATACCACTAAACCATTCGCCCAGATGTTTTTCCCGTGATGGCGTGGGCAACCTAATCGAGGCTCATGGTGATACTGCCGCGTGGAATGACCGCGGATGATGTTGACACATTTGGATTCTTTTGTAAATTGAGACTTGGTGTTTTGATCTGCTGCAGACGTTGGTCGGCTCCAAACTCAAATGGACCTAAGAGGCATTCGTTGCAAGTGATGAGGAAGCTCTGGCTTGCTCCATTTCTAGGGATCTCATGGCACCGTGGATGAACTCGCATCTTGTTCTGTACCTGGAGGTTGCTCTGTTTTGCCTGTACACAATGCACGTGTTTAAGAATCTTTTAAGGCGGAGACGACGATTTTAGCCATACAGAACGTCAAATGGTATAAGTAAAGTCGTTTGTAATTTTCTATATAGGAAGAAAAACCTAACCTCTGAATATGCTTTTCAATGTTCTGGGACACGTCGGGGACGTTCTGATCTCAAATTTTGGCTCGATATTGGCCACCTTCGCAAAATGAATTGAACTTTGGATGGTCGGCTTTCTACCGAAATGCCCTTACTTGCGCAACAGCCTCGGGTTCATTTGAATTCACCTTGACGAGAGTAAACTTTCGGCCACGGTCTTGTAACATTGCTGCTCTTTGTAGTCCGAAATGCGTTATGCAAATGAACTGACGTGATACAACAGGTCACGTCGCATAGTGCAATAATGACGTAGGTAACCTTTTGGTGAATGCTGACTGTCAACCAACTTTTGGTTGTGCATAGCTCTGGTTTCATCCTTTCTGGGCCAGCTGCATTTCATTGGCAAGCCACAATTCAACAAGTTCTCGAGGGGCACAATTGCTGCCTTATTGGTGCCTTGCCTAAAGGCTATAAATATCATATTGCTGCAACCCCTCACCGGACACCCTTCCTCGTTCTTTTTCTGCATTTCAAGTCTCTCACGAATCAAACTCCTTGGGAAGGATAGGCAGCGGAAAGATCTTAACGAACTACAATATGCTACCGGAAGAGTCCCCCGATACCACGTCCCCGATGGATCTGATTACAGCTCAAGGTGAATCGACCGCATTTGACCAGCTCGGCCATGCTGCAATAGATCGTAAGATGCCGAGCCAAGAGCACACCGCCCAACAAGACTCTTTCCAAGCTCATGAAACCCGGAATCAAGGCCGTTTGACACCTGAGAAAAGAGACATGGATTCACAAAGTGAAGCATCCCTGTCTCTTGGGACAGATCGCTCCCAATGCCACGCCATCAATATCACCCGCTTGCCCCAAGAGATCCTGAGCGGCATTTTTGGATTCTTCCAGCACCCAGCTACCGACGGGAAAAGGATAGACCTGGAATCCATCAAAACACGATTCAGCAAGGATCAGCACAAGGACATTCAGAACTTGCGGCTTGTGTGCCAACTTTTCAACACGTTGGCGTCTACGCTGCTGGTGCCCGTCATCCGTGTTGAAGTAGACCAGCCATCCCTCGACCGTGTGCTGGCTCTTCTGAAAAATCCGCTCATCGCCGCTGGAGTTCTTGCCATTCAAGTAAATCTCAGATACCATTTTAACGTCCTGGCGGTGGGATTTTTGGATTTCATTAGATACCGGACGAGCGATACTCACCTCTGGGAGGATTATTTTCTCCAGCTTAGAAGTTCGGAACTACGAAATGCGGAACTATCTGGTCAGCCCGTTCCACAGGAGGTTCTTGAGAGGAATGATCTTATGTGCCAAAGAAGCAGGGCCTTCGCTTTCGCGTGCCTGCAACACATTGGCGAGCAATCGCCTCAACACTTAAGGCTTAAAACTGTGGATGATGCACAGCTTGTTGAGCAATACTACAGGATTATTCGTGTGGCGTATGAAAACTACAAAATAAAATATCATGACCAGCATCGCATCGCAACAGAGAAGTTGCTTGTCAAGGCGTTGGCAAAGCTGGTATCTCTCGCAAGCCGTCGGGTGTGCCTCAGCATTTCTGACGGGGGCTGCAATCGCGACCGCGGCTTGTTTCCAGACAATCAAACCTTCAGTAAACAGCTTGAGGCACCGGACGGATGGAGCGACTTTCGTCCACTAAGGGAGAAACCCATTGAGGTTGACCTGGTCAGCCAGCTTAGCATTATTTGGGACCTTCCGATCGCTATTCATGAAGCAGGGGGCGTCTTGGATGGATTTGAGCTCCAGCATTTAGTCGCAGACAAAGACCACAGAGGCTACAGAATGCTTTGTCCAGAGTCCTTGTCGCCAGGTGGGCACGACCTTGACCGATTACGCGCTGCCTGCCAGCATTTGACAAGATTTCGATTTGGAGGCCTGCAACACAGAAAGCATCCTAATGAAAGTGCCTCCAGAGATTGGCAGATAGGGAATACTTCAATCACCGACTTTTTGCAAAGCATTCTCTCAAGCCGGCAGCTCGAGGAAGTCGATATGAGTGAGCCTTCGAAGACATGTTCACACACACATCTTTGGCGAGATTCACGGCTCCTGGGCAATGTCATCTCGAATCTGCATTGCGCGCATCTAAGAACTGTTTCGCTTGTGAAAATAGGCATGTCACAACGCCAGATGCTAAGGATGTTTCAGGGTCTGGGGCTGAAAATTCGGCTCATGTCGTTGGACAGTGTCTGGTTGACAGATGGCAGTTGGGCACAAGTTCTTGACGCACTTCGACGGGCGTTCAACCGACCAGGGCTGAGGTCTAGGCCTAGGATATCCATGACAAGGCTGAAGGGTGGCAATACTGCAATGCTAAGAAAGCAACTAGCTGATGCCAATGCCACAGTTGAAGGCCCAAGTACGCCAAGCGCGACAATGGTCCGGGCTATGGACCTCAAGTTGATGGAACTGTTTCAAGCGTACATCACAAGTGACCAGGAAACTGCCAATCCAGGGCTTGGAAATTCTGAACAGTGAAAATGCGCATAAAAATTGGCGAAGGATTTGCGGTTTTGGTAGTTATTCGATAAGTCTGTTTAAAAACAGTCTATATGACTTTGAAATTGATAGTGTTCTAGCTGTTTTTCCACAACCAATGAACTCAAAAAACTAGTATCAGGCTATGACCCGTCATAAACAAAACGTAGTTCCTGAAATCAAGCCTTTATTACCCAAAGTCTCGAGACCAAAAACTGGGCGACTTAGCAGACGCATGATGTCCGATCTATACTTTCATCACCCGATCCATCCATGCTCGAGAAGCTGAGTATGGTAACGCCCAACAGAACTGGCAATAGTTGTGAAGGAATTTTCGGGTTCGTTTGCTATCTTGAAACATTGGTTAAGGCCGGAGATGTCTTCTCTCAAATACAGATCGCTTCTTGCCGCGGAATCGCCTTCGGGACTTTGGAGAGGCAGATTTGCTCTTCCCAGGAGAGAGTGGAGGCGAGGGTGCCTTCGCATTAGCCATGAAGAGCCTTTCCATTTCCGTTGTTATCTCTCTGGCCTGATCCTTCGTTCTGGTGACACCATCTTGAACGACCTGAACTTGGATAATTGGTCGACCAACACTACCCATAGCTGCTTTGTACCTGCCGCCCGACCAAGTTGACATCCCTCTCAGCACTGAGTCCTTTAGGTTATCGTCAATTTCGCTAGAGACGGATTCTGCGCCCGTCTTTTTTCCTTTTATGTAGGAAGCACGGAAACTTATACCAATCGCAGAAGCCCAACCCGACATGCAGATGAGGCAGGTTAAGAATAGAGGTCCAAGTTCAGCATGCATTTTTGGCTGAACAGATTCGCGAGGTTGATGTGAGAGAAGAAAGTGAGAGAGGAATATTGGCGGAGGATATAAAAACGCGGGAAATCACGAGAATCTTGAAGGATATGCTTAGTGGTAGTTCGCTCAAGAATGTACTGGCTTTTGATTTGAGGTTTTCTTGTCGGAATCTATCCTGTCTCTACTGGTGTACCGGTGCGAGTTTATATAGGCTTTCTGTCGTCTCAATAAAATGAATTACATATTCAACGTATATCTTGTCTTACCTAGTCTGCCATACTAACAGATCTGTGCTTTGAGTCAAGTGAGGATTAATGCTGCTGGTCGCTTACATGCTGTGAATTTCCATCCTTTATGCATGCCAGCTGCAAAATAGGACTATTCTAAGAGACTTCCGAGCGGTTGCGCTACAAATGCAACATGGAATTAAGAATTTGACTCGGTTCTTGTCACTGCGCCACCGCGTGGAGAGTAAATACCGGAGGTCAGGTTGTATTGAGGGACAATAAGCTGCAGATCATACGACAATAATGCGCGCATTCTGGCAAGTAATAATGGATTCTCCCCTCATTTGCACCGCTTAAACCACTTTACTCTCAATGATTGGCTAATCGGCCCAGTTCAGCTCGTGAAAGCCCACAACTCGAGGATTTATATTGGTATTTTGGGGTTTGCAGCTGGCCTCAGGAAGACCTTTTGTTTTGCCGTTGCAACGGGAAGGATTTACGACCCTCGTCCCCCTTCAGGATCCAGTGCCGTGAATTCTCCGACTTCTCTCAACATTACCCTTACGAAGTTCTTGTCACCTCATTCTTGCTCGAGCTACCTCACACTTGGCATCTATCAACCCGTAAAGTCTTCCCGCCATGTCAACATTTTCCCTCTTCCCTCAGCTACCAGCCGAGATCCGCAGTCAGATATGGGAGTGCGCGCTGCCTGGTCTGGAACCAGGGGTGCACTTCTTTAGGGCAGGCTGTTGGACCCCGCGCTACCTCAGTCCCTCTGATGACGAGTATGAGCCGGACGCAGTGGATGATAACCGTTATGCGAAATTTGATAATACACGAATTAACAAGACATGGCTGGCGGTTTCCATCATTGATGTGAATCGCGAAGCCCGTCAGGCTGCACTACGCTGGGCACAGGGATATCAACTACAACTGTGCTTTCTACAAGAGCAGCAAGAACTGGTTTTTCTTCGCCATTACAGCCTTGAAAAAGATACGCTCTACGTTACGCCTGGAAGGTGGGAAAGATTTCTGCAGGAACTAATGGCTCCCGATGATATGAGGTTTATGAACAACATGTTTTCGCTCTCTTCATATATTGATCGCATTGTTATTCCGGATTCATTTTTTGAAGAAGCCATACCAACCCTTCTTCAGATGTTCCAGACCCATGATCTGGAAGCACTGTATGTTAGCGAGACGCCACTAGAGCCTGTATCTGATGATTTCGATCCCTCATACCAGTATGAGCCATGTGGAGGAGCAACCGTGAGCTGGAACTCGGAACTTCAAAGGTTTGATTTTGAAGCAGGAAATGAAGAGATTGACCGCCCGGGATGGCATCAACTTCTGAACCAAGCTGCTCAAAGTTTGGTCAAAAGTTTTGCTGCATGCCGCCGAGAGAAGGAACTTTCTATCATGGCTGTTCGGCTCTACAAGGTATAGAACCACCAAAATGAGTGCGGAATCATGGAAAGTTAGTCTTCCGCCTGCCTCACACATCCGCTGCTGAATCATGTGCTGGGGAAAACGCCTGCATATCATCCGGGAGGGGAATCAAAGCCAGCGATAGATGATTGATCTTTATGTTTGTTTGCTTTTTTCAAGAAGAGCAACTATCAAATGATACGTATAAGGGATTTGCGCTTACTTTCTTTGAGAAGATCTCAGTCGAGGCTCTCTAATTCGATGTAATTTCATGATTTCTCCTGAACATAGACCCTAGTTGCAGGTTGTTTTCTGATGTATGCCTGAGACTTGCGGAAGAATTTCATGCCTACAGGAGCGGGCGTCATCTGCTCGTTGATTGAATTTCACTTTGGAATAGCTGCAAGGGTCTCATGTTTAAGTAGCCAATTCACGACTTCAGAGCAGATTGAGCGTACTAGTACGTTTCATTTGGACCAATAGCTATTGTAGTCGACTATCGAACCTAGCTCAGAGATTTTTCCAGACTCTGCATAGAGAAAGGACCCAGTGATCGAACGCACACCACCTCCGCTGGGACAGATGCAAGATCTTTCTCGCGCAATCTCTTCTCCTTTTTCCGGTCTTCTTTGAAGATCAACCTTTGCCTGATATCGTGGGGTATCGATCGAGCAGAAACTAGTCTCACAAGACTCGCCGGCGCGCTGCTTTGCGTTCCTTCTCTGTGAGCTTTCACCCAATACAGGTTGTTGTCTAATTTATGGAAGAAGTATGTACGCTCATGACGAAGAGACCAAGCCCCGGTGCTGGCTGGACATAAGACTGCGGTTTCAAGCATATATAACCGATTGTCCCAGTTTGGGTTCGGGCCGCGGCACGTCATGGCCCCAGATTGGAGGCAAGTGTTTGTCATGTATGCAAAGGTTGCGCAGTCGTCCGAGTCCGCGAGAATTGGCGCCCAGGCGTTGTATGAAGACAGCGGAATATGAAAACACCTATTCACCACGCCGTTGTAAGGCCAGGCAACCAAGAACTGTGTACCATCTGGGCTCAATCCCGTGTCCGCAAGTGTCCCAAGGATCTGTCTGATGAGCCCCAGAACGAATTTGTACAGTTGGTCCGGCAAGTTGCTGAGCCAGTCGGAAAATTCCTGTGCCGACTTTGATGTTTGGAACGTCTCTATAATATGGTATTGGGATACTAGTTCTTGCCAGTTCTTCTTTGCCTCCATGCTTGTGTGAGTCTTGGAAAAGGCTGGCAGCAGATCGGCTACCAACTGCCTCAAAGAGACGCGCTGGGCCACCCCGGTACAGTAACTGACCCGGACACCCCAGTAGAAACTGAGAAACGGTACCAACAAGTAATCCTCTTGTTCCAAGTTTCGGGACTTGATCGTTCTGCCGCGTCGTTTCGACCAAACTTTATTTCCGGTGAGAGAGAAGTTATCCGGGCCTCCCTGGAAACCGAACTGATACTCTTTCGCCTCATAGAAGGAGCGATGCGTGCCCAACTCCTCAAACTTCCCAAGTGACGATGACCAGCAAGCCTGTTCCTCATTCTTACACCCTGAATTGACATTAACCAACCCACCAATTGTAATAGGCTCGTTCAGGGCTATCTGGACTGGATTCTGGGGCAACCTTAAACACCAATCCCAATGGTACTTGGAACCCACAGCGTCTGAAGATGGTGGGCTGATGTATCCGCCGCCGAGTTTGACTGCCGAGGGAGAATCTGAATTTTCTGGTCGGAAGAGCAACTCTCCGGGGCCCCATGTATCTAGAAGATCACAAGGCGTCGCACGGATATCGTACTTAGTATTTTTGTCACCTGAAAAACTCTCCCCGAACACAAGCACGGGTCCCTGGCACATTTGTCCCAGGCACGTCAGATTAACAAGCTCGGCAACAATAGGGGTACATTCAAAGTAATTGTAGTGCGGACATCCCTCCAGAACAATTCTTTCTAACGGCCTGTCAATGAAAAAGGGCTGGATGGGACCAATATGTGCTTGAATGTATGAAACGAACCCCACGCATAATACTTGAAGAGCCAGTGAGTGAAGATGTTCATTATTGCTCCAGGCTTTTGATGGAGGGTCATCCATAACTTTCTCGAGGATTTCATGCACGGTTTTCGCTGAAGCATCTTTGTAAATGCGGCCCTGCTCCGTTTTATATTTAACAGCCCTTTTCATATCCCGGATAAATTTTCTTGCCAAAGAAAACTCGATACGAGATAGCTGGACTTCGGGCGTGGCTGACGCTTTTGACGAGGCACCAAGTCTCAAAACTGTGAACGAATCACAGCAGAACTCGGCGTCTTGCACCATGCGAGCGGCTGTTTCGAATCGCTCAGCAATTTGAACGAGTCGGGAGAAGATACTCTTGGAATAGTCATAGACTCGATCGTTTGCATCTTGAGTAGAGTAGTGTATCGTAGCCATAGACCTGGCTTCGTCAAATTGAACCGTCCCGTTCCATTCTGCCTTATCACGGCAGTAGGGCGATATGCCACCTAACCCGCACAGCTCCTCAACCGCTTGCCTCACTTGTCTGTCTTGATCAAGCGGTGGGGAGGAGAATGATGCGCGATTCTTCCCAGCTGATTTTGATTTGAGCTTGTGCGCGCAATTGAGTAGGTGATGTCCAGGCCAGGATTCTGAGAAGGGGATATTTTCCGGTTCAAAATAGATCCAGGGTGAGTCGTGAGCTTTTTCGTGTACAAGCTGGGCGATTTCTGTGTTGCTGTACCCAATCTCTTTGAGCTCCTTTATCCAGACATAGTCACCAGCCGCTGCTTGCCTGAATTGAGTGTCTAGGAATATTGCGATGAATAACGGGTCATTGAGAGCTATCGCTTCCGACATGCTTTGTGGAAGAGATGGAAGGTTGGTGACAGATCGCAGTTCAGATCTGAGCTGTTGGAAATCCGGCCCTTCTATAAAGAAGGCCACAACCAAGTTGAGATACTCCAGCGAGCCGTCGTTTTCATCCACTTCTTCCTCGCTTGTTTCATCCTGGTCTTCTGAAGCTCTATTGGCACGAGAAGCAATTTTCAGCTTTTCGTTCAGCCGCTTTTCTCGGTCAGTGTTGGAGATCAATGGGGCGTCTGTGCTGAGCATTCGCATGATTAGTTCACCAGAACGGCTCTTTTGCGAACGAGACGACAGCGTTCGAATTGTGAGCAAAATTCCAGGGTCCTCGGTAGAGTCTCTTAGGCGCTTGAGATATCTAGATAAGAGTCTCTTGTGAATCTTTAGGAAGAGTTCTTCTCCTAACTTGCCGATGGCGTTGGAGTACGCCTCGCGCATACCACGGCTTAGGAGCATTTCCACCAACTGCTCAGAAACCTCCTTGCGATGCTCAACTGAGCCTACGCTAGAAGAAGATGACCCAGATGTATTCGAGAATAACGAAGATGCAACCGAGGTTGTTGATTCGTTGTCAGAATCGTGCACAGCATCGTGGACTTGATTCCTAGGTACCGGCCATGTTGGAAGCCCGCTGTACTCAGGTAATTTTTGCTCCGCCCGTCTTCGTGCCTCCCTGTACTCAGGCGAGTTTCGAAATCCCTCTTTTCTGGTACGGCTTGTTTCGACCTGCGACCCCGAATCCTTGGATTCCACGCCAGAGCCTAGTTTTGGTATAATGGATAAAATCTCACTTCGGTTTTTAACCCCGTACTCTCGCACTGGGCTGCCTGGATGGTCTAGTTGTCTACCCTTGTAAAGAAGTCTGATATTCTGGACTTGGCTATCTGTCAACTCCATTATTGTGCCAAGCCTGGCCTTGAGATCCGTGACAACGAGTTTGCCATCCCCGATGGAGTAGGCCGGGAAGTGCAATGGGTATGTAATGCCCTTGTTTTTCACCAAGAGAACATCATCTTCTGGTTCGTGAGAGTCGGAGGACGGATTATCTCGTCGCGATTTTCCGGAAGGTCTCGACATAGAATCATCCAGATCCTGTGAGGTGATGTATGCGAAATCCTCATCAGTGACGTTGGGATTGTTAGTCCAGCCATATCTAGACATGATGACGATGATAATTTAGTCCAAAATCAGGGTGCTTGAAGCGAACTTGATTGATTCCTTCAGTCAATGGCAAATCTCGATTCTGAGTATTCACTAGGGTCTAATATTGGTGGAAAAAGAAATTTGCCTAGCGACTATGACGGCAGTGTGGATGAGCCTGTGGGCTGGTCTGACCGTTCGACGGATGATGGGATTATGCTCATGTTCCTGGGATCGAGTGAGGGGTTCAGCAATGCTAGTTGTCATCCATGCACGGCAATGGAGATCGTCACGTGAAGTCAGCAGCGAATTCATATGAGCCACCTGCATCGCTCGTATAAATTCGTTAGACATAGGTTCGAGATGCCTCCTGCATTTTGACCAAGACACGAATAAGTGTTTATTTAACGGCATTACTATACTAATTTCGACGCATCGTCGTGATGGTTGGTTTGAAAATGAAAAGTGAGTATTGGACATCTAATTATGTAGCTTACCCTGTACTCACTTGATTATTCCTGTCATTGAATACTTTGAAACCTGGGACCAGCATGGCACATCATACAGCATGAAAGCTTGGGTTTTTCCAATTGTTGATCTATTCTGCTCGTCTCCATACGGCAGTACAACCCTACTCCATGCTACTTAAGCCCTTCCGTAAATCCATAACTCCATAAACTCAGCTCTTGGCTAGCTCTACAGATAAAAATCTTTATATCACAGCAAGGCTGACGCAATTCTTCTTTCTCCAACTTGACAGCTAAAGTAGCATAGTGTCCTCTTGTGCCATTTGCATGACAGTCAGACACGACGTCGCATCACCAGCGACGTGGTTGATCCCGCACTGCGCGAGCTCCTCCAACCGCTGGATCCAGAACCTCCACCGATCGGGACTGAACCCTGTTGAGGAGCTTGGAATGCCGGCCTGGACGGCCAGTTCACCAAGGCCTGCCAAGTGCGGGTGATCGGCTGGGTTGACAGTGGACGCAGTAACAGCGACAGCTGCAGAACGCTTACTGCTCAAAATAGTAAGACTGAAGTCGGAGGCGATGACCAGATGATGAAGTGGGTAAATCAGGTCTTCGATGACCCATTGGGTGTCTGGTGTCGGTTCGCTGCTTTCATCGGCCACCAGCGGTCGAGGGGTCTCCAACGTCTCGCGGAAGAGTGATAGCGCACAGAGCGCAGAACCATCGTAGAGCCCAACAGATAGGAGCCGCCCGATGAATGCAGCTAGGTTCTTGCGCTTATCTGTGTCGTAAACAGTGTCTTGGTAATAGCGGTAGGTTGAAAATTCCTCTGTCAGATCCTTGGCAAGCAGAGGAAGACCAGACCACAATTCGGCCCCGTCGGAGAAGCCGGCAGGGCCTTTGTTCGCAATAGTCGGGCTGAGGGCCGAACTTGCACGCCTCAGGCGTCCTAAGGCCTTCATAAGCATTATGTGACGAATCAGTGTATCTTGAGCGGGATTCAGAGGCTCAATGCTCTTAGCTGCCTGGATGACAATGTACCACAGGTCATGGAGCCGGTGCTCAATTGTGACCCAGGAATTTGTCGTATTCTGGGTGTACTGAGCGCTGATGACATGAATGATAGAGCTCAAGGTCATATCGTAGTTCGAATTAGGGGCACGTTGGACTTGTTCGTCAATCTCCTGCCGGACCTGCCGGGAGAAGGAAAGAGAATCATCGACCAGCGATGACATATTATCGGCAATTTCAGGGCAAGGCATAGTCAAATAAATGCAGTGAATATGATACGACCGAAGCAAAAGAGAAAACGAATTTCAAAAAAACAAAGGAAAATGTCTGAATGGAAAAGAAAGGTTGGAAAATAGATTGTGTTGGTGGAGGAGGCTATCCTGATAAACTCCTTTAATCGTGGGGAAATGTGCACTTTGGCCGATGCCCCTGATGTGATTTGGAGGAACAATACAATGAACACTAATATTAGCATTACTCTCATATAAATATCTCAGGACACGTAAATAACGCAGATCAAGATTGTGTCTTATTGGAGCCTGAGCTAATATCGCAGCATGAATGCGTCCACTTCCTTATGGGATAGGACGCTTCAGCATCATTCATGCGGTCACTTCCCGCGCCCCTCTGGAGGCGACGTGTCTGTTGATTTAGGGGTGAGATTCTCGGTATAGCGGGCTATGTTCAATACTGTATTATTACACCAATTCCAACGGATCCAGGCGGCTGAAAAATGGAGGAACGGCCCGCCACTGCGACGTGGAGTCAGCATCAGGAGCCCAGGCTCCTTCGGCGGACGGCTGGAAAATCGTACTTTGTGCTTGTGTCACAAAATCTGCATATTCCCAATACGAGCGGAAGTCATGCAATAGCAGCTGAGTGCTATACGTAATTCAGCTGCCATTGGCCGGCTAAGATAGTACGGTCACAGCCGGGAGATGCAACTTTGCGGATTCAGCTGCCGAGGCGGTCTGACTCTGGCCAATCGCGAAGCTTATCCCTCTGTAGGATCATGGATGGAGCTGGCCAGTTGCTATAAATATGGGCGGATACAGGTGGATTCGTGAATTACTTGCAGCAATCCGTCAATATGCAAGCCGATATTACGGTACCTACGAAAATGTGCCGTAAAATAGTTCGAGGGGTTGCATCCCCAAGTGTGATAGGATGCTCCAAACACTAAGATAAGCCATCATTCCATCATTAGTAGAAGGTCTTGGCTGCAGGGAAATTTCTATCGATGTGAGACAACTCCGAAACAGCTGCAATAAATACGCTTCGTATCGTCTAATGATTCATGTCTTTATCTCATCAAACCAGCACCATCCCAGCAGCAGCAGCCAGCACACATTGCATATGATTTTTGCCTCTTTATACCTTTAATCATGAAGTTTTCCATTGTTCTTCTTCTTGGCCTTGTCTCGGGCTCTGTAGCCCTCGAAACAAACACCGACCCAAATGGCCCAATGATATGGGGTGTAAGTCATGCCTCTCTCACCACGAGGCAATCGGCCAATGCTGAGTCTCGGGGTTTTATCACTCAACCTTTACTGACTAAATTAGCAATGCGTGGTCAAAGAAAGCGAGTGCAGGTTTCAATACTATGTGAGGAATGGCTTCCGAGACCGAGGTGGCCAAAAAGTCCAGAGATGGGACATCACACGCACTTCACGGGTGTGCGGCCCCGCAAAGAAGAAAAGGGTAAGTAAATCAGCTCTCAAATACCAGTTTTCTGCCTTGTTTCATCATCAAACTTTCATTCCAATTTGGAAATACGTTCATACTCTAACTTCACAACATTAGTGCCCCAAGGACGGTGCTCCATGTTCCATCGCCTATGATCTTAAAAAACATGGTCTCAGCAACAGACTGGCCTGCCAACAAAAGGACTCCGGCGTCCTCAAGTTTTATTAGATTTCTACAGATTCAACACTAGGGTAAAATAGATTTTGGGACAAGCATAGAGGATATGGAAGCGGATTGGGCATTGGGTATTATGGCGTATCTTAAGGTGTGTCTGATGATAAAAGCACGGGCTTGAAACGACACAAGGGTTGAGACTGCTCCTATATTTGGCTGTTTATGGCGTAACAACATTCAATATGAAATTGCTTGATTTTTAAAGCTGTTAAACTGGTCGTGGACGTAACTAATCTAAACTGGAATCATCGACGGAGTCGCAGGTGGGAGCAGCTAAGCAGGGTCATCGGAGTTTGTGGTGGTGATGAAGCTTTTAGTGTTGATGAATGCATAGCTTCGGACTTTTCACGGCAATTGAACCTGTAGCCTCTATAAAGAATATATACCAGTCCAAATGCGCGTCTCAACATGGCCTATACCGTCTCCAAACAGCTATCGCTGGATCTCGAATCATGGGGAGGACTACCAGACTGTTGCCTGGCGGCATCTATGCCGCCGTCATGACTTTCTTCGACTCCAATACGGAGGACATCGACCTTCAAACCCAGAACCAACACACCGCGCGTCTCGCGAAGGCGGGCATCGCCGGCTTCGTCGTCATGGGCTCCAATGGCGAAGCACCTCACCTGTCAATTGAGGAGCGCAGCGCCATCATTCGCGAGACCCGTTCCTGCTTGGATGGCCTCGGCAAAAGCGAGACTCCCATCATCGCCGGCTGCTCTGATCAATCGGTCCGGGGCACTGTCCATCTCTGTCGCGAGGCTGCTCTCGCTGGTAGTGACTATGCCCTCGTCTTGCCCCTTCCTACTTCCGCGGTGGCATGAGCCCAGATGTCATCGAGCGCTTCTTCATCGCTGTCGCGGAACAATCGCCTATACCTATTATCCTCTATAGTTTTCCCGGTGTATCTGCAGGCATAGAGATGGACTCTGGCCTCCTGGGCCGCATCTCTCAACACCCCAACGTGGCCGGAACAAAGTTTACCTGCGGCGACACCGGGAAGCTGAGCCGTGTCGCCACAGCAGTGAAGTCGCGCCAGCCGTACGCCATCTTCGGAGGCCTGGCTGACTTCATCCTGCCTGCGCTTGTCGCGGGCGCAACTGGCGTAATAGCCGGCGGCGCTAACGTCACGCCCCTGACTTGTGTCAAAGTCTTTGACCTGTGGAGAGAAGGCAAGGTGGAGGCAGCCCGGGAGATGCGGGCTGTTCTTGCACAGGGCGACTGGGAGCATACGGCCAGGGGCATCTCGGGGACAAAGGCAGCGCTCAATATTCTCTTCGGGTACGGGGGAAAGCCTCGTCGGCCACTTGAGGCTCTACCACAGGCCTCTGTGGTGGAAATGCAGCGTGGCCTGGAGGGGTTAATCGCTCTAGAAGAACAGCTCACGGTTCGGCCGGCATTATGAGACTTGAATTTCTGCTTTTAGGTAAAACTATAGATCTCAGCGTACCAATCTAAAGTAATTTTCAATTCAACTTGTTTCAAGGTGCTTATTTATCCCCAGCTTCTGCCTTAAATATTTCGGTATGATATGGGACTTGGAGGCCTCAACTGCAGAGTGTTTTATGGTTTCGCGGGGTTGGGAGAATTATGGTCCTAAATTTCACTAGAAGAATGGACAAAACAGAGATGAAAAGTTGTCGTTGTATCCTCGTTTCTCACGGGTATTTTCTTGTTGATTCTACCTTGCAAGGTACAATGGAGCAAGTGCCTAACATCTGAGAACCTGCATTCAGTCTGAAGTGTCTGTATTCTAACTCAGAAAGGGGCGGCAAGCATACACCATGGCGCACTTGCTAGTCTTGTTTCATTCAAAGTTTATCTTTACTCCTCGCGCCGTGGAGATGTGAAAACTTTAACTCGACTGCGCGTTGACGTAATCGACACAATACTGGAGGTCAACAGAGTCCCACGGTTAGAGTAGGAAATGATATAATCAAACATGAAGTCAGGAGTGCGTCTGTAGATTTGCAATTCTTGTCCTGGCTCCCAAGCCTAAAGACTGACAATCAGGCTCAATAATCCGTCTGCGTGGAATGAAAGGGTTAGATTGCTTTGCCCAGGACTCAACCAAGGAGAATATCACTTCCTCTTGGGTCCCGTTACGAGCCCATCAGCCATGTGGCAATGACAGACACTCTACGCTAATAGGGACTATTCCCCTTAAACTGCGTTTACCCCTGCGTGCGTGTAGCAAACCCAGATGCTGTGCTTCGGCCCAGCATTCGATAAATAGAGCCGAAGACAGGGTGAGGTGGGTCAATTTATAAAGCTTCGCGAGACCTCGAAGCGAGCTTGAGACCTGGAGAGGGGCAGGAGAACAAGGCATTGGATCGTACGCATCCCCAAAGCGGACGACCATGGCCAGATACGTGAGCGTCTCTGAGATCAACGAAAAGGCTTCCATAGGGGCATCGAGGTGGATGACATCAGTTCTGCAGAAGTATACCCATTCCAACTTCTCGAGATTCGGTGCTGAAGGTAGCAAGTGGCTGAAATCTGGTACTGCGTAGCTCCATACTTTCAGGGACCTGAGCGACGGTACGTTTGGAGCTGGTTGCCGTGGCCAGAAAAAAAGTCATCTAGTAGTTGCAAGTCTTTTTCAAATTGAGTGAGATCAAGTTAAGTGTCATGACTATCAAGAGTGCAAGCTCGGCATCCAAAAATCTCTGTGTCAATGCACGCACCCATTTATCGCTCCCAGGAACATTGCTATTCCTGATGCGTGCTATGGCAGCATCCAGCTGGGTGGGACCTCGGCGAGGAGGATAGTGCATCCGAAAATTGGAATTGACAGCTGCATCTGGAATTCTTCCTCTTCAAAGGTCAAATCGCGGATATAACATCCCCTCTCAGGGCGGGATAGAAGCGGGCGTAGGAGGATTGTGAAGAGTGGGCTTTCATTCTTTCGGAGTCGTATTGTTATGCTAGAGTATAGAAATACTTCTGCCGCTGCATATTCGACCTTATTTACCACTGTCAAGGAATGAATGTTTTGGAAATTAATATTCTTGAGGATCAAGTGTCGAGATTCTACAGGCAACCGCGATAAAATTCCCATAATGGCAAATAATTGTAAGGCAGGACGGTAAGTCGAAAGAGTGATAAAATGAGTCTCTGCTTGTTGAATGCCACAGTATCCTTTCGCTGAAAGCTCGGTTGAGAGATGATCTCGGTCGAGACTAGACTCTTTTACTGTAGGGTGTGAATCAATAGCATATAATATACACTCCTGGCGTGTATGTCTCGTAATTGACGAGAGATCATGAGAAGACCAAAGCCAAGGCGATGAGGTATCTGAGGGCACAGGGAGTTCTAGTTGGTTAGGTAGTTTCAGCAGTAAAATCTCGTCGTCAGCTGCCGTGGTTTCCGGTTCGTATTTGGAAAGGTTTCGTCTTGTATAGGCTGACACCCTTTTTGAAAGATTGCGTGGCCAAAAGTCTGGCGTCATCCGAAGATGTGCTGTTAGGCAGATGCAACCAGCACTCGCTCCATTTACCTGCTGCTCTTCGCGCAACAACGTGGATTCGTAAGTCTAGAAAGCCTCTGTTCACATTTAACGTGGCTTAACTTTTCATTCCCACGAACAGAGAATACATAATGTATTTTTGTTGGTAATAGCGTAATTGCTTCAAGCATACATGCTGACAGCTTCATAATATTCCGAGATTACTTTTCAAGGTTGCTCCATGGCCTCTACTACCATCAACTCGGGCTCAAATTTGAGATGTAGGCCCATGCTTTACATACACATTTCTAGATCCCGATTTCCTGCCGTATTACAGCCTCAGCGATTATCCCTTGGACCGGGTCGAAAAAATGGTCAAAAAGATTTTCTCGATCCATCTCTTGGCAAAAACGCGCCTGTCTAGTGTCTCGCTTTTATCCTCATTGAACATGTGCTGATTGTCCCGAAGAAAAAGAAATTGGTCCCGAGTAACGCGTTTGGAATCCACATTGAAAAGCGTGACAGAGTTATCATAAATTCTCCCAGACCTCTGCCATCGGTGAAGCCGGGTGGTTGATACGCCAAATGACACAAACAAGGATCGATAGAAGCAAATGAGCTGCTCTTGATGGGCATCTTCCTTGCAGTTCCCAAAATAGTATTCGTTGAGCGCCAGGGGGTTTCTAGGGATCCTGCCCTTCATGACATCGTCATGGAGATCATCCGCCGTCGTCGGCCCTGTCGGTAAGTCTGGGACGCAGAGATGCTTTTTGCGCCAGACGGCTCGCCTGTTACATAAACCTCTGCAAAATCTGCCTGTATCGCAAATGTAGCAAGACCTTTGTGAGTTACCCCGGCCACATTCATCGCATTTGTCTTTGACTTCCTCGGAGGTTGGAGAAGATTGCGTTTCCCCGTTCAACGACCAAACAGAATAGGACCCCATTTCGTGATGAAGCCGGGACACGGGGATGTGAATCGGTCAGAGATAAGAAGGTATTGAGCCAGGTCCTTCTAACGGTCAATTTCTGATACAGAGAGATCAGTAAAATAAGAAGCCGCGAGTGAAGGTTGTTGCGTGAGGTTGCTTACCGTTCAAGCCAATGGCAAAAAGTGTTCAGTTCCAAGTGAGATGTGGTGAGGAAAAAATTGAAAAAGAGCCAGAGGCAACGATGAGAAGATATACACCCCGAGCGAAAACTCATCCAAGTCAGAGGGTCAGTCATGCTGAATCTAGGTTTTATCAAATATCGCCCGACTAAACAGTGGTGGCTGCCGTTATTACTTTTGAGAATAAAACTTTCCTGGTGAAAGTTTCAGATTTGTGGAAGTGAAAAAGCTAAATCAGGATGTTGATAGAATCCAGTGGGAAAAAGGAGAAGGGGGGAGAGAAGGGAAGGAGAGAAAGAGAACAGACCGAGGAAGGAAGGGAAAAAATGCGGTTAACGAGAGGAATTTTGGACGACTGCAGTAGAATTTGGAACCAAATCAACCTTTACTTGGGCTCACCAATAAATATTTCATTGATGTGATACGGCATCTCTGATCGTCACTAGCTGGAGACTGATCTCCCCAATAGGCGACGGACTGGGTGCAGTCACTGCCTGGCTACACACCCGCTTCACCCTTTGCCTGGCTCATCTATGTAATTAGCTTTATATAGCCTGTAAGTAGCTGGCCACCCTGTGCCCCCTGGGGGGACGTGACCGACGTTAAACAATACACACACACACACACACACGTACACACCATCATTTCGTTAGTTACACTGTGAGGCTGCTTAGACTTTCCGGCCCCATAGAATCCGAGAGAAGTGTACGATTCTTAGAGTAGGCTGTAATAGGACAAGATAAATTCATGTTTCGTGATGGGAGTAACCAAAAAGCATGATTCTATGGTACCTTAATATTCAAACACTCTACTTCATGACCTAAGGTTCTTCCATAAAGCCTCAGAAGCGCGTATTTCTCGTAAATAACAAGCCAGGTCGTAGCAATATCACGGCCCAAAGTTATCATTGTCCGGAGGAGTGATGAATGATCAACCCCATTTGCGTACATTCTCAGAAGCTCAGCTTCTGGCCAGCTTCAGAGGGTACCTTTGAAGCCACACTGCCGGACCCCAGCAGAGAATATGAGTAAGGGAAGCTGCCGGCGCTCAGCGTGCCAGCCGGGGCCGTATTTGCGCTCTCACCACCCAGCACGACGTCGATAGCCACGGCGTATCCAACCTCGCTGCTCGACTCGCTGAAAATTGCCTTCTTGCCTACATTTTCGAACACCGAGGACTGAATCAGCGCCTGGGCATTCATACGGGTGTTCAGGCCTGTATCCATAGTATTGTAGTATTGGCTTTTAGTTTGATAATGTTAGCGATCGGCTTTCACCATCTCCTCCCTTCTACAAGTGCGAATTTTGCGATCGCGATGGGGAACTTACTTGTAGACATGAGCAGTTCCAAATCTCAAGAGAGGGCCACGGCTGCGAACGTTGTAGAAATAGTTGTTGGCATAAGTCACGCGCAGATGGCCAGTGTCCTCGGCAGAGTTTTTGTCAGAGTGACCAACCAGCGAGCCCTTGGACTAACACAAGCGCCACGAGTGATGTCAGTTAAAAGATAATCGCATCACGCGTAGGCTTGAAGGGGGAGACACTCACGTGGTCATGGAAATAAGTGTAGGAAATGGTCACATAGTCGGCAGCATGCGACAAGTCGACAAGCCCATCGTATTGATCCTTGTCCACGTCTCTGTCACCCGAGAGATCGACGTGGTCTACCCAGACATTGGTCGACTCTTGGATGGTAATGCAATCCCCATAATCAGCCAATACCTTGCTGATCTTCAGGTTTCGGACAATTACGTTTTTCTGTCCGTTGATTGTGAGGCCGACGCCGGTGAGTGCTTTACGTAGAAAAAGGTTTCTGTTAGACTTTGAAAGCTTAATACTGGGGCCGGGGAATGATCCTACAGCTTCCAGACTTTCCAATGATGGTCTTGTCTGAAGTGACAGACACCTTGGCCGCCCCGGAGATATTTCCTTCTACCAAAATGATGGCGGCACCGCTCGCGCTGGCAGCTGCTTGCAGCTCAGCTACAGTTTTCACGGTTACTTGTGAGCCGCTGGCTCCTCCGGTAGTTCTACCCTCCTATTGTTAGCGATCTCTTTTCTTTAACAGGAAAGCCATGGTACATACCCGCCATTTTGAGTGCAGTAACCGATATTGCAAGCGTCGGTTACGGACGCCCTCTTTTCAAGGAATACGGGCGAGGCAACAGCCGTTCCGACGAGCGCGAATAAAGCTAGCTTCATCATGAATGACTCAATTTGGTCTTTAGCTGCTGTTGCAGTGTCTGATTTCTAAGTGAGAGATAGAGGTCCGTTCAAGACTTTTCTGAGGATGAAGAGGCCCAGAGCAATTTAATTTATCGTTTCATTTTGAGACGGCATTACTATTCTCACTCCCAACCCTGGTCTCACTCGTACGCGGCCGGACACTGGAGGATCAGTAGTTCCTCGAACCAATAGCTTCCGCCGCCGCCGATCCTATGCAATGTATTACATATTGGCCAGTGGCAGCAGTGCGGTTGGAGGGAAAATTATGTGGTGACTGTTTCAAGGGGGCCACCGGTGAAATTGCCTCCGGGTTTCCTATTCCGCCTCTTCTGGGATTAGACGGAAGGTTGAGGCTCACTGATTCATGATTTGGGGTAACACTCTTTTGGGGGAGAATCTTATTCCGTAAATGGTTGCAGTTACATTTTCTATTTTCCCCTTTCTCCTTCTTGGCACCTATTCCAAAGTCATGACTTCAATCTTTGCCTAGAACCCTAGACACTTCTACACTCGGGTTCCACTGCTACCTTGGATCATTCAACTGGGGATCCCACGTCGAAAATTCCAGATCAAATGGTATTGCATCAAGAGTATTAGCAAGCTCAAGTGCAGATGCCATAGGCCAATCCCAAACATTCCACTGCAGCTGCTCCGTTGTCAAGTTGGCGACTTCTGCTCCTGTGAACGTCTTTTGGCATAGCAGGTCGAGCACATCGGCACACTGCTTCAGATTGCCCCCAGCGTCGTCTGTAAATCCGCCCAGCTTCCTTAGCGCCTCGGAACACTGTCTGACTGTGCTCTCATCGCTTACAGATGGGTCGGGGACGGTATATCCATTCCAACGAGCGAATAAAATGGTGAGGCCGGCTTGCCAGACCATATGGGCGCCTATTGGATATAGTAGAATGATAACCAACGGCTCAACATGCTTGTTTGTAGGGTGGTTTGCCTGGTCAAACCCGAGCTGAGCGTCGAAGCCTTTGAAGGTATTTAAGATGATCTGGATTAGATTTGAGGCTGCCCGAGTGCAAGCTTTGAGCGAAAGCTGGAATTGTGGGTTAACGGTTGTGAATGCGAGAGCTGGACGGTGGATGTGTGCTGTTGCCACGCAGAGTGTAGCTCTGAGGAAAGCAAGGCAAAAGGAGGAAATGGCAAGTGCCTGAGTATCATTCTTTGCATCGCCAGTCCCCGGCTCAGCCATTTCAGCATCCGATTCACTTGGTAGAGAGTGCTCCCAGGCGTCAAGCTCAGCTTGCAGTCTAGTTATTTTGGCCACACCACCACGCCGCCGAGTAGTGCTGTAGAGTTTCTCAAGAGTATCACCTATGATGCGAGCGAGTTTGAAGAGAAGAATGGCACTATCAACTTGTGTGGCTTCCCCTGGGAGAGGGAAAGATACATGAGACCTTGACAATAGGTCGTGATCAACTCGAGTGGGCAAGTCTGTGTCAACATCCTGGTCACGGATTAGGCGCGGGATTCCGTGATGAGCACTGGACATTCTACAGAGGGAGGCGGTTTCGTTAGCAAAGTAATACTGATAGCTACAGGAAGATTAGTGTCATTTGGGACCTACACATCAAGGGTATATTGGCACCACCACACACGCCGTCGAAGTTCAGTTTCCAAGGGATCGAACTTGAAGCGGTTCGAGTGTCGGTGAAGGCCCAAATTCTGAGCAAGCCTCGTTGCAACACCGCTGATATGAGATGCAAGTGTATAGCGCGAGGTGAGCTGAAGATAAATCTGCGTCATCTCAAGACCCTGTAGTGTTTGGAGGCAAGGCCGGTCCAGAATATGTTCAAGAATCAGCGCAGACATATCGTAGTAGGGTTCAGAGGCACACACATAGTGGTAGTGGTGCCGCATGCATGCTCCTTGGTTGCCTAGACTCCCTACAGCCAACAATATGAGAGTTTGGTATAAAATAATAACGTTTTCTGCCTGCGGATGAGAAATAACTTGGCTGCACATGTCCACGGTCGAAGGCTTATGAAAGATTGGATATAGCGGAGTCCAGCGATCAATCGTTGCAGCCACTATGTCGAGAGCTTGGGGAGGAAGTCTGGAGATAACGCCAGGGATGACTTGCGACGCAGATCTTCTCACTGATGCATCCCAGAGACTATGAAGATGCATGCTGTAGGTACAGCTAGGGAATGCATCTGCATGCATCTTTTGCATCTGAACTTGCTGTTCCGCTTGGCTAATAAAGTGTGCTCCAGTGGATGACCCAGCAAACATGGCGATTTGCTCATCATTAGATACCAACCGGCCCATGTGCCCAATTACTGGACCTGCAGCAGGTTGTTGGTCTATAACAGGGGAGTTTGCTGGGAATGCAGTTGCTTGTGATATCTGGCTTGCTAGGCGACCCTGATGGCTTGGGAGAGTATCATTCAATGGTCGAAGCTGAAGATCATGTGATGAAATTGCTTCAGAGGCAGGTACTAGTCGGCCAGGCGAAATGGCTGAAGCTCCCCTTTGACTGTGAGAATGGTCTGGAGTTGATGCCTGGGTACTCTGAAGTGGCTCCTTGTCTTGTGCCTCGTAGTAACTAGAATTCGACAATTCTTAGTGAAAGTAGAGTGGGATACCAATCAAGAACGGCAATGATCTGTACCTCTTTCGTTTCCTGTTCCTCTGAAGTCTAGTTGTTCTTACGCAAGTCGCTCCGGCCACCGAGCAAGGCGCGCACTGCAGTCTCATCTTAGTAAGGAGGACTTCCAACCAGCGTGGGCAATGATCAGTAGACCAAAGGCAGCACGCATTCTGCGCTTCTTACATCTTCGTCATCTCCATGGCATCTTATTTTGCGCCTGTATAAATCCACCCGGATGTCAGTATGCAATCGTTGAAGTTGCCACAGCTGTAGTGATGGCTTACCGGCGGCATCGATCGCTATCAAGTCAGTCACTTGGTTAGCAGCCGACATAGGAGAAGGTAAACCCGGGCTATGCAGAAGACATACCAAACTTGACCGGCAGACAGGCTTTCCGATGACGCCGGGGTCGCCATTACCAGCTAGAAGAAGATTGGGTCGCCACTTGAGAACCAATGCCTATAGGGAAGTGGAGGAATTGCACATTCAACCTACCATCCTCTCCAGCATCAATGCTACACGTAGTACCCAGAGCTGTTGTTTTGGTGGCAAAGTCTCAGAGCTGTAGGGATGATGAAGAGAAGCGGAGAATGGATGAAGTTAAAAGGTCCCAGGTAGAATTGTGGGCTCTAGATTTGTGGGAGCCGACTCCTGCCGATTATGTGGAGAAGCTTCTTGTTAGTGTCAAAGATCCCTCTCCTGATTGCAAACACTTTAGACATTACATCGCTCTCTACTGGGCCAAGTTGAGATGGCCTCCGTGCCCCTAACCAAGCAAGAAGGACGAAAAAGCTGAATGAATTATCTTGATTACGAAACCTTTACTGCGGGATCCCATCTTCGAGAGTATTAAAAACATCAAAAGAGTCTCCCCTTCAAGCTTTAAGTAACCCGGGGACCTTTGTATTCTCGAGGAGAATAAGAATGCTTCGTATTCAATATCTACGGATGGAATATGAAAGTAATGATTGTCCCTATCTGTTGGTAGTAGTTACGAGATTGCTGGTGAATGAAATCATTTGTCACAATCTAAGCCGGAGCAGTACACTGCCATGACCTTTAATTGTGGCCATTCAATTTCGAAAAGGCATCGGCAGTGCTGACAAGCCCTGTGACACCGAGTTCTTCCTTTGTGAGAATCCCTTCCTCTCCACTCCAGCTTTTGTCCTTGGCCTCTTCGAAGTATACCATCATCTTGTTCATCACTTCACCCCACATCGGCCAAGTTTCGCAGAACGTTTCCTTCGTCACTTGAATGTATCTGGCTTCCTTTTTCTGCGATTTCGCCCAGCGAGACAGAAATTCGCCGGCTGTCAAGTCTTCGACATCAGCAAGAACGAACTTTCCGGGCAATGTCAGCTCTCGCTTCTCGATGATGGCTTTGACAAAGGGGCCAACGTTTGCTTTTGCGTCGCCGACGCTTTTGATCGAAACGGATTCAGGTGTCGCCTGAAGCTGGATGAACTTATCGGGGCCGGCAGTGGGAACGTTGAATGGTTGGAATACGGGAAACAGAATATTAGTGGCATAGAAAGCGACCCAGAGGAATGTCGTCTTCTGCAACAGAGAGGCGTTGGACTTGATGTAATCATCTACCGTGTTCTTCCCATCGAAATGAGGCACCACGTTCTTGCCGTTGGAGATCTTGCGAGTGTTTGGGAGGGTAGACCAGATGTAGTGCTCAAGAGACGTTGTTGCCGCCGCTGCGTTGGCCAAGTTGATTCCCTGTTGGACTTCAATCTCAATCGCCTCCTCGGCGCCGATGCTCCCAAACCTCTCGTAGAAGTTGGTAACGCCGAAAACGACTTGGGAGCCTGAGAAGGCTCGGACAAGCGAGTCATAGTCATTGACATCCGCCTGCACCACGGAGGCACCGAGGTTGGCCAACTCCTGGGCCGCAGCGCTTTTGGGGTTTCGTGTAACAGCCCTGACGGTATACGCAGTGTCCTGGAGCAGAGCCCTGACAATTGAACCACCTTGAGAGCCGGTAGAGCCGACAACGGTCACGATTTTCTTCGACATGATGGAACTGCTCAGTGGGAGGTGTGGAAACTAGGTGTGTGTTTAATACTGTTGTCCTTGCATTTCAATCATGACTTCCGAGGGTTGGCCTCTACTTATATACGTGTCCAAGGAGTATTCAAACAATCTACATCCAGCACTCATGGCCTGAAACTCCGGGAGTGTCCGTTACAAGAACGCCGTTCATACCACCATGACCGTGTTGCAGGAGGGCTGGAGGCAGGCGAGCGCCGGCTGTAAGCACCGAACGCCGAGCCCCGAGAAATGTCGGCACTGGGACCGGAGCATACTCTTGAAGAATCCTAGCATGACAGACATATTATTCATTGATCCATGATAATTTCTGTCTATAGCGAAATTAAGAAGCCAGTTAGGTATTGGTCTGTTTAAATTTTGGCGAGGAGTTTCCTAAGCAGCCGTCAAACGCCAATAACTTCTAGGGACATCAATGTAGATATTGATCGCTTCTTCTTACTTAGGTGTGTGCCCCACCACTCAACGGGTGCCTACTCTTGATTTTGAAGAGTACTACTTTTGTTGCCTTTTTAATTAAGATGCCGCAATTCCCCCCAGTCTCCCTCCCGTGGTAGTCCTTGACCATCAATGGCGAGAAACTTTCGGTTCCGATGTGGATGTGTTCAACTGTGTTGACTCACTACAATGAGGCACAGGAGAGTAAGTACGTCGAGTGAAGGGATGCACATGAAAACTGCCACTGCCCAGTTTCAAGAACAGAAACTGAATTTGGCGTGTTGCGTTTCATGATAGTGTCTGCCTGATTATTTTGAATTATTCGACTCTTCGTTGATCCAGTCTTGACTAAACCAACTGATATCATCCAGAGGATTAAATTGGGAAAAGCTTTCCCAGCCAGTTGCGGAATCAAAGTATCCCAACCCCATTGGTGTTTGGGGCTGCATCGTTTGATTGAGAACGTGATCAAGAACCTTTTGATGACGGATTTTGCGTTGGATGCAACACAATGATCAGGCTGCGACGGCCCTGACGAGTTCAGAAATCCCACCAGAATGCTCAGCTGCTGAATGATAGAGGATCTGGTATAGGTCTCGCCGGCGATAACATGTCCGTCTGCTACACTCTCCACGGGGTTCGGGTCTACCAGCTCCAAGCACAAAACCGCCCCGGCGGGAGCTGCATGCCCCATTATCTAAAACCAATTAGATACAGTATGATGAATATCGCCCTCTATTGGGATCAGGGACGTATCATCAGATATACGGCAGTGCAAACTTACCAGCCAGTGGCATTCCCGTTGGCTTTCAGCCCATCTGTGTTTATTGGTCCAAAAGTGCATAGTCAAGACAACCATTTCAAAACTAGTCCGCAGGAGGTTTCCTCTTGAATGGCCGTGCTTAACTAGCAACCGCTCTACTAAGAATAGATTGAGTAGGTGATCAAGTCTTATGACAAGTTGTGAATAGATCAGTTGCGGATCAAGGCCGGCGATATCGTCAAATGTGGGATTAGCAATCATGTGAATTGGTAGCTTTTCATATAGGTCTAGCTCTTTCGTTTTGAGCTTCCTGTCACGGTAATTAGAGATCATCTCATCCTTTAACATACGGCCTTTGTGGTCTCTTACATTATATCATCGAGGGTAGAATCATCAGAGTAACCCAGGCCAATCTCAAGAATGGCATCCCGTATTAAAGCCACCATCATGCGGAAGCGAAGGATCGAACTTGAGTATATGCGGCCTCTTTGGTTCCACCCGTTAGAATCAAGGGTACGGGTTTGCTCCCGAAATGCTTCTGAGTCAGATACTAATGCCGCATCATCCAAATCTAACGGCAATTTGATGCAGCAAAATCTTCGTGTCAGGAGAGGTGGGCGTCCCACGAATGTGGCCAAGTACTTATCTACAATAAAAATTTGACACATTATTCGTCGTCGAGCCTCCAGCGATGGCGTTGTCTCTGAAGCAGAAGCCAATGGGTTGCTGGACCTGTCGTCATGATAGCCAGCAAAGGTGAGCATCGCAACTGTTTCGGCGTGAAACTTCCAATATGGAAGGCCTGGTTGAGATCAGCCTCGATACTTCAAGAATTATTCGCCAGCCAGCATAAGATCGCTATCAAAGTGAACATAGAGTGCATGAAAAGATGCACTTACTGGTATCACCATGCATGCACGCATGTAGCACCGAGCGTTTATATAATAAAAAGAGCATCAGGGAGCCAGAGCTGCCGCCAATGTTGGCGAGAGTGATGCAAGATGAGCAATATTCCGTATAGTTGCCTATGAGCTTTCTGGAATCTGCACTCGTGGAGGCAGATAACTCGCCGAAGGCTGCATACATGAACATCAACCCGACCGCTTCCCATCGTAGGTTGAGCCCTGAAAAACTTTGAAGCCATGCCAAGGGGTCTTCTTGGTATTCTTTCAATACTCTTCTTGTGTTGATGCAAACCATGCCGCCCAGCTCACGCAACTTGGCCCTATTTTCCCTGTCATGGAGATAGGAACCAAACGTTTCCCAGGTGCTCGCTGTCAACCTTTCGCCAATTATCCTCATCCACTCATCATTAGGGTTGGAGTGAAGCTGGAAAAAGGCTGCAGTGGTCTTTTCACGACCAGGGATAGCTTGTAGAACCCGGACAGCAAGTTGGGTTGCCTCTGTGTCCATATTCGCCATGTCCTGAATCTCGGTCACCGACGGAGGTGTTGCCTCATCGGTTAAGACTGATCCCGAGGACAATGCCACCTCCCTCGTGATCAAGGGTTCCTGGACGGCCAGGGTAGTCTCAGTCTCCAAGTAGGCAGTTAAGAAACTACTCTGGCCGAAGAAACCCGGGTTCGCTCTAGCTGCTGGCGAGCTCCAAAATTTATCTTCCGGGGCGACATGTCCGTTCGGCCAGGATGAAGACTCTGTAGAACGTGAGTCCGGCGCACACTTTGCGTGTTCCGGTTGACTAGAGTGACCGGGTGCTGCATAATAACAAGTTGATTCTCCGTTCGGTCGCTTCATGCAACGTCGACACACCGGGTAGCCATGATCGCATGCTACTTTTCGTCGTCGACATGGCTCGCATGCCTGCTTCTTACCATTTCGCCGCGTCACAAGTGGGCTGGCCATCAGAAGCGACCTGTTACAACTGACGATTGTGATGATGAAAAGCGCGACAAGTACTGCTTACAAAGAAACCGAAGAACCCTGTTACGTTTTGGGCAAGATCGGCTTACTTCATTTATAAATAAATTCTTAAAATCTCGGTTCAATTTCGGTCAATATTTGGGAACACTGTGAGGAGCACTTGTTCGAAGATTGAGGCTTGCAGGATTTAGATACGAAACAGTCTGAAATCATCGCAATCTTTCTTCTTAATGTAAAGTTTACAGAACGTTAAAGAAACATAGAATAATCTATATGTTAAAGCTTATTTATGCACAAATAAATAGTAATTAGATGTCATTTTGAGCTATTACTTCGAGTGTGGACGATATTCAATCAATGTTGACTTCGCTATAGGGTAGGCCAAACTCCACATCGGAAATGCCCGCCAAGAGGAACCAAGATTAAGGTACCTATGTGAAGGTATCCTGTGGTAGGCTGATATTATTAACTATAATTAGAGCAAAAAAAGCTCGAGTGATTGATGAGCCGCCCATATGGTATGGACTCTTGAAAATATGCCGTGCCTTGACAGTCACACTCCAGAGCTCCGCCCTAAAACCCGAACCGGCGACGGTGCAGACCTCGGTTTGAGGAAGGTCTAGGCAAAGTGACAAATCGGCATATAAGTAGGGATTATGGAATCTGAGGGGATGGCCGTCGAGTTAGTGGAAAGCTCTGCTTTTAGCCCTAGCAAACCCCTCAAGGATGATTACTGGTTAACCATATCTCGCCTTGGCTGCCACGGTTGCGCTGCTTTGAATCACGCTGACGTGCTAACACTAAGGAGTTTTTGCCTTAGCTCAGGCTGGGCAGAGAATGAATTCAATAGCGTCACCCTCCTGGACGATTGCCCGCCCAATAGGGGAGGGTGTCAGCTTCGATGCCATACAATACAACCAATAGAACTTTAGTTACCATGAATAAATGGATCGGATTGAAGACCGACTGGAGTATGTTGCTTGAGGGACTTACTGAAGTCCTTAACAACGAACATGATCACACCATTACAATGGAATTGGTCAGGTGCAGCGACATAATCATGAATTTCGACGGACACGAAGTGAACAATCATGTGAGGGGATTGTTACTCCTTACTATTGCTGTTATTGCCACAAAGAGACCAGACGGCCCCCGGAACTGTTCTTGTCTTCTTATCTGTCTGTACTGCAATCACGCCTGAGGTTCTCCCAAGATTCCCAACATGGCTGAGAATCAGCCCAACGACAAGGCAGTGAAGGTCGGCGCGCGGGTGTACACCCCCCTGATGCTACCCGCCTACGACTTTTGGGTTCTATGGATCTCGAATAAATTTGTGTGGAAGTGTCCCACCGACGAGGTCCAGGTCCCGTTCTTCCAGTCCGCTCTGAGTAGAACTCACCTAGACATTGGCGTCGGCACTGGCTATATCCCAGCGAAAGCCCTTGATCCGTCTGGATGCCAGGAAATAACCTTAGTGGACTTGAACCAAAACACTCTTTCCACTGCCAAGGCACGAATCGAATCCGCCAACAGCACGGTCAAGGTGAAGACGCTCCTAGCTAACGCGCTCGAGCCCCTTCCCCTGCCTGAGTCGGAAAAGTTTGACTCCATCAGTCTTTGCTACCTCTTGCACTGCCTCCCTGGATCACCGGATAGCAAGACTCGAGTTTTCGATCATGTTAAGCCACACCTGGCACGTGACGGAATCTTGATCGGTTGGACCATCTTGGGCAAGGAAACTCCCATGAATTGTTTTGCTCGTGTATTGATGAGGAGCTATAATAAAATAGGGATATTTTCCAATTGGGATGATAATCTTGCGGCATTTGAACAAGGCTTGAAGAGGAACTTCGAGGAAGTTGAGGTTTGGACTGCCGGTAGGGTATGCATGTTTAAGGCGAGGAATCCATTAGACTCGCCGATCCAAGCTCGGTCATGAGCCCCCAAGAAGTGTCGAAAGCTAGGAGGCTGCACAGATTTTTTTCCTTCGTTCCGGAACTTGAGCACTGCCAGCTTATTGCTGGGCGGTGATGATAGACCCCTGGATTTAGCCACGGCGGACCTCTGATTGAGCAGTAATAGTATTGTCGACTCTAAGGGTGGGTGTCATTGTAATTCTTTCTTTGGTTGTATTACGCCAATTCACTTTCAACAATACCAAGTCTAATATAAAACTAGTTTATATATCTTCTGTCCCTGTCATATTGATGGATACTTTACATTTGAGTAGAATAGCGGGTTGGTAATTACGAATGTATGTGATTTCTTCAGCCTGACCTAATCAGACAGGTAGAACTATCTACAGTGCGTGATTGGCACCGAATCTAACGCTACATGTAGTGATATATCTAGCGGATCTCCTTTCAAGGAGCTTACAAGTGATAACCAGGTGAAAAATTCCACCGTTTTCCTTGAAATAAAGCCGCCTCGATCCAGGACCCGGCAGGAATTAGTACGCATACAACACGATACTCTCATCTTCCGACTCCCGAATCTTGCGATTCTCCCTCATGAGCCACAGTCTCATACCCCAGGCACAGAGGATGCTCGTAGCCGCAAACGCGACCATTGTAGAGAATCCCATCATGTATTTCGGACCATCTGACTTGGGCCACAGGTACGCGCAGTAGATGTAGGCGAGGTTGGCCGTAACATTTACCAAGGAGTAAGCAACAGCCTTCTTCTCGGGTGTTTGCGACAGAGTGTTGCTGACCCATCCAAGGATGACAGAGCCTACGCCATAAGCACCGGTAGCGTACAGGAAAGTAGCCGTGTATCTGGCCGCGGAGTTGACGGTCGCACAGCTGATGACGAATCCCACCACAGCCAGAGCTAAGCCGGCTGTGATATGCCAGGTTCTTTCGTTGAAACGGCCGGACGACCAGGCAAATGGAATACCCAAGATACCGGAGACGAAGTAAGGTGGTGCGGTGAGAAGTAGCGCAGTTGTAGATTCGAAGCCCCTGCACAAATGATTGTCAATGTCTGGCCACGTCTGGCTGGATCTTGGCCTTATTTCATGATCGACTTACATTTCCTGGACGATGGTGGGGAAGAAATTGTTGAAAGAGCATGCGCTATGAACTTTGTTAGCCATATACTCTTGAAGGGATCGCCACTTTGGAATGGTAAGACGCACCTGATGTGCAAGTTCTGCATGAGACAGAACAGCCACGTCTTCGGGTCCTTGAGGGCTTGCTTCAGACCCTCCAAAGTTGTGCCGCGCTCCTTCTGGTTGACGGTATCTTTCTTGATTCTGGAAATGCATAGCTCTCGCTCCTCGGGTGTGAGCCAACGCGTCTGAGAGGGGTCGTCTGGTAGAAGGAAGAAACCGAATATCGCAACGAGAGAAGTCACACTGCCCTCGATGATAAACAGCCTTGGGCCGTGTTAGCTCACAAAGGCAAATTTGAAGACAAGAAAAACCGATTGAAGAAAGGGCTTACCATTTCCATCCAGGAATGCCTCTAACCTTATCCAAAGTAGAAAAGGTTGCCGCAGCAATGAGCCCAGAGCAGCCAGTGCTTACGACCTGTCCGGTATATAAAATCGATATGCGAGTGGCCAGTTCTTTGCGAGTGTAATAGATCGAGAGAAGGTAGAGAGCATCGGGGTAAAAGGGCTGTTCAAAGTGTCAGCACATGTTGAGGTCCACAAAATCAAATTGAGGGGATTAATTGGAAGAATTACAGCTTCAACGAAACCCAGGAAGAATCGGCAAGCAACCAGGCCGGAGTAGTTGGTGACTCCAGCGGTCGCGGCTGAGACCGCTGCCCAACCTATCATGCAGATAGAGAGATAGATGGAGGGCCTTGTTCGCGTCATAAACATGTTTGAGGGGACTAAATCTCGAATCAGTGTTTCGATCTAAAGGAGACTGGTATGTGAGAAGAACCAACTCTGCATCAACAGGTAGCCGACAAAGAGGATGGAGATGGCGGTATTGTATTCGACCCCTTTGAGGTTCAAGTCTTTTTCTAGGCTGTTTAGACGGGCCTGGGGTAGCGCATTGCGATCAAGGTAATTGAGGAAGTACATGGCCCAGAGAATAGGCTGGACATGGTTAGGAAGCGCTTTTTCAGAGTTGGTTCGGCAGTTCTCACCATGATATACCTGTCAAGCTTTCGGACGAGGGCTATCTCAGCAGGATCGGTCTTCTCTGAAGCGCCAGAGTAGTCACCTGCTACCTCTCGTTTCTGAGCTACGGAGGGCTGCTCATCATGGGCGATGTCCAGCTTGGCATCGTCTTGATGCTTTTGCGATCGAGCAGATAGGGATGAGCGTGGCGACCCCATTGTTTCCGGTACAGCTCGACTCAAGCGCGTTGTTTTGATAGAAGATGTAACAAGATTGGGAACAAACTTTGAGCAGGAGAAAAGAGCCAAGGCTATGCCACAGTTGCTCTTTGAACGTGGTCCTTCGATGGACCGGCAGAACGATTGTGATCGGGTCGTGTTGGCTTTTATAACCCTGACTCTACCATGCCTCATTGATGAGAGCCTAGCATGTTGACAAGATTTTCCTTACCTCCGCATGTTCTCCTCCATTGGAGAGAGTCAGGGTCGACTGAGTGTGGAGTATCAAGACACAAGTCCGGGGGAAGAATGCGGAGTGACTCCATCAGCTAGATCCCTGCTATGCCGCTATCCCGTTATTCCGCTACGCCGTGGACGAAATGCGAGCCGCACATTGGCCGCTGGCGTCCTATCCCGTCTCCTCACGAGTCGTATCCCGTTATCCCGTGCAGGCCATGGGTCCCGAACGTGGGGTCATCATGAGAAAACCACAGCTCCTGACTAGCATGTATGCAATGTAAGAGCAATGAGGGGAATTATCGGGACGCTCGGCATTGATCAGTAATAGAGAAGATCCAGTTCATAAATTTATTTATTCAAACGTGCCTCTGCCACTCATACCCCGGAGGTCTGGGTCCTCGCCGCCTTTTGAACATTCGCTTGAGCTCCGTCGTTTCATTTCATACCGCGCATATTGCAAGCAATCATTCAGCATGGCAGCTGCGACAGTGTTCGATTCCGTTCTGTTCGGAAACATTTTTGGCACCCAGGAGGTGCGCGAGTGTTTCTCCGAGCGCTCTTACGTGTCTCGCATGATCGAGGCCGAATGCGCCCTCGCTCAAGCAGAAGAACAGGAGGGTGTCATTCCAGCTGGTGTTTCTTCAGTCATTCGTGAGCACAGCGATGTTTCCAAGATCGACTGGCAGCGATTAGCAGCCAGGACCGAGATCGTAGGCTACCCAGTGCTTCCGCTCGTCGAGCAAATGTCCAAATGGGTCCCAGACTCAGAATGTAAGTCAACCCCCTCCCACGGTTGATGCCCTGGAGATGTAACATATCTAATGAAAGTCGCCTTGAGCAGCTGGATACATCCACTGGGGCGCGACAACCCAAGACATCATGGATCTTGCCTCAACACTCCAATGCAAGTCTGGCCTCGTCATTGTCGAACGACTCCTCCGATCCGTGGTAGCAACACTAGAGAACATGGCTGCCAAATACCGAGACAGTCCCATGGCGGGCCGTACCCATCTACAACATGCATTGCCTATCACTTTCGGTTATAAATGCGCTGTCTGGCTCGCTGGCCTTCGCAGACACGTAGAGCGCCTCGAGCAGCTTAAGGAGAGGTGTTTGATGGTACAATTTGGTGGTGCTGCAGGAACTCTGGCATCTCTTGGGAGCTCAGATGCTGGAATCCGAGTGAGGAAGACTCTCGCAAAGATCCTCGGCTTGAAAGACCCTATAGTAACATGGCACGTCGCGCGAGACTCTGTTGCTGAGATTGTCAACTTTCTCGCGCTGATTGGGGGCAGTCTGGGCAAGATTGCTATGGATCTCATTATCATGTCTTCCAATGAGCTCAACGAGGTAAGACTAATATCCCACCCTGAAATACACATCGAATTTGACTAATGCTTTGGATTGTTCCTCTCAACCACAGGTTGCCGAGCCATATGTCCCACACCGAGGCGCTTCATCTACGATGCCACAAAAAAGAAATCCAATCAGCAGCGAAGTCATCTTGGCACAATCTAAGATTCTGCGTGCCCAGGCAGGTCTTGTTCTCGACGGGATGATCGCCGATTTCGAGCGAGCCTCAGGGCCTTGGCACCTTGAATGGGCCGCTATCCCCACGGCTTTCATCTCCGCTGTCGGTGCATTGCACCAAGCAGACTTTGCTCTGTCAGGACTACAAGTCAACACCGATGCCATGCTCATCAATCTCGACTCTACACGAGGGCTGATTGTGGCTGAAGCCGTCATGATGGGCCTTGCCAAACATATTGGGCGACAGGAAGCTCATGAGGTGGTGTATCGCGCATGCGTTGCAGCAGTCGAAGGCAATTGCTCGCTGTTAGAAGTTCTTAATAAGAATGCCCAAGTTACGAGCCACATAGATTCAGCTCAAATAGCCGACTTGTGTGATACTACGAAGTACTTGGGCTCTGGTCAACTCATGGTCGATGAGCTCCTCGCAACCAAGTTGCCAGAGGTTTCGGGTAAAACGAACGGTCATCTTACAAATGGCCATTCAAAGGTTGAAAAATCACAGTTGAATGGGGCATAGTATACAGCTATTGCAGTTCGAAACAGTTAGCAGTTCAGCAACGATGTCCTCTGTAGGCCATCGAAGGCTTTTTTTTAGTGTAGCAATACCAGGCGGGGAATCTTCGAGATATGCCTCGATTATATAGAGGATCACAAAAACTATCTACAACACGGGGGGATATAACGATTATGTCCAACCTCCAATAAGCCTTATAGAGCCCCAATGCCTGTAGATCTATGAAACTTGCTTCAAAAATTCAATACCGTCGGATGAAATGGTATTTGTTCACTGAAAACCGACAGTATTGAGGAAATAGAAAATCAGGGCCAATGATGGCTGAATTGAAAGACTTTTGGTTGAAAAAAATGTAAGGGTCTCATCTTCAAAGGCCCCCCTTACAATTATGCAGGCTAGTAAACATAATTGATACCTCACTTCGAGAAACTTATTGAATTGAAGGCTTGGAAATCACGAAACCATTGCCCTGATCCACATTGTTCGTTGTATTGCATTTATTCTACGCAGGGTGAGTTGCCCTCGCTTCGGGTGGCATTGCTATCGAACCACATTATGTAGTTCTAATTGGTCGCGACGAAAGGGCAACTGGGGTGAAATTCGGCAAATATATTGATGGGAAGTACGAGATAGAGCAATTTGTTTTGCATTGCTGTTTGGTAATTCATATCCACTTTGTTTGGTCGTTATATCCGACAATGGGCTAATGCGTTGACATTCTCAACCGCTCAACCTATCACGAGGTAACATATAGCATTTGTTGTTGTTTGATGTATTTCCGTAAATCCGGCCTTGTGAGAGAGTGACAAAATAGGCTGGTAGGAGTAAGTTCAACGACGTATTCGGGCTTTTGTGTAGGTCTCAACCTCGCTTCCATGGAATTTAGTAATACACCGAACGGTCAACTCGGCCCTCCGAGCTCGGTGTCGTGGGTTATTAGGAATATGGTCTGTACTCCAGACCGCGAATAAACTGTATGCCGAGCTCCAGCCTCTTCTTTTAAAAAGGATGCCGCCGATGCTGCTCTGAGTGTGGGATATCAATCTTGTTTATGGATGCTCAGGTCAGCTCACTCGCCGACATTATACTCAAAGCCTAGCATTGGCCGATCCAACAACCCCTTTTATATAAACACCAGCTCTTCAAGAATGGAGAACAAGAATCCTCTCAAAATTCTGGTTGCCGGCGGAGGTGAGAAACGCGTAATTTCCTTCGCGTTCTAGAAGCGATCTAACGACAAATATGGATTACAGGCATCGCCGGGCTCACAGCCGCTCTGGGATTACGCCACCAAGGGCATGAAGTTACTGTATGAAACTTTGAGTTACATTAGTTCGGTTTCTAGTATTGACGAACATAGGTCTTTGAGAGGTCCGAACTCGCTAAGGAGTTTGGCGCTGCCATCCATGTTGGCCCAAACTGCCACAGCCTGCTGAAGAAGTTGGGAATCTTCCCAGAAGCCTTGGGGGCTAATCGAATGGATTGGGTATGTGGCTCAGATTAACAGATCCAATTAATCCGTGGCTGAATACCGGTATTGATATTCAATATAGATCATCCAGCACGATGAAAACGGCAATGTCCTAAGAGAGATGGACCTTCGGAGCTCCATGGATATATGGGAAGACGTAGGTGTTCATTCTTTGTCGTGTTAAAGGTACAGGAAACTAATAATTGAGTGTTTCTGGTTGCTTTAGCCCTGGGTTCTCTGCCATCGAGTTGCAATTCACGAAAAGCTCAAGGAGAAGGCAACAGAAACGGCTGGACCCGGTCTGCCCGTGAATTTGCGGTTAGCCAGCCCAGTGATCAATGTTGACCCTTCAACGGCTACAATTTTCCTGGCGGATGGCTCGAAGCACACGGGAGACCTTATCATAGGTGCTGATGGCGTGAGCGTATGTTCCCTACGACTGAATACCCTAACGGTTGAATATACTGACTTTAACTGACCCGTCATGACGTCTAATGATCAGTCAATTACCCGTAAATTTGTAGTCGGGCCACATATCAAGCCATTCCCTTATGGCAAAAACATGTTTCGATTCATGATACCTCGAAAACAGATCCGAGACAATGCCGAAATTGCACACTTCGTGGAGAAGGACGGCTGTATGCGAAGCTGGCGAAACGATGGCTGCACACTCATCATGTATCCCTGCCAAAACAATACCATGATGAACTTCGCTAGTATACATCCAAGAGACATGTCCCCAACAAAAGGAGAAGGTGAGTCTGCAAAATCTTCGACCATAATAGCATTGGCCAATTGGTTCCTAAATGTGATTTACCCAGGTTGGGACCAGGAGGCAACCAAGGAGAAGTTGCTTGAAATCTTTGGAACCTTCGGCTCCACGATCAAGGAAATACTGAAATTGGCCGACAGTACGACTCTGAGGGTATGGTCAATCTTGGATATGGAGCGTGTCCCACGTTGGTATAGTGAACGACTAGTTCTCATGGGTGATTCTGCCCATCCCTTCCAGCCCTGTGAGTGCTTCAGTTGCCATGATACACAATATGACTTCGCTTACGAGTAGAGATGCAGTCCAAGGGCAAGGAGGTAATTATTGCTTTAATACTGGCTTGTCTCGGAACATGAGCTAAAAGAAAGTATAGCATGCATTGCCGTCGAAGATGCCGTGTCTCTGGTTTGTCTCCTACCTCGAGGGACTAGCCCTGACGAGCTCCCAGACCGCCTTGCGTTGTATCAGAAGATCCGTGACGAGAGAGCTCACAAAGTGCAGCAAGCTACACGAATATCTGGTCGAGACTTGAGCGAGGAAGAAAGGAAAGCCTACGATTGTTCGTTGTATTTCTCTTTCAGATTCATCTATGGTTACTAACCGTCGATCTTGGTAGGGACTAAATCCATAGCCTACAACTTTGGGCACAATGAGTGGCATAATTCGACACGTATACTCAAGGAGCACCTCTGGAAACGCAACAATGAATCCAGTGTCTGGGGCCCATTCGGCTTTTCCTTTGGCCCTACTCCTTTAGCATCAGCAATCACCACGATCTTGAGAGTAAAAAAATACATCATACGTTTCAAGACCTCCGCCACGTTCATGAAAACACTTTTCCCCCGAAATTCATTCAACCTTGTTGCGCCTGGAACTGTCGCTCAGGCCAGTTACGAGGTCACAGAGGAACTCAGCAATGATGGGAAGGCAATGAACAAGAGCCTGGGGCTATGGCTACATGGTGTTCGGTTCACACGAAGAGATGGTAGCAAATGTGATGGCTCGCTCTTAGTGATGCTCTTGATCTCTCCTACCAGTAGCTCCGATACAAATAGAATTGCCTCAGGCTTTCCTAAATTGTATGCAAATGTTGACATCACAAGAGGAGAGGCAGGGCTCGTCCAAGTTCGATGCAGCCAGGGCGGACATATCTTCTTACGTCTCACTCTACGGGGCAGCCCCTCGACGCAAGCACCTGAGCCGGCCGAAGCGGATACATTAGGGCATGATTCACCCATCTCGGCGGATTCGAACCTATTCTACTTCCAAACTGTGCCCGTGGTGGGAAAGTTAGAAGAGGCAGACACTAATTATGCGGTATTTGCCTTGGACAGAACGGCGAAGCTCGCATGGAATGATTCGGCTACATCTAGGGACACCTCTACAATTGAGTTGATCCCCTTAGATTGGAAGAGGCTACCTACGGTCCATCACGTCGCTTGTTGCCTGGCTGAAATGCCTGTCATTGGGGTGCTTGGAACTACTGAGCAAGAATTTGTGGGCGAAGAGGATTTCACAAAGGCTGAGAGAATTGTGTAAATTTAGAGTTGAAGTAAGGGTTATATTATCTAACAAACGAAATAAATAGCAACTCATCCAATTCGACAAAAATGCACGCCGATCAATTAAAACCCTACAAAAATGGCCGTACTTGGGCTTCGCTCCACTCCCAGTACTTGCGACCAAGCTCAGGGTCCACGAGATCTTTACGTGGCTCTGCCTTCCTTCCAAATGGAGTGACTGAGATTTCTTAGTGTGATTTCCAGAAATTCAAAAGACTGGTATACTTACCCCAAAGATCCTCAGGTGTGATGGAAGAGTCTAGTCCAGCAAACAATTCGGTGTAAGCCCCGAACTTGGCTGGGCTTCCCGCCATTTTCTATTCACATGTTTAGAATCAAATATTTATTTGGAGCGCGGTATATCCGAGTGTTGTACTCACAACAAATGCCGCTTGTGTGGCAGAGAAGTTCCGTTGCAAGTTCGTCTGGAGCAGTCCGGGGTTCAAAGACTGCGTCACAGCTCCAGTCAGTACGCACTATAGAGCTCGCAGCATTTCATTCCAAGCCACTCACCGTGCTAACAATGCCGGCATTCTGCTGAAGCCGGGCGAACTCGGCTGCATGGATCAAGTTTCCCGCCTTCGATCGGCCATACTTTTGAGAAATGCTTTCATCTTTGTGGTAATCCATGTTGTTGAAATCAATCGCAGGGCAAGGGGCAAAATCAGCAGCCATGGAAGAAACCCAAACCACTCGGACTGTGTGGCGAGGAGCCGTTTCGGCCGTTTGTCGTAGGATTGGGGTCAAGAAGCGGACAAAGAGAAAGTGGCCAAGAACATTAGTGCCGAGCTGCAGCTCATAGCCTTGAACAGTGGTTGAGCCCTCCGGCGGGTGCATGACGCCTGCGTTGTTCCATAAAACGTCAAGACGAGACTCTTTGGAGAGAAACTCCTCCGCGGATGCTTTGATCGTCGACAGATCGTCTAGTTGAAGGCTAAGGAATGACAATTGGCCTCTGGAGCTAGGATGAGAGCTCTTGATGTCATTTATAGCCTCCATAGTCCGAGACTCAGACCGTGCTGCGAGCCACACCTTGGCATTGCGCTGGTATAATATTCTCGCGAGTTCTTTACCAACACCACTGGAGGCGCCAGTAACAATGAAGACCTATGGGGAAGTTAAATCTCATTTCAGTCTGTGTGATAGATCAAGGCACATTTGTGAGCTCTGACTTACCTTTCCTGTCTGATCAGGGAGATTGTCTTCTGTAAGCTTTGCCTTGTCAGGCGCCACAGTGCTTGTCCGAAGCTTCACCATAGCTGTAGTAGCAACCAGTTATTAGAGAAAGAGATAAATGCTTGAATTTAGAGTCCTGGTTGGCTTTTAAGTCCTTGATACAAAAAAATAGATACTCGAGAGAAAGCGAGAAGTTATAGTTATACTCCCAGTATTTTCGGATATAATAAATCCGCACAGAGAGACGGCAAGTGGCTGTGAATCGGACGGCTCGTGCTCCGCGGAGCAGGCCAAGGCCGCGGAACGGGTCAGATCTCCGTCTCACAGAATTATGCGCCGGCTCTCCGGCAAGCACAAGCGAGGCTTAGCCATACGGATTGATATGCATGACTGATTGAATGTCCGGATTGGACTGGGCAATGACAGAGTCCAGACAACTGAAACGGTTATGTTAGTGGCCAATGAAATGATTAGTGATGAACAAGACACATAATCCCCAGCCCCTAATTCCGGGCTCGGATTGTGAAAGGAGTAACGATGAGCCTCAATTAAGGGTATTCCATGGCCCGTTTAGAGATAAGGTGACCAGCATGCAATTTGTCAATTTGCAAGGTCGTTTTCCTCAGAATAGACATGAAAGACTGGAGAACGAATTAGTGAGTCATTCGTATGAAGGTTTATGGTTTTCCTTCTGCATGGCTGCAGCCTTGGGCTAGCACAGCTTGTGTTAAACCTTATGTATTCATTGTGCTGAGATGTCGGGTCTGGCGTCTTCATTGCTGGTTTCTACTTTGTACTCAAACTCTCTCATCCGTATGACATATATTGTTCCAGATTTACCAGGGGGCAGTCCCTACTACCTTGGTGGAAGGCCGAGTAGAAATTCCTGCTAATACACGCCTTCAAATACTCTCAAGTCAGTTTCTCCGATGAATTCGTCCCACAGTTCCAGAATATTAGGTTCATCTTGTTGCTCGTTGCTTCCATCAGGAACCTGATTGCCAATTTCAGCTGAGTTTTCCGCGACGGCAACGCGGCGTATTACATCCCCAATCTCCAACTCAATATCTTGAGAGTCGGTAGAATTGTGATCGAATCCTATCAAGGCATCCAAAAGCCTCGCACCCCTGCGGGCGATTGAGCTTCGTGATTCCAGCTCTCTGGGAAACGCACGCCCGATGTTGACACATTCTCGTAAATCTTGGTAGTCGTACGTGAGGGGGTGCTTGAACCGAAACATCAATGCAAATAGAATAGTAATGCAGCAAGTGATTATCTGTGTTGGGGTCGTCCACATTCTCTTTGCGATTTCAAAGTCAAGAGTGTTTTCCCATTGTTCAATCATTCGGATGCTTCTCTCTGCCATTGACATGCAAGATAGCTATGGAACCCCATCCAATATTAGTACAATCACCATGTAAGCGGCATGTCAGAGACGGGTGGCAGAAAGCCTTACTTGAGTATACGCAAAACGAGTGTCGCGAAAGCTGCGTAACTGAAAATGACGGTGTACGGTGAATATCTGGGATGCATGTGTTAGAAGGCAGACGACATTCAACCTTGCATTTATTTAATACCTTATGTGCCGTGGAGAGAAGAGTGATGCAGGCTAGATGCCTCAAGGGGCTTGTAGGCGTATTTTCATGCCCTTGGTGGTCCGACAGAGAAGGAGAGTACTGAAGGAAAGAAGCGCAGCTGGAGTATATCTTCTTCAGCTCATTATCAGCCCAGGTAGTCTGATCGTAGAGTTTCATCAGACCGTCCTCAAGGTCTCGCGGAAACCCAGCTTGACATAAGCGATCTTGGTGCTTCCATATGATTACGGCAACTGAATAACGATTAACGTCGATGTTTTCCAATTAAATGCTAGCACACACCTTGGTTGAGAACATGTGTAAAGCTGGTTTGGGTGAACACGTTTTCCGGCTGAGCAACTACCTTGCCGTCGCTAATCATCTCATCTGCATCCTCAAAACAGTTGACTGGCATGGGCGTGTTAAATTGAGTGAAATGGATCAAACACGTATTCTGAAATGGTATTTGAAGCCAGTCTTGGCGAACCAGGAACCACCAAACACGCTTCTTCACCTCTCGTTCGATAAGAGCTGAGACAACACTAGACGCGTCAATAGTTGAAGGCGCATTCATGTTGGGATCAGGACCCAGCCTGTTTATGTTCAAGCATTGCGCGATACGGATGGCGGCAGCCACAAGGACGCAGATCGTATCTGACTGATCGTAATGATGTGCTACCTGAAGAAGCACACAGATGGCCTGAACAGAGGTGAGGCTATGCTTGGATATGAAATTCGAGCGGTAAAGATAGTCGATACTCCTGTCGTACAATTCTTGAACCGTGTTTATTTGAGCTTTAAACAGTTGAATTCAGCGGCCATGTGAGAAATGAGAAACAATGATGACTGGGCCACCTACAGACAATACATAGACCTAAAGTTTTCATGTAAGAATCCGGCACATGGTAAAGAGTTGACTGTTAATCATGGTTAGGAAACATGATCGAATTGTAGAATAAGGAGACACAAGCACTCGCTGTCAGAATTGCATAGTATAGAGCGAGCCAGGGCTGTTCACAAAGCCCCGAAGCAGCATGGATATCGAATTGCTCAATGAAGCTAGGCATGTGAACGACATTATGCATCCAGGCAATGTGTTTCTCGTGCATGATAAGTAGTGCACGAGCTTCTTCAGTGGGAAATATTGGGTCCCATTCCACAAGTGGGTGATATCTTGCTCCGACGATCTCCTGAATGTCTTGATCTCGTGATACGGCGTACGATGAAGAGCCTTCTAGGCCGCCTAAGTGATTTAGTGTACCTCGCCGACCATAAGCAAGAAACTCAAGGCTGGCTGCTTTGTCATTCGTGAGCCTCGAACTAGGTAGAGCCGCCACACTCAAGCTCTTTTCATCTACCTGCCCAGAACCATCTATGGTGGCAGCGTTGTCAGAGCAGGCGAGTGTCGATTGCATAGTGCCAATTGAATTGGCAAGGGCATTAACAGAGTGGGCTCGGTTTCTCCTCCTGGCGGGTCTCTCAGCGTCCTCAGAATCAGATCTCCCGGTGAATGTCTCGGCAGTTTGATCACCAACAGACGCCGTTTCTACCCCGGCCATGTGCTTGGTCACGACGCGGACAGGTTCACGATGGCAGCGCTCCTCCATGTGCTTGCGAACACAAGCTGTACATGGGACTGTTTTCGAGCAGCGAATCTTCCGACGCGCGCATTCTGTGCATGTCTTGACCGCGCGCTGACTCCGCCTTGTGGGCGGCATATCGAGTTGATACCTTCGTTCAAACGCTCTTATGACGCCTGCACATGTGGGAACCCCGTCTGTAGGTACATTTTCATCAGCAACGGGTCTCATAGACCAGGGCTAGGGTAGCTGCCACTCACTCGGATAGAGCCCAGACACTTGAAGTGACAGCCGCTGCTTGATTCGAATTGCGGGACAAACAATCTGAGCACTGACTTGGCCAGCGGAGACTTTAGAAATGGAAAAAGTGGGTTAATTTTATCTTAGGTTCTGGCCTGGCTGTGCGTTGATTAGAAGAGCTGTAGACTAAACTGGCGGACGATCCTGGTTTTATCTTATCTTATTGCCTCCAATTGTCCAGACAAAGGTAGATGGCAATGAAGCCTTCTCCTCTTTCGGTTTGTGTTTCCTTTAGTGAGTTACCAATGGCCAAGAGCAACTTGTTCCTACAGCATGCCGCTCAGCTCGTCAGCACTACAATTCAGGAGTTATTGTAAATTACCGAAGGAGAACAGGGTTCAACTTCCCACTGCCGGCATCAGACAGTAATCAATTCAATTCTTCCTAGCTAGTGCTTACTTCTGTTGTCATGACGCAAGCCAAAGACAAGGGCTACACATACAAATACACGGGGACATCCGTCCGGCGTTAAGCATTCTCTACCACTTCCTCCGTGTCTATAAATACAAAAGAAGCCAGAGATTCACGTCACGGAGCTCATCACACCGAATCCTCACCACCTCCGAACAATTGCCCTGCCTCGTTTTGCCACCGGCAAACAGTTCTCGACATCATGATACCGAAGAACATCCCACTCCTCTACCACCTTGTTTTTCTAGGATGGGAACCGCTGTCCGCTATCGGCGGCGGCCTGCAGCTACTTACCAATCCGGCGGATTTCGTCAACAACTTCGTCCCCCGAACTCTTACGACTCTCGACCCGCTACAAAATATCCTGACCAACGAGCTCGGGGCGGCATATATCTCCGTCGGCGCTATACAGGGACTTCTCCTGACTAATACCGAGGATCTTCGTATATGGCGGCTTCTCAATATTTGCTTGCTTGTTGGGTGGGATGGAGTGTTGATGTATTCATACTGGCGCTCGCTCAGCGTGCAGAACAGACTGGACTGGGCGACGTGGCGGCCTTCGGACTGGGCCGCAATCCTCATTACGGGATTTGTTGGCGCGACTCGCCTCGCGTTTGCTGCAGGAGTTGGATTGACACGTGCGAAGGCGCATGCAAAGCGCAGCAGCAAAGCCGACTAACAACTCGCACTTGTTATAAAAAAAGTCATACCGAAGAGCTCATGCATTTCCGACTTTAATTGATGGATAATGACTGGGGGAGGGCATCCTTATGAACATTTGAATTCATATATCAGATCGACATGATGCGGTTGGAGTTTGAAATGCGCTGCGTAGAGGCCCAGACAGAATCAAACTCTACATTGCATTATCCCCCTTCTATCTATATAAAGACATTTAAAAACCAAATCAGAAATTTAGCCATCAAGATATGACACAATAGAGCAGCAGTCTTTGCAATGGTAGCCATCAAATTGGCATGTAGGGTTTGTGTAAGGAAAGTTATGCTGAACTTTACCATTCTCCTTCACCAAGATCAGATCCCCAGCTCCCAAATACCAAATTACAGGGCCAAGATCTAAATCGGTCGGGACTCAGGCTCTCAGCTCCCTTTCACGAAATATTTTATTGGCATCTTAAGGTGGGACCTACTCAAACCGCCCCCAAAACTCCAGCCCCAAACGCCACGCTGACCAGGCCAAGTAGTCTAATTCTCTTCAAAAGTCACACTTTGCCCCTCTAAGTACGAATCGCGAATCAAGCTCTGAAGCGAGCCTGTTAGTAATCTTACATCCCATATCATTTAACTAGGCAACTCGGGTAAATCTCACCCATCGCGCGTGCATGACTTTCGACGAGTTAATGTTGTTGATAAACTGGCTGCTGTCGTAATGAAGAGTATATAATCACATGTCCTTGCCTACCTACGGAGAGTCTTGCTCGCCAATCTTACTCCCTCCATCATCTACCACGTCTAAGATGCAGTTTCTCTCGATCATCTCCATTGCCTCTCTTGCGGTCGGTTGTATCGCATGGGCCAACGACGGGCACGGAACATGGGTTGCCAACAACAAATGGTATGACTGGGCGCCCCCTGCGGGAATCAAACAGAGTATGTGGACGTAACCCTCCCGACACCCTATGCCTCTGAAACTAAGACATGTACGACTTATAGAGTGGGTGCATGAGCCATGCACTATTATGAACAGGAATGACGTCGTTTATTCTAATGGCGAGTCCTGTGCGTATTGGACCAATAGCCAAGGTGGCATGTTCAAAGGGAGTAGGTGCATCTTTCTAGACAACCCTTATCTTTCGCCTTGCTCACATATTTACAGCCTGTCAAAGTCGAACCGTAGGTTCCTCGTCAGTGTCAGTTGGTTGCTGGTAAGCTGTGTCATAGACCATAATTTACCATTGAAGGGAATCAAATCACATTAGGGCTTGTTTTCTGGCTGAAGAAGTCCTTTCGGCCAATTACGGTTTTGATAGTTGGTAAAGGCTCAATAACCTGATATTTATTGCTTGTAGGGATTTGTAAATAGCTAAAAGACATGATTGACCAATCCGACAACCTGAAGCATAACTCAACCTTACATTTCATTAGTCACTGTATATCAGGCCTTACCGGCAATAATCGCTGCTGCCTGCTCTGTGAGCCCATAAAGCGGTGCTTGGATATGAGCACTCAATGGCACGGGGATTACCGAAGCATCAACCACTCTCAAACCCCCTACACCATAGACTCTAAAGCCAGTATCCACAACCTTGCCCATGGAGCAAGTTCCAGAATAGTGCCAGGTCGTCGAAGCAGCTAAAGCCACCCTCTTGTTCAGCTTCTCGTCGCTATCATTGAGCGTAACAGGCTCGACAGCCAACGCATCGGGTACCGTCTCACCCGCAACGTATTGGCTGAAAACAGGGCCGAGCATAAATGAGGTAATTCTTCGAATGCCCTCGCGCATTTGATACTTGTCTACCTCAGTAGAAAGATAGTTCATATTGACTATATGCCTTCCTATTAACTTTTGAACCGCAATGTCGCTAAAATATGGCCACAGGGGGCACTTACTCGTTGGGTGGTCTTCAATATTCGCTGACTTTAGGGAAACCGTGCCCCTAGAAGTGGGCAAGAAGTTGATGACAGCTGTAGTCATGTGCTCAGCATCCATGGGGATACCAGGCAGCGGGACTTTTGCGTGGAGGATCAAGGTCTCGCTGAAAGTACGGGCGCTGGAGAGAAGCGGGTGCTTGGATGGATTCGGCTTGACACCCTCATCCTTTTCAATGGCGGTAGCAAGACCCTCCTTTGGTAGGGAATGAGTCACGACCCATTCCATAGGAGTTCCCTTGCTGTACTGGGGCTCAGAAAATAAGGGGTTTGCGGAGCCAAGGGTATAACCCGCAGAGGGGTCTCGAAGCCGCCAGTGCTGCCAGAAGTTCGTGTGATCAGTTAGGCCCTTCCCAACGTCTGGGAGGTCAACCACTGCGTCGATTCCGACTTCTTTAAGATCTGTAGGTGAGCCAATACCGGAGAGCTGGAGCAGCTGTGGGGACCTCAAAGCTCCGGCACACAGAATAACTTCTTTACCCGACAAGATACTACCGTCAGTTAATTCGACGCCCGTGGCACGAGGGCTTCCGCTGCTGTTTTCCATGACGACTCTTTGAACCAAGGCTTCAAGCCGGACTTCAACTCCATCGAGGGGGTAGACTACCGGAGACCATTGTCTCTGACCATCCAGTCTTGACTCGCAAATGTAAGCCCGTCCTAGGTTGTCTCCTGCGTTTTGGTCAAGGTCCGGGAGAGCAGGAGCTCCAAGTGCATCCCAGGCTTCTGCAATCTTTTCGGTCAAAGGGAACACGCGCTTGTTCGACCCAGCAGAGCCAATCGTTATGCGTCCATCTAGTCCGTGCTGCTCGGGGTTCTTCTCATCAAGCCAGCGCTCGCACTTCTTGAACCAAGGCAGCTGCCCAGCATAACTATAGCGTTCATCCTTGACCAAAGCCGCCCACTCGTCGAAGTCAATGGCAGATCCGCGAGTCCAGCCACCTTGGTGTATTTTGTTAGTACTCTTCGCCGTGTGTCACGAGTAAAGTTTTCTTCGCTTTCCCTGGGATCTCACAATGGTGTGCTTACTTGAATTGACTGCTGTGCCGCCGCCGAGACCTTGGCCCGAATTCAGGGTGAAAGTGCGGTTCGCGGCATTCGGGACTGGCTCAGTTTCGTAGGACCAATCCAAGTCGCCCCCGAGATTGAGAACCTGGGGGTGCCTGACGTCCGAACGATCACGGGTATCTTTGCCAGCTTCGAGCAAGACTATCTTCGACGTGTTGTTGTACTCTCGTAGTCGATTAGCGAGGACACATCCGGAAAGGCCGCCTCCCACGATGATATAATCATATAGAGCGAAGTCCATTGTAGCTGTGGTAAAATATGAATTCTTTTGAGGTTTGAAATGTGCAAATTCACGCCAGCTACGTCGCAAGCCTAGATATAAGATGAACAGAATGTTTATCAGAGGCGGGGGCTTTTAGGGACTTCTGTTCCGAATTCTAGTCCATCTCATGCAGTCATCCAAGTACGAACAAACAAATCGAGGGCTAATGTGCGAGGGAACTTCCAATTTCGGCACCTAGTCTCATGCCAATTTGGACTTGGCCGGAAATTCCATATTGAAATGGGCGCCGGCTACCTCTTCATCAAAATGGGGTTTAATTCCTAAACTCAAAAGAATGAGAATTCTATTTTTTTGTTTATTATCTATAATTGCCATTGTAATGGCAGTTTTCCGGTATCCCGCACAAAGAAGTCGAACCGCACGGCCACATGTTGAGCTGATACCTGTAGGTTTGTCATACGCCCTGCTGCGGGGATTCATCATCACCAATCACAATGGCATGCGCGTAAAATTATGCTGACAACTTCTTGCATCCCCGCAATTCCATTGTGCGGTCAAGGAGTGGTCAAATTTCAAGTTAGACGAAGCTTCCTGGTTGTCCCTGAGGAAACAGATCGGAAGAGGGTGTTCTTCTGTCCTACAACAAAAGAAACTAAGATTGAGTTCATTGGACTTCTTAATCGAAGGATCGCTCACAATTTCTGGGCGTTAGAAGTAGAAGTTATCGGCTAGTTTATTTTGCATTTCCAAAATAGATAGAAAGAGTATTCAACATTTTCATTTCTCTGTCACATGCTCCTGAAAGGTTAACTGTGCGAGGAACCAGTTTAATAAGCTAAGATACTAAGCGTACTGTCGGAGGAGCGAGCCATAGTACGTATAGGCAGCACCAGATGGTGGTTCATAACTGAACATGTAATCTCCCCACCATGGCCCAGCAGCCCACCAAAGGGCACCTGACCAAACGTCGCTATTCTCACTAAGGTGCTTCAGAAGTCCAGTAACAGCCTCTTTACAGACACTGTTGCCAGCACCGGCGAATTCTCCCAAAACACCGATCTTGCCGTTGTTGCGCAGCCACGTGGTTGCATCCTTGACACTCTCAACCCCGATGGTGGTACTGACGCAGTCAGAGTGTGTACCCGACTTGTCGCTATCTAGATACTGGTGCATCTCATAAACAAGTTTGTTTTGTGGATCTGTGAGGGCCTTCAGGTTGTCGTTGGTACTGGTCCAACTCCAAGCACCAGACCAGGCGTTGCCTTCGACGAAAATATATTGACTGGTTGCACCGACCCCCCGAATGGCATTGATAGCGGCTTGATTAAGGTTCAGAACAAGTGTTTGGTCCATGTCGTGATACTCATTGTTGGTATCAAAGATGACAAGAGAGTTGCTCTTAAATGGAGTAGCCAGATTCTTCCAGAACGTCCCGAAACCTGTCACATCAGTGATGACACTGTCTTTATACCGTCCAAAATTGTGGGGGTCTAGCACTGCATAGGCACCCTTCGATGTGATATGGTTGATGGTTTCAGTTAGGTTAGCCAAGTAGGCCGTGGCGAAAGATTCGGTCATGGAGTTAACCGCAAGGCGCTCCATTGAGAAGCCGACGCGGAAAATGTTCATGCCTTCGCCAATAAGAGTCTGTTGACAGATCGATCAATATCTTCTCCACATTTTCATTCAAGAGTAGGCATAGCAAAGATAGAATTTTGGCTTACATCAATGGTAGACAGGTCAGGGAACCTAAAGTGAACGCCCCAGGTACCGGGGTAGTTCCCCTGGCCAAACTCCCCGACACTTTCACCAACACCGAACCATTTGAAGCCAGTCGGCTGACTACCAGTGGTGGATGTCTTACTACTTGTGGAAGTGGTGGTGGAAGTCACCAGGGTGGTCTTGGTAGTCGTACTGCTGGCAGCGCCGCCGGGGAGGCACTGGCTGTACCAAGCGTTGCTGTATGTGCAAGTCCAACCAGACTCACACGTCGTAGGGCCAGTCCATCCTTGTCCCCCGCATTGCCCATATCCAGGAGCAACACTCTGGGCAAGGGCAGTGCTTGCAAGGGCAACAAGCAGAGAGAGAGACTTCATTGTGAACCTCGAGAGGATACTTTGACAAGCTTCCAAGAGACAATGGTGAAACTCCAGCTTCAGATTCTGCTGATCTTTTCCAGCTTGGTCGGATGCCACTGGTATTTATCTAGAATGAGATCCTAGCTACTCTCTTATTACCTCTTTGAATTGGGTCATTTGTGGCATGCGTTTCTGTCGGTCGAGCGTGATCAATTCTTAGCAGGGTTGTACTTGCAAGGATATAAACCCACCTTTCATCCCGAAACGTGAATATGGAACGCCCTACGCCGTGGCTCTGTTTCAATTTGCACTCATTATCGGGGGAAAACTGCCGGGAATCCGCCAGTCTCCAATAAAATCTCTCGAATCTCATCAACTCTCTTCGGCTAGCCTTCTCTCGGAAGCGGACTTGTAGACTCCGAAATACAGGATATCCCGTGGATTGAAATTTAGCCAGAATCACGTTGGAAATAATAAACTACTGATTCTCAGCAATAGAACTAACACTAAAAGTAGGTGAGCAATATTTCAATTAAATAGGCCACGTCACATAAATCGGCCCAGTGCACGATGCTTCATTGTTGCTGAAACTTTTGATCTGAAAAATGGCAGCCACGGTGATCACAGTATGTTGAACAACACATCTCTATTATTAAGTTCAGCACCAAAGACGACTTGCTATAGTAGAAAAAGGAACTCTAATCTTATTCTGATCCAAGCAGCATCAGACGGTTCCCGGCAAACTTCCCGGGTTCTCTGATCGGGAATATCAAACCCCGTTGGTGACAAAGAGCAAATTTCCCCTAAAAATATCATCCGACCAGACTACAGCAAACGGCAAAGTCAGTTTCTCCAAATGACACTATTTTACGGGATTTTATAATCCCTTCTCTCTGCGACTGATCAGTAGCACATGTATGACGGGTCTGCGCCCCGGTTACCGGCTCTGTCAAGAGAAATTTGGCCCACAGAGCTTTCTTATCCGTTGACTGCTTGGGTGCTACAATAACCAATCCCCAGACGTTGAAATGATAAATCCGCGTAATCAAAACGTGAATATCAGTCTTCTTTTCCTTCTGCATAACTGCGGCCTTGGGCTAGCGCAGCTTATATTAACCTTTCGTATTCATTGTGTTGAGATGTCGGGTCTAGCACCTTCTATTGCTGTTTTTAACTTTATACTCAAACTCTCTCCCGAAAATCAGTCTTCTGATGCATTTTCCCCAGGAACGCCTCGGTTGGCGTGAGCCGATTCAATCAATGACTGAGTAAGATTCAATAAATAATTCAATGCGATCTTGGTCGACAATAATAGTTCATAACCGGGAGGACTGATGTGTACTCGCTCTTTCTACACTCAATGTCGCTGAACAGGTCTCCTGTTTTCGATCATTCTCATGAGCAGGTGCCCTCTCAAAAGTTAGGTTGGCTAGATTCCGCGTTATCCAACTGAAAGTCATCTAGAACACTCTTTCTGTACTTACCACAAACTTGGACAACGTATTTCTATCTTTTTCTGAAATCAACAAGATCCTTTGGATTCATATGCAGAGCTTTGAGTCCATCAGCCTTCGTGATCGTGGTAGCCTTTCTCTCAAAGTGGCTCGTGAGTAGATAACTCTTGGACTTGTGATCAGCATATTGGTGCTCCGTGCCCGCTATGAACAGATTTGAATCCTCTTTCATAATGATTATACTGCCATCCATCGGCGCTTTAACTTTCCCACTTCATGTCTTCAATTATATGTCAAATGCAATCGCAGAGGGAAAAAGAGAAGCTGTGCATCCTGACACAATACTTATGGTTCTCGATTCCTATATTGGGATATTTAATGGTCGGAACCTACGTTCCTGACAAATGCTCTTGGCAACCATAGAGCCCCATACTTGGTTCACCTTCGATATTATGTCACGGCTCCGTTATCCAACTAGCAAACAATTAATGGGGCGATAGAAAACCACTTATGCTTATAAATTATCTGACTCAGGTGATGAACTTTCCAGAATATACATTCATCGTAACATTGGATCCGGGTTGGTTGATTTATCATTGCATATATAAAATCATGATGTGAGAGGTAGTCATAAAGCTCCCGGAGCATAGTTTCATCTCGGTTCCAGTCATTGCTCTCTCAGAATTCAGCATGCCAACAATATTCCTGTATGTTTTACTACTCAACCGAACTCACTCGTACGCTAACGTCGTGTTTCCGCCATAGTACCGGAGCCTCTGGGTATATCGGCGGTGATCTGCTCGACCAATTGGCAAAATCTCACCCAGAACTTGCCCTGAGGGTGCTGGTTCGAGACCTTAAACAGGTTGATGCCATTAGGCATCTATATCATGACGTAACCATTGTTCAAGGTAGCCTCGATGATACCGAGCTTATCACCAAAGAGGCAAATAATGCAGATGTAGTACTCAGTGCGTCAGAGAGCTCTCAGAGAACAGGAAGATGTCTCTTTCAATACTCATATGATCTAATATTTCACTTTACTTGCCGCAGATCTTGCCGCGTATAACCATCTTGGCAGTGCCCAGGCAATCCATCACGCTTTAGTAGAAAGGCAACGGAATGGGAAGCGTGCGTACTGGATTCAAGTATCAGGTGCCAGTGCGCTCGCTGCGGCCGAGCTCGAAGACCCATCCATCATCCCTGGTTCAGCCAGTGACACCATCTGGGATGACTACGAAGGGATTGATGCTCTACGTTCCCACATTGAGAAGCATCCACAGAGACGCGTTGTCGACAATTATCTGCTCTCTGTAGCACGAGACTCGCCACAAGTTAAAACTGCGATAGTTTACCCTCCCTTAGTCTACGGCCGTGGGAAAGGGCCAATCAACCAGCGAAGCATCCAACTGCCTGGACTGGCCAAGCTGACCCTGGAAAGAGGCCGCGGAGTACAAGTCGGCTCAGGTTTAAATCGGTGGGGGGC